CACCACCAAAGAATGCACCAGGACCGGGTGCCGCCTCACTCCCGCGAAATATCGGCGCCAACGGTTCTTCCAAGCGTCAGCGCCGTAGTAGTAAAAGCACTGGGCCAAATGAGTCATCTAACGGTATGGATATTGACAGCCCCGAGAATTCGACTGGCTCGAATGAAGCAGCTCGTTCCATTAGTTCTTCGAGCGGATTCACTAGCATGTCGAACCCAGGAAACCTGGGTCTTGCCAGCGGTTTTGGCATGTCTCAAAGACCGATGATGGGACACAGCATGACCGGAATGTCCGGGGGCTCTACTGGTGTAATGAACTCTGGATCTGGAAACGGCCCTCAAGAATGGGAGTGGTTGACCATGAGCCTCTAATATTTTTTCCCCGAAGGATTCTGGTATGTACGACTGTACTAAGTACTATTTACGACACGGCTCTGGGATTCCCGATTTACACATCTGCTCAAGCGCTTTCGCTTGGATTCTGCATGGAGGTTTTCTGGCTTCGACTAATCGTGTCTGACCTAAGAGCGAATGACTGGACCGGTTTATTGTGAAAAATGGCTCGGCTAAACTCGCTACGGCATGGATGACGAATTTTCACGACATCACATATATGGCGGCGTTGGATTCTTTAATTTTTATGACGAAGCGACCATTACTTTTTTATATACCATTCACCCGACATTTTCGCCAGTTCTGCATATGGCTTACTGCTGCGGTATCGGGTTCTTGGTCGCTCACATAATTATACACCCAAACATTGAGGTTTAGTTTTCTATCTGCATGGTCCAAAGACTACGTGCCGGTGGAAATTTATATCACAATGCTATATCACGAATTTGATAGCAATTCTACCTCAGTTTGAATTACTTAACTCTATACATTTACGAAGAATTTGCACTTAGTTCCTCTTGGCATCCGTCTACTACCTTTAATACCTTAGGTACGCAGCACGACCTCACTCGCAATATCACAAGATTCTAAACGATACCTTGGTTACGGGACATGTCGCGGTAGTTTATTAGTACGATAGCCGTTTAGGACAACCCTTTACTTTACGAGCAAGTGGTTCGGTCGGATGCACCACGAATTTTGCGCTGTATTTTCTTTGCCTTGGTGGCTAGGACTCGGATAAGGGGTCTGTAGATACGGGATTGATACCATTGTTGTTTCTAGACAGGCACGCAGGTCATCTACGGACCTAGAAAGCATAGGGGAGGATCATGGCCACCAGACCCAGCTTTATTAAGCTGCGCGTATGGACGGGTGAGCAGACTAGCAGACAGATGGATAGGGTACAAGGACAGGTCAGGAGTCAGTTGTGCTACTTCGTGGTTTAATAGCGACGCTATAAGATAAGGGCATCCGAGACGCGCGCACTCTACTACCCCAATTCCTATGAAGCAGACCTTCAACCCTTTGCGGATACAATGCTGCTGTTACGAAAGTCTGCTCGCTTGTTTAGGTAGATGCTAGGATAGAAGAAGAATATAATTAAGACTAAAGCCATGTACAAAGGAGCTCAGACCTGAATTTAAATTTTTGCTAGGACCCAAAAGGCTACAATTCTTTCCTTAGGTACCTAGCACTGGAACTTACAACGCTATAAGTAGGTGGGTAGGTAAGTAGGTAGACACTGATGCTCCCGGTCCCGGTCCCGACCACTCCGTGCCCACTGTCAGAGATGTGCATGTACGTATTTCACCCGGCAAGAAATGAAAAGGGGGGAAGGGGGAGGGGCCTTGGCATATAGTTACCTCGAGATGTATGTCGAATGTCGAAGGTACATCTACGTATTCCTTCTTTTATACATCTCTCTCCCTTTACTAGCTGAAATACCTCCTTGAGCATATAATTCCAGGTTTGGAGCAGAATGTATTGGGATTAGGAACTATTCCTCAGGTTCATCGGATACCTAGGTAGGTAAAGACTTGCGCTTAGACTATAAGTACCTACCTAAACAAGTTAAGTCAAGTCAAGTTAAGTTAGGCATAGGAGTTCTTAAGGAGGTAAGGGATGATAAGTGGTGCTGGGCATTCCATGCATAGCTTGATTTTGGTCTTTGTTCTTAGAGATTAAAACTTGAGTGTTGTTTCTCTGCTTTTCTTTGTCTACTTCGTACTTGGTGTAAAGCCGATGGTAAGCTGGATTCGTATAGAGGGGGTGAGGGAAGCTTATTCTTGGCTTGGCTTGGCTTGTTTGTCTGCCGAGTTTGTGGGATGGTGTAGTTGTGTAGTCGAGGTGTAGTTTGCTGTCTGTTTAAGCTGTTTGCATGTGATGTCGAGGGTAGCTAGGGTGAGTGCCTTTCAGTACTTGTAGCTTTGCTATTTTTATTTGTGTTAGGTTTGTTAGTTTCTATCTATTATTGGAATCTTAGAGTTGTGATTATTCGAAGCCAGAACTATTACTGGTAACGTATCTACCTAATTAACTAAGGGGAAATGCTAATACGATTCTTAATACGAGGTATCATCACGTCCATCAAGGGGCATTTTCAAGAGTGGAATTCCTTTATTCTTGCATGTTCTGCTATAATCGGGATCTTGCCGAGTGGTAAAGATGTTTGATATGCCTAGGCCTAGGTCTAGTCAGCACAGATATCGAAATGTTGCTTATTACCTTGAGCATATTCCCAAAGTATGGCATCTAGGCTAACTAGGCTATCATCATAAAACTTATGTCCTAGAGGTATTACCTTAGCTTATACACTTGGGCGTAGATAAGCTTGAAGAAAGCATGATAACTTGTTCTTAGTTAAGCATAACAATGCCGCCACAATATCAACCAAGGCTAATATTGGGGCAGAAGTGGAAGAGTCAGGGGTATCTCTAAGATCACAGTGAATATGTTGGTAGCTAAACCTCCAAATGTTCATCTTCTTCCTGAAGATAGTTGTCTTCATACATATTTACCATGTTTGGCAGCTATTAGCTTTATAGTGGCAGAGCGCACCAGGGGAAGTTATGCTAGATAGGTACTAATATTCTATATGTACCTAATAAAGGAAGCAGAAGCCTAAGTAGACGACGAAGTCCCGTCTCTAGGCTGAAGGGGTATTTAAAGACTTGGTGTTGAGTACTGTTGGCCGGGATAAGACATCTGTAATATCAAGATGTTACTTACTAGTGGGAAAGGGGATGTTTTGTGTATTCCGGCATGCTTTCATTTTGAAGCGTGGCACGATCAGATGGCACCTAGAAGGAAGGCCTGTATTCGTCACCATAGCCATATATTTCATTACTAGGATGCTCATATGCTGAGGATGTGGCAAGTCTATGTAGAGAAACATAATGGGTACAGCTAGCATGATTCACGCGCGCTAGCATATGCCAGTAACACGCATAGACAATCACAATCACTTTTACCAATAACGAGCTTTGCAGAGAAAAATTACTGTCCCCTGTATTTCTGCCTTTTCCAGGCGATACCTGCGTAAGTACAGAGAGGCCTGTGGGTAATGACCAAGACCAAGCCAGAACGATGATGCCGTATGACTCCCTAACGAAAGATGCAAATCCGTATGCATCCGTAACCTCCGTTTCATCCATTCACTTCCGGTCATAATAGAGCAGAGTGTGCTTGCCTGCCATACGTAAAAGAGGTGGACGCTCAGAGCTAGACTCTGTCGAATGTCTGCTCGTCCATCGCCTTCCGAATCCTCCCGAGTACGGCACCGGCTGCCCTCAAGAGGGTAGGCGCTACGTCGCGCTTAGGTACCAGGGTTGGGGTTCATCTGCTAAGTTGTTAGTAAAAAATCCAGATAAATCCGAGTTAAAAAAAAAAAGATGCGCACCTTTCGCTTGCCACCAGTCAGGGTGACGTTGACGAAACGGCGGGTGTATGTGAGTCTCTTCTTGGCGCGGCCCTTAGGGGTCTTGGACTTCTCTTGCTTCTCGACCTATTTTAATGTTGTTAGTTTCCTGTACTATTTTATCTTTGATGATCGTGTTTAAAGCGAGTGCATATTCGATGAAAGAAGCGCGCGTATTGATGTGGTAGACGATGTAGTCCCTCTTCGGAAGGTTCGGTTGAGGTGATGTTTTCGACAAAGCAAGTGGCAAATTGTAGATTATTTTGCTGAGTCGCTAGATATTCGAATAATCGTTCACGGTTGGCGACATAAATTACTTAAATTGTACGCGCGCTCCTTAATTGGGAGGATGGAATTTTCGGAATATTTGATGAACTAACCTTAGGGGTCTGAGACTTGACCTTACCTGTAAGAATATTGTCAGTATAATTTCCATCTTACATCTTAACATGCATCATAACATGCATTAGAATTTCAATCGGAATAACATACCGGCACGGGCGAGGGATCCGTGAACTTTTCCCATCTTGAAAGATTGTGTTGTAGACTGTTTAGAAGTCGATGAAGTTGGTAAGAGTAGAAGAAATGGGTCGATGTGGGCGGGTTTTGCTGATGAATTCGCAAGTCTTGGCACTCAGAATGATGTTGTGAGGGTTTGGAGTGGAAAGAGTCACACCGAAGAGAGTCTGGCTTCGTCAAAATTTCCACAAAGGGTTAAGTAAACCCTGGTCATGTGACTATGACTTAGCTGCATCTCCGAAAGCCCCGCGTCAAAATTTATTGCATAAACCGGATAAGGTAAGATTCTGCGGGTATTTATCGGTACGTAGAGTTTAGCGGGGTTAAGTTCAGGTACTTCAAGGTTTAAGTGACTAATCTCATTAAGGCAAGCTCCATACTACGACCCACATTGAAGTTGACCCACCTGATGCATCATTTCACATGGGATCGTTTGAACTTCAGACCGGTGACCGGCCTCATCTTCTTCCTTTTGTTTGATGAGCTCTAACAGACCGCTAAACGCCATCAAACAGAAGGAATGGAAATGTGATTTCAACTCTAACTTTGATCTATTGTAATCTTAAGAGTTTTCTAAACTTAAAAATCCTCTTTCCTTGTATTCTAACGTCTTACCCGTCCTTGCCGAAGTTTAGCTGCACGGTCCCTACGCACTTACACACTCTTTCGCAATGAGGTTCCTACGTAGCTTGCCCTTCGTCTCTCTAGCTGCGCGTTCCTGCGTAGCAGAATCTACCATAGAGCCGCAATACATACTCAGCAACCCTCCCGCCTCGGAATCAAATTATAGGATTCCGACTTCGTACGAGTCTGCTGTGCTCGGTCGGCGCATCCTAGCTCTTACTCCACTTGGCACTCTCGCCACAGTCTTCCCGGACTCGTCCCGCGGACGTCAGCCAGATGGCCTCGGCGGTGTGCCTCTCGGACTGATGGAGTATGTAGCTGACTGTGAAGAGGAGGGCAACCCTACTATCCTGGCTATTAAGATCGGGTCTACCTTCAGGAATGTGGACAGCGGTTCCAACATCAGCTTAGCCCAGGAATGGACTCCCCCATACCCACCAGACAAGCGTATCAAATCTACCTTCTTCGACTGGCTGTTTGGACGCGATGCAGATACTAAGGATAGAGTGCCGTACAGCGCGGTCAATCTTCCGCGTTACAGCTTGCTAGGCTATATCGAGAAGATTAATTCGTCTGATGCTAAAGCATTATCATCATGCTTCGTAGATACGCATCCAGATAGCAAGTACTGGCTCCCAGGAAATGAGATCCACGAATCCGAGTTCGTGAGGCTTGTCGTTACTCAAGTATACTGGATTGGTGGTTTTGGCGACAGAGCCTATATCGGCTGGATTCCTATCGACGAGTGGAAGAACGTTACCAAGAAGGAGTGGGAAAGTGTGAGACTACCTGGTGAGAAGAAGGGCTGGGACGAATGGAGCACTTCGGATCTATGAGCACTGGCTGTCCATTGATTTGGTAAGCGATCAGTTTGGGATATGAGTTAGGATCTTAATGGTACATGATAGTAGTTACATGTTCATAATGCATACCTGAGTGAAAAGAATAGCAAATAGGAATGATACCACCGAAGAAGAAAATTCTACTAAATGATATTAGGCAATTCTGCGGAGTTTTATTTCTTGTAACTAACTGGAACCTATCTTTTTACAGTGAGTTATTCCCATTACCGACATCAGTTAATTAATGAACATTTATAACTAAAAAGGTATAAAAATATATAAAAAGGTACAGTGATCCCTCATTTATTCATACTGGAAGTACGCGAATACTAGTGCCCATCACTAGCACGAAAGACCAGAAAACTACCACAAAAAGTTTTTGACAAGAGTGGGACTTGAACCCACGCGGATTGCTCCATGAGGATACTGGAATTAAGGTGACCTTAACCTCACGCCATAACCAACTCGGCCATCTTGCCTTGGTGAAGAAGTTCGTATTAGGGTTTAATGAATAAACCGTGGATTGCGAGAATGCTCTCAGAATGCCCTCAATTATTGTGAATTTATTCTACAGGATCACAGCCCTCATGTAGGCTCGCGTCATTAGGTTCAGTTACTACATAGGCTAGGTAACTAAATCAAATTAAAATGTACTGAAAGGAGTACGCTACGCCTACTATTTCCGATTGACTAGCCGTTAAGTTATCCGCTTAGTATCGAACCAGAGTAGGGGTTACAAACGTGGGAGTAAAATGCAAATATTTTGACGGTTATGAACCAGCATGCTTAGCACCGGGTTGAAAAACACAAAATTAGATTTTGCGAAGAACGTTTTGGAATCTTTATTGTACTATGTAACTATGTCTATGTCTATGTGTCTCTAGGACAATAAAGACTCTTTAAGGTAGAACTAGATATCAGAACCCATGGTAATGGGAATATGATACTAGAAATTCCCATGAGGAAGTGCCATTAAACCTCCAGCAAAAGCGATGGCCATGACTAGCGACCGTTGGCTTTTTCTTGGCTGGCGAGGTTTTGGTCGTCCTTTAGGCTCGAACCATCATCGATCTTGTCGCCGTTAGGACTTACCTCGGCTAGCGGGTCTCCTAAGTAACGCGCATACCCGTTCGCCTTAAACAGCCCTTCTATGTAGGAAAAAACCGACTGTAAGCCCTCTGGGTCTTGAATGGGGTCAATCATAGATTTGCGGATATCCGCGATGGTTTGCCTTAAAGCCTCAACATCACCACCCCCTGGCGGCGAGTGTTGGAGGCAGATTAAGATGCTGTCCGCAGCAAGGAACGCAACATCTGCCGCGTACCGAAAGAACTTGATAGCCCATTCCTTACCTAGGCACAACTCGATCTGGTTGAATAAGGCCTCAAGATGGATAATATGCCTCCATTTCCAGACAATAGCCGGGAGACTATGCCACGTCTCGGGGTAATTGAATGCGCCGAGAACATGGAGGTCGCTGACTAACTTCTGGAACATCTCCAAGGTAAATAACTCTGGAGGCGCATCGTAAACCGCTGCGAGGGCATCGCGGACGCCGCCGAGGTTGGCTAACTGACATTCTGTACATTGGATGTCGACATCCCTATATCTCTCTTCAAAGAAGCCTGCAGGACTGAAATAGTAAAGCACAATACTAGGAAGAGGATCATCTGTTATAATTGCTTCGCAGTCTTCACAGACTCTAGGGAGAGTTATACTTAACTCGGACATATTCATGTCGTGATTCTCCATGATAGAATGTTGTTTACGTTCGTAGATGATAGTACCGTTGGAAGATATATTCGAATAAGCTCCAAGTTTGGTATGATCTATCTATATGGATAAGAGAAGAGGGATATGTTATTTGGTATTTATACTTGACTTCCACCAAACAATGTCTTCTTACTTATAAACAACTTTGTCCTCCTGATAAAAGCCTATATTTCAACATCATTGTTCACCGGTGAACAATGCCGAAAGGAACGTACTAGGTTATTGTAGAGTCGGGCTATCTTTGCGTGGAAGTCGAACGAACGATTCAACTGGCTAACTGCTTTATTGTATCTAACTAAGCATTCTATTATTGACATTGATACTTTTTAGATGGTAAGGTAAAGATGCGCTTGCGCCAAACACTAGCCAATCAAAGGCTTCTTTCAATCCGATTTGGGGAATGTTCACCTAAGCAATTCCACTCTATTGTTGAACACCCACCCATTTCATCTGTTACCTGGAACGATCTACGACGAAATTCATCATATGCGTACTGGATACTGATAGCTGAACTAGTCAAAGATTTTATTACTGACCACTAGATAATGGTGAGCCCTGATATTCATCTTGGCTGTAAATACACTTACACCTAATGATAAGCTGAGATCGCAGCCACTAGTGATTGATAATATTTCTATTCCTTATCCATATTATACATATAGATTTTACAAGATACTTCCCAGTACCCCGTTACCGAGATCCAGCTAACCTCCACGCCCTTAATGGTAGATTTTGTAATATCAGAACCCTCTTTCTGATATATAGAGTGAAAGTCAACACCCCTACGATGACGCAGAGGACGTTCACAATATAAAATCCGTCATGTAGGGTCTCGCACGTACCACCGCCGTGTTCGCATCGCTCTCTCTCGGCTTGAACGGCGCAGGAGAACTCTTGCGTTACAAGCGGCCCTCTGAGCGCCGAGCTGTCAAGCTTATGTGTCGAGGGACGGCATGTGGCCTGTGTAAAGGTATCCACTAGACCTAAGACGAAATATCTAGGGAATGTACCACCAAGATTCGAAACCCTGACATTGAATGTTAGCTAATATTAACTGTAATTTTGGGATATAGAGTACTTACGTAGCAAGTAAGGTCATATAAGTTCCGCCGATGACAGGATCGGCAACCCGAGCATGGAATGCAGAAACAGCAACGAACATGATTGTTGAAGTGAACGTCGAGAAGACGTGCTCACCAATAACGAGAAGAAGATACCAAGGTTGGACACCACCAGCTGGAAAAGCACTGACGGTGATCTGAGCAAAGATAGCAGCGATCAGTCGACCCACGAAGCCCCAGCACCAGAGGCGCATAGGTGTATACTCTTGAGACCACTTGCCGGCATAATAACCTAGGCCTATTTCGAAAGGAAAGTCAATGAGGACCGTCAGCGCCAGATTCTCTTTGCCAAATCCCTTTTCTAATAACTTAAGGTTCGTCACGGCATCGTTGGCTTGAAATCCGATCTTCGAAATAAGATGAACGATAATTATGGTCTGGATATTTCGTAGTTTCAAGACATCCCACATTATCTTGTAAACATCCCAGATACCATCCTCATTCCTTGTCTTTTCTTCCTTCTTAAGAAGTGCAAGTCCAATAGTGATTGCAATGTAAGCCCAGCCCCAGAAGGTCAAGTAGCCCCCTAGGCTTAAGAGGCCCTCCTCTGATGGTACGGAGCGGAAATAGCGGTTGGCAAAATCGTTAGAATTAAAGGCCAGGAAGACGGTGTAAGATAGGAACTGGCCGGCTGTTAGACCGACCGTCTGCGCCGTTGAAGCGTAAGAAACATTTCCCGGTGTCAGCAAAGTGAGGGCCCACCCATCAACGGCGATGTCCTGAGTCGCGCACATAAAAACCAGAAAGAACCACCAACCCGTGAAATTCCAAATGCTCGGGCCGCCTGGCTTGCCCGTCGTGGCCATCAAACCCTCGATCATGGACCCGAGGTATAACATGCTGAACCCAGATATCAACTGAATTGGAAGAATCCAGCTTTTTCTCCTTCCGACTTTGGGACTCCATACCGCATCTACTATCGGGCTCCATAACAATTTTAACGAGTACGGATATGACGCTAAGCTGAAGACACCAATTTCTCCAAATGAGAGGTGCTCTTTAAGAAGGAATGGTACCGATCCACTTGCAAGACCCATAGGGACGCCTTGTAAGAAATATAGCAGCACAAGTAACATAAAATTCCTCTGATCTTGCAAGGGAAGTTCCCAGAATCCATGATTGTTCGCCGAGGGCGTTTTCGGAATATTATCGTCGAGGGAGAATGATTCACGGCCTATGAGGTTTGCCGTGACCTGGCCTGACTCTTGCGGCGCAGCGGTTTTCCGCCGCATCTCTATATTGCTCATGTCGCCGTTCGAGTGACCATTTACGCGACCGCTCGTGGAGACTGAAAGCTTATCTCGTTTCTGAGATTTCGACCGTCGAGTTTCGACACCCATTCGTACTTTAGCGCGGGGCAGTGGAAATGTTCGGTTGCTTAAAGCTAGCGGTTGTGTTCTTGTTAAACCTCTAGTAATACAGTAGAACGATAAATGGCTGATAGTAGAAGAATCGTCGTTAGACTTGTACAAGTATGTTAATTATATGGTTCTCGTATATGATTTGTGGGAAGTCTTTGATCTTGTCCGATAAGTCAACAATAAAAAATAAAATAGAAACCGTGGCCTCTTTAGGATCGCGTTGGAACGTGGCGAAGTGGACCCTGAATTAAAAATAAGACGAGTAACGAGTAACGAGTGGTTAGAATGATGGTAGAAGTTGAGAAACTCTCCAAACCCCAGATATGATTATTTCCCCGATTAGTCCATCATGGCTAAATACCTGTATTGCGGCTTCTTGGAGCACAGATGCAGGGAAATATGTGGACGTGTCCAAATGAAGCTGAAGCTTTCAGCTTTGACCCAATGGAGTGGGAAGAAAAAGTAAATCCCTGATCGAAATGACTAATCATGATAGTTTAGAGTGCCCCACCTAGATCTAGATCTCCCCCACTCTCGTGCCTTATCAGCTTATCTTATCGGTATATCCCCATTTACCAGGTAATTAATACGCGTCGTCGCGTCTTTACTGAATGTTAAATCAACAGTAATGTCGGCGATCCATAATATTCATAGTAACATCATCTTCAATTTTATGAATACTTAACCATGACTTCTGAAGAACCACAATCACAAGAACTTTCCGTTGCGGAGAAGTTAGATAATGAGATTGCAACTTTGAGAGCTCAAGGTACCTAACTATTCAGTATTATTATCTTATAATATAATGAAACTAGTGCTAATACCTTCTAGTGGAATCATTAAAACGAGATCTCAAGTTGCAAACTGCTACTCTAATAACATCAGACTCGACGCTTCAGATATTGCAAGCTGATTCAACGAAGAAATCAAGGTCAAAAAGGTCAAATGACAGCTCTAGACTTCAGGAGCTGTTAACGAGAGCTGATGAGCAAAATGCCCATAAACAGCAATGTCTCTACCGAACTTGTGCTTCTATCACGACTTTTAAAGTGCGCGACCCGGATCCTAATGCAGTAGATGGGGGTAATGTTTTGGGTTTACGATTTGAAGTCATGTCCAAGTCTCGGTTCCTTCGACCTTATTATGTTATGCTGAACCGGCCCTACCCGAATTCCCGGTTTCTGCGTATCCACCGGCATACCGTTCCCCAATGTATACCACTTTCTGGATTGACGGCTCGGTATCTCCCTCCACCAGTAGCCAAAGACGAAGACAACGATATGCCAAAGAGGCAAGATTTGTCGAGTTTCGTGCGGGCGCTAAGGCGAGAGCTAGTTCGTTATCACAATCGTACAGCCGTTATCGGGGACCTACGAAGCATGGCAGGTTTGGAGAGTAAGAAAGGAAAGGCTAAAGAATTGGAGGTTCCAATCACCGATATCAGTGCGGCTGATGCACAAGCAAAGCAAATCCGTGTCGAATGGAACGACGGACGCTCGGGACGGTTGGTAATGGATGACGATGGTGACATTGTGAAAATGGTCGTACAGGGCGAGGACGGACAGGATCGAGAAACTATGAGACAATTTCTGGGCGGGAGCCTCCGCGTCGAAGATGTGGTTAAACAACTTGAAAGTGCATGAGCCTGCAGAGCCAAGATTAAAGCGACAAGCCACAAAGCCTTCCTGAATGTGACAGGTCATCTATACCTTGCTAGTCAATATATTACGGGCAGTATACACTTAATCACGAGCTTACAACAACAACATACCTCGGGTACCACAGCAGTTTCAACTAATCTCGGGTTGCCGAACTTGAGATGGATCTCCACAGACAGATTAGCGCATTGGGTAGCATTGGGCAATATGAAGATAACGCCATAAAAGAAACCTCCTAATGTGAGGACGGACCGAACGGACCTCGATGACAGTCGAGTTTACCGTTATATCTAATCAGAGCTGGTAAGACGTTAAGGATATGGTTGTACGTGTCTAACAGGTTAATGCGTACGATCGCCAAGGTTAGAGATGCAGACGTTTATCGGCTCTTGATTCTTAGTCCTCAATCTTCTAATGTTCCAGAAGGTCGACTCTATATCTTTGGGTATACAACGATAGCCTCATTCCAACATACGTTAATACTATACGGAGCGTTCTTATTCGGATTAGGTAACCCTACCACTTATATAAGATATATAGTAGTTGGGTTTCGATAACATGATTGACTTTATTCCTGTACATTCGGTTAAGCCCGATTTCGGGAAGCAATGTAGTGTGATTACAGTGTATACGACAGTAGTAATTTATATATCATTTATACCACTACCAAATACCCGTTCAAGGGTTTCTGGGTTCAGCTATATCGCTATGCAAGATAACAAATAGAAGCACGTGTGTTTAGTAATGCCTGTAATTCGAAAGAGTCCCCAGAGCCTTGTCTCGTTTTTATGTTTGGTCAATTCTAAGTACATCTTGCTCGTGATCGCATACGCTATTAGTTGGGCTTCGCTGCATTTCGATTCTGGTCCTCCCAGACGCAGACATCCTATATTGCATACAGGACTAAGGCTCCAATAGCGGTTTGCTCTCCATCTGCAGTAGTAGAAACCCCTGACAAGTACCAATCATAACCCGAGTTTCACTCTTTTCAGCTATAAAGAGTGCATGCTTATCTTATGATACTGACATTTCTTACATATATTAGATAGATAGATTTGAGAAGTAAGCTGTAAGGCTGTTCTTTGCGTAGAAAGATAGGTATATTACTCTTTGCCATCTCCTTTAAGTTCATCGTTTCCTTTGAAGTTAGTCATCTATCTGGTTATTCGTCTGCTTCTTCTCCGATACTCGGGTATCTAGACACACAAAGTAAACTTAATACTATTTTATCTAAAGTTATTCTTGTGCTTTTTCGTCACTATGGAGGAAGAGAGAAATGGGAATTTCTCCCGAGATCAAGTTTCAGGACAGACCAACAAGTCCCTGTCCCGGCCTGCTCATGCGTTAACTTGTGAGCAACTCATTCTTGAGCTGGGCGCTGATGGCATGAATGGCTTGTCAAGCAATATCGCAGGGCAACGCCTAGATGAACTCGGGAGGAATGAGCTTGGTAATGAGCTTAGTAAATTTGGCGTGTCTGTGTGGGAAATCATAGTTGCGCAAATTGTGAACGCGATGACCATGGTATAATAACCCTTTATGACTTTTCATGTGAAGGGATCACCAGTGCTAAATTTTTTCGAGGTACTCATACTGGCAATGGCTATTAGTTACGGTATCAAGTCATATATTGAAGGCGCCGTCATTACTGTGGTCATACTCCTTAACATTATCGTCGGATTTTTACAGGAGTATTCTGCCGGAAAGACGCTGGATTCTCTTCGTTCTCTTAGCTCACCTACTGCTCATGTCGTACGCGACGGGGATACTAAGGTTATTCCTACTGCTGAAGTTGTCATAGGCGATCTAGTTGAACTGAAAACTGGTGATACTGTTCCGGCTGATATACGGTAGGTTGATCCTAGAGGGAGTCATCTCCGTAACAACTACTGATTTAAACCTTAGGGTCATCGAAGCTTTCAACTTCGAAACAAACGAAGCACTTCTAACAGGGGAGTCATTTCCAGCTCGCAAGGACGAAAATTCTACGTTTGATGATGCTACAGGACCTGGAGACAGACTAAATATTGCCTTTAGCTCTTCGACAGTGACGAAAGGCCGGGCTAAAGGTATAGTTTTTGCTACAGGGACTTACACTGAGGTCGGTGCTATTGCTACGGCGATTGGACACACTGGTTCAAAAATACGACCTATCAAACGGAATCCTGATGGTTCCGCTAGATTTCACCATTACCTTGAGGCCTATACATTAACATGTATAGATGCCATTGGCCGCTTTCTGGGTCTTAACGTAGGAACACCACTCCAACAGAAGCTATCGATGCTCGCAATCCACCTCTTTGGTATCGCTATCTTGTGCGCCGTAATTGTCCTGGCGGTCAACGGATTCGTCTCTCGACAAGAAGTAATCATCTACGCAGTTGCTACTGGTCTATCGATGATCCCCGCTTCATTGGTGGTCGTGCTAACTATTACCATGGCCGCTGGAACGAAGCGTATGATAGAGCGGCATGTCATAGTACGGAATCTTAAGTCCCTAGAAGCTCTAGGCGCCGTAACCGATATATGTTCCGACAAGACTGGAACACTGACTCAGGGCAAGATGGTAGCCAGACGAGCGTGGATCCCTGCCGTCGGCACTTATACTGTTGAGACGTCTTCGGAGCCTTTTAACCCTACAACTAGTATGATACTACTCGATCCACGCCAGCCATGGCAGATCAACGCTGGAGAGGACGAGTTCGAGACCAGCTTAGCTAAAAAACCTTCTCAATTACTAAAAAATAGCAAGCAGGCATTGTTTGACTTTTTATGTGTTGCATCTCTCGCTAATATTGCTACTATCTCTCTAAAGAATGGAGTATGGCACGCGCGAGGCGACCCAACTGAGATCGCAATTCAAGTCTTTGCCTCGCGCTTCGACTGGAATAGGCTCAAGCTCACCCAAGGTGAAAATGCAGAGTGGACACAAATCGCTGAACTTCCTTTCGACTCCGAAATCAAGCGCATGTCCGCCATTTTCAGAAACGACCCGACTGAGCAGCTCTCCGTTTTTACTAAAGGCGCTGTTGAGCGAGTCATATCTATCTGTACGAAATATTGTGAACACGATGACCAAGAAGCAATCAAGATAGATGAGAGATTCCGTGCCAATGTCATGAAGAATACGGAAGCTCTTGCTAGTACTGGCCTACGGGTTCTAGCGCTTGCGAGCAAGACATTCCAAGGTCCCTTGGAAAAGGGGGGCGAGGTAAATCGGACAGACGTAGAATCAAACCTGATATTTCGCGGGTTGATCGGCCTATACGATCCACCAAGACCGGAATCTGCTTCCGCAGTTCTTAGTTGTCACAGAGCAGGTATATCAGTACACATGCTAACTGGAGACCACCCCGAAACGGCAAAAGCCATTGCTCTAGAAGTCGGCATACTTCCCAGCCGTATGGAGCGAGTCAGAGCAGACGTCGCAGAATCAATGGCAATGACTGCCAGCCAATTCGACTCGTTGACAGACGACCAAGTCGACAAGCTTCCTGTTCTTCCCCTGGTCATTTCCCGATGCGCTCCCAACACCAAAGTCCGGATGATCGAGGCGCTCCACAGACGCAAGAGATTCTGCGCTATGGTAAGTTAGGAGACACATACCTCCCTTTCCTACTACCAACTTAATAACGTCTCTCTTTCTCGACTAACACCCAACAGACCGGCGACGGCGTAAACGACTCACCCTCTCTCCGCCGCGCCGACGTCGGCATCGCAATGGGCCTATCCGGCAGCGACGTAGCCAAGGAAGCGTCCGACGTAGTACTATCAGACGACAACTTCGCCAGCATAGTCGCCGCGATAGAAGAGGGCCGTCGCATCTTCGACAACATCCAGAAATTCGTGCTGCACGTGCTGGCCGAGAATATCGCCCAGGCCGGCACTCTACTCGTGGGGTTAGCCTTCAAAGACGAGCATGGACTGTCCGTGTTCCCGCTCGCGCCCGTCGAGATCGTCTGGATCATCATGGCGACTTCGGGCATGCCGGATATGGGGCTGGGCTTCGAGTGCGCGGTCAAGGATATTATGAACAGGCCTCCGCAGAGCTTGAAGACAGGGATCTTTGATACCGAATTTTTGGTTGATATGGTCGTTTACGGGTTGTGGATCACGGCTCTTTGCCTGTCGAGTTTTGTCCTTGTTGTGTACCGGTTTGGCGGCGGGAATCTGGGCAGAGGCTGCAACGAGGCGTATAACAACAGTTGCGATACCGTCTTCCGCGCACGCGCGACTACGTTTGCCTGTCTTACCTGGTTTGCGTTATTCTTGGCTTGGGAAATGATAGATCGTCGAAGGTCTTTCTTCTCAACGCAACGACCCCAGTCCGGCAACTCCAGCAAGTCCTGCACTATAGCGAGGTGGGCTCGTGATATCAGTCAGAACAAATTCCTCTTCTGGGCTATTGTCATCGGCTTCGTGACACTATTCCCAACTCTATACGTGCCGGGCCTCAACACCATCGTATTCAAGCACGTTGGTATCTCGTGGGAGTGGCTCGTGGTGTTCGTTAGCTCAGTCTTATTCTTCGGTGGCGTCGAGGGCTGGAAGTGGGGGAAAAGAGTATACTTCCGGCGCGTAGCTTTTGCCAACAAGAAGGGGATGGGGATGACCTGGAAGGATATGGACGTCGAGCAGCGCGCTTTCGCGGAGTATCTCGATTTCTCATCGGGTGGTAATGAGGTTTACAATAACGAAGAGTGGATGAATAGCGCAGCGAATTCGACAACTCAGTTAATACCTTAGCGTCTTAAAAGGGGTTGTGGTAGCTGTGAAGATTGGTTGAAAAGTGATTTGCCTGGGAGGGGAGGGTATAACAAAACGAATGGAATTGGTCTGGGCTTGCTAAGATAAAGCGGCAAGCAGTGGGAATCCTCACATGATATAGGATAAGGGGTCGGGGTTGAAGGTAACGAGGTTTTGTAGGATTGAAGGGGATGTTGAGGGGTTAGTGAGCATAATAATGGGTGGACAACTCCGCGGGACGACACCCCGAGTGTACTACCAGTCATAATCGATATCCACCAAGTCCAATATGTTAATATTCATAGATGTTCTCAGATACATCCCACGGGAGAAGTCTAATGTTCGTAATTAAGTGTACCGTGTTCGTCGTCGTAATATATCATCTCTTGCTCTACCTAGCACTTTAACGATCTTAAATGATACAATGTATTCTGTATACGGCTGTTTTACAATAGAACAATGTGATGTTAATAAGACGCAACGCAATACCATACGATTTTCTTCATGTTAGGATTAACCCATCGGATTAAATACAATATATAGAGGATATTTTATCTATTCCCCTCTTTAATCATAGATCAAATGATCAAATCGTTGATATATTCTAACTAGTATCACCACCAGTTTCCATCTTCTAACTAAATTGACGGCGCCTTCGATACTGAACCCCGTTCTATATCCGAGTCCTTCCCGCTGCCCGAGCTACCACTCACGGCCGGTGTGCTGATACCCTCTACACTAGGAAGGTTTTGATGAAGCATATGGTGCTAGTAGTTATCGTATCGTTAGATTTCGTGGACCAATATCATTTTCGAATGAGGAGGAAAAGCGGCAGTTTAGCCAAACTTACCTCAATATTGATCTTGGGTCCTTTAAACCACTTGTGAGCATCCACGAAGAACCATATGAGAATGAACAACATCGGTGCACCCTGATACAAAAGTCAGCATCGATTCCAATCATCTTCTCCGTCTATCTCTTTAAATCCCAGCCAGTAGATTTGGCATCATTCTAAGTGAGCCTAAAGGAGGAAAGTAACTCACATAAACAAGCGCAGTCCAATTCATCTCTTCCAAGGTCAAATTCTCACCGCGCACACTGGGAAAACACAGGATGGGCAGCATAACCAGGATAAAACAGCAGGCTGCGATACCCGAGGGTAGACTCAAGGGGCCGAGATGCCAGGGCCCACGACGGAAGCGGTTTCCGACGACTGCGATCTTGAGGAAAATAGGTGTCGTGAAGGCGACGTATGCGGCGATGGCACCGATGCTAAAAATGGCATCGATGGCCGCCCCTCCGAAAATCAGTAGTACCAATAAGATCCCAATCGACGTATTAAACCAAACCGCATTCACTGGAGTTAATGTGTATTGGTTAACTTGCTTTAGTGGTCGACTCACTACGCCGAAGCAGTCATCGCGTGCGTACGCGAAGCATACCCGCGATGCAGCTACCATACATCCCTGCCCCATCATGTAGGCGCATACAATAGTCATGGAAAGGACGGCCAATGCCACGTTTTGCGGTAGGATTTGGATTAGGTACGCTGCAAACGGTTGTTCCTAGATAGTTTAGTATAAGCGACGTATTCGCGTATGAGCCCTTACCAGATCGCTATCCAAGACTGCTCCCACATCCTTAATTGTATACGCGATAATGGTGTTCAATACGAAGCCAAGAACCGATCCCGACCCGGCTGTCATGACGATAGACCTTGGCGTAGCGATGGCCGCATTTGAGCATTCTTCCGAGAGGTGAAAGCTAGCATCATAGCCGGACATTGTCCATATAATCGACAAGAACGACATCAGGACGGCAACACCATCGGGCCAGTCCGTACTATTTTGGATTCCCCACGCAAACTCGTTCGGCTGAAATTTGGGATCGCCCGTCACCGCGGTTGGAATGATTATGATGGTAATCAGAAGGCAGAGGAGGTTGATGGTCGTACCAACGGAGTTAAAATTCGCAATCCACAGCGTCGGCATGCTGCTGATACAGGCGTGTGTCAGCATGATTAATACGGTCAGGAGAAATGTGTGGTAGCTCTCTGGCTTATATTCGGGGTTCACTATCGACGCCGCGGCCAGAATCATAGCAGCTTGAAAATAGGTAAGGAGTCAATTTCTGGAGCCCAGAAGCGAGCGGAAAAGATCGCGACTTACCACACCCATAGTCAACACTCGGTGCTCCTGTGACTTGAACGAACCAGTTGCTCCAGCCAGTTATCCAAGCAGCGAAAGGACCATACTTAGGGCCAGCTAGCACTGCTGCCGCATAGTAGAGTCCGCCAGAAGTTGGCATACTGCTCGCCAACTCTGCCATCGAAGCAGCAACCTATGGGGAGAAGTCAACTCTACTCACGCTATAAAATTAACCAAGGAAGCGCTTACGCATAGAATGAAGAAGACCGACAATAACCAACCCCAAGTATTCGCTGCCGGTCCGGCTACATGACATCATCAGCTCTTCATTGTCTCCACCAATGTCTTTGAATGTTATATCCCAGGGAGCAGCTCACCATAGCCAAGTCCATACCACATGGTAGTCGCAATACTTGGTAGTAGTCCCATCACGGCGAAGCTGACAGCAAAAGTCGTCCAGGCTGAGAATTCGCGCTTAAATTCCTGCTTATAACCGAGCGCCGCGAGCGCAGCCTCATCTGCCGACATCTCTGCGATATGATCTGGCACATCTCCCTGGGCGAATACGGTTGTGACAGCCGGGGGTTGTGATGCCCGACGGTGCTCTTCGCTTGCTACCATTTTGAATTTGAGGAGGCGGTTAGTGGTCACCACCTGGTTCTTATATATAAGGTGTTCGCCGCGCAGTTCTCATGGGCTAGCAATTCCTTAGTTGAGATAGACAGGATTGTTGCAATTGTTAAGATAGCGATTTGAGTATGTTCATGAGTATGTTCGCTCAACGAGCCCGGAATGATAGTTGAGAATTCATAAAGAGAACCATGGCAAGCCACTTTCAACAGAGCTGAAAGGGAAATGTGTAACGTCGCGCAAAGTTGACGCAGCCATGTTTATGTACTGTAATGATGATCATGATAGATAACCTGTTAGTCAAGGTTTTTTATCTGCTTTATCTTTACATACTACGGGCTGGATGGATGGCTGGCTGGGTATTGGAGTACCTACCCCGGCCTGCCTATCTACTGCCCGCGTATCATTCGTGGGGTACGGAAGCTTGTGTCGAGCTGGATCTTCGGAGCTGATATGCATATCGCATCGCCCATCGCCTATTCGCCAACAGCAATGAGAGACCGAGTACAAGTCCAGCCATAATCAACGTAGTACCGAGGCATCGCTCTCCTGCCGATAAGGGATTTGTACGTCAGAAGGATCTGCTCCAGGGGTCAGGGGTTGTCTTAATATTGATAGGTAATCCCAGAACAAAATTCATACTAGGTACGCCTAGCAGTGCTAAGATAAGTGAAATACAATCGGTACAATGATGTTATAATTAAGGTTGAATTAAGGCACATTCGGTGATCCAAGGAAACCTTACGACGAATTCATAAATGAGATACCTTGTAGGCCGAGTGATTGATCAAATCTAGAGCTTTAACCTAGGTAGCTAGAGAAAGTAAGTGCTCATCCATCCACCTTATCTACCCGTAATGTATACAATCCACTCTAGTTATCAAACTGACCTGAAAAGAGTGATTCGTATTTATGATTTTGCCATTGTAAGGGCGGAGACCTCTAATCAAATGGGAGGCTCTCACAGGACGGTGAGCTGTGAGATGAGTGCGTAAACATACATAAGCTGAATTTTTGGAGACAGGTTTTCTAGTTTTAATTCGGTGTCTAGTCGAGGTTTGATTTTTGACGGACTTTTGGACTTTTGGACTTTTAAATCGAGTTGAACGGTGGGATAATTTTGACTATTATTCACTGGAAGTTCCCCTTCATTCCAAAATTCATCTTGTATGTTGCTCTTTTTTGTTTCGTTTGTGGTTGTATTTGATCCGGCACCTTGGCCTTCGTACGTGGTGGGTCGAGCATTGGCGAGTCTTACAAGGGGATTTTCTGGATTGTCGTGTTCCTAACCCGGGGGTACATATACTGTTGCTCCCCCATATTCTTCGTTTAGCCAATACGTCTCATCGACTTCTCGAGGCTCGAATTCGGCCATTGATAAATAATCGTCAAAAGAGCCTGCTACTTGGTTTCCGACGTGGTCTTGGTCTTCCATGCTCATGGCGAAGAATGATTTACTTCAATGAAATAAATTACGAGTGGCTTGTAGGTATATACCTGTGAAGCAATGTGTTCAGACTATGAAGAGGCTTAACTAAAAGAGCTATTCTTTAAGCTGTCTAAGGTACGGATTATAAGGAATTACATATAGGTACCTAGGTATTTATGTAAAATTGCAAACTTCTACCTTTCATTAGAAGCTGGATAATTTGCTAGCAGCTGCAACTTACCGGTGTAACTATACCTTATAGTCAGGCACAGCATCATACCTGTGTTTGCTGTAGGCAGTTGCTATGATTGGCTAACAAAGTTGGGGGTAACATAGATGCGGTAGGTGAAAGCTCTATTTGAATTCCCGAATAGCGATGGTCACTGCATAATGAGATGAGGTAAGACGTTACTTCTGTATGTACCTTAGGTACTCTTGTCTGATAATACGTGAATCTTAAGGAAAGAAGCACGTGGCATGCGACACAACTCTAGCATGTACATGTTATCTGAAGATACCTCCAGGCTATTAGTAGTTATATCGGTTAACTAGTAACTTTGAAAGTTGAATACCTTCTACAGACTCGGAGATCCGAGCTTGATTATATAGTTCTTCCGAGCTTAACTCATCCTGCCTTTTGTTAAGGTGTTCATGACTTGACTTCGTGTTTGTGTGCGTGTGCGTATGCGTACATACATATGTAATGTAGGGCTGCACGTAGGACTGGTCGGCTGAAAGGGGAGATTGGTGGGGGATATTGAGCTGTCTGTCCCATTACCGATTCTTGTGACTAGGTTAGGCTAGGTACTTTGACACTTATACATTACCTATTATAATTAAGCTCATGACCCCATCATCGCAAGCTCTTTAACCATATCAATTATCTGGTGTATACTATGTAAGTAACTGGTATAATAATGGCCATCCCTTACAGTTTAATTTTCCTTTAATGCGAGCTTTCGTAGATTAAACATAAAAGAGCCTTAGCTTAAGATGTAAGATGGGCAATTGCTAATACGATTTAAGTTTAGACCCTTAAACGCCTAAGACCCAAGGCCCAAGGTGGCATGAAGATCAGATAGGTACATCCATGTACAGATACCTTATGACGCAGCTTACATGTTAGGCTGCTCCCCTATTGGGCATTTAGTGCCTTGAATGACGGAGTAATAAGAGAGACACTCCATACATGTACATACAAAAGGTATGCATTCGACCTCCTGAATAGTCTAATGTAACAACATTTATCTCATGAATTCCTCTTATTATTATCATCATTATTTTTTATAGTTATAAATATTCAATTCTTTCATTTTCGATAGGGTCACAGGGGTAAAGTTATTAATTGTCATTAGTGGAGTTGTATTGCCATTTAGGTACCATACATGTACCTGGTTATTTAAGATAACGTTCCTGATAGGCACCCAGCAGATCCGCCTGAACGGTACAACGATACATGCCTAAATCATTACCGCAATTTTCTTTTCTTGGCCGGGAACGACACGACGCAACCTTTTTATACAATACACCTCATCTCGTCAACTCAACCGTCTACGCTACGGCCAACTTAAGCCAACTCGGCTCCAACACCCACACTACATAATACATTATATCATACATCCAAAGCTTCAAATCGATTACTCATGCAAAGCTAATTTCTTCTTCGTTGTCACACCATATATTTGGTGTTCCGACCTTAATCCCCCTTTCCCGTGCTGACTAGGTATCTAAGGCTGCTTGCGCACCGCCGGGCGCTATGAATGCCATACAGCAGAGATGTCGTCCGAAGCATCAAGTTTTGGTTCTAAAGTGCTATCCTAGTACTACTAAGGGGGCTGTCGATGTTAAACCCAACTCGAGCGAACTAAGCTATCTTTTGTTCTATGCCACGTCGCGACGAACCAAGATTCAGAAGGTTGGCCAATTTCTCGAGAAAAAGACAGCTAGCGATGTGTGGAGGGTGCGCATTGGGTAAGTTCACCGCCCCTACTAAAGTACAACACGGAAAGCTTCCATTTCCCATGATTTGGATGTAGCTATATTTAATGAATTACGTATAATTGACCATTTATTTAGAAATGTCCAGGTCACCCTGCAGATACTAGCTGCTCTGATCGAGAAAGCCCCCAAAGATCTCCCCCTATTCGCACAAAATGTATTGAGGATTTTAGACCTCGTTCTTCGATCCGATGATATTACTATGGTCGAGGCGTCGTTGCCCACATTTCGAACTTTCTGCGAACACCATGATGTCTCGTCGCTTATTGCCGATCAAGCCTACCTCCTCCAGTACGAGCAAGTCGTACGTGCTTATGCCGCATTCGCGTCAACTCGGAAGGCTCCTGGTAAAGGCACACCCAGCAAACCCGTTGCCCTGAGATGGAGGAATGCAGGCTTGGAAGCAATCAAGAGCGTTTCTGAATCCGAGGCGTTATCCTCCGTTGCTGGACGTCAGCTCGATGTAATAGTGCCTATGATTCTCGAGAATCTATGGACCGACGATGAAGAGTTCCTTAGTATACTATCGCAGCGTGTCGAGGTAGAAGAGAAGGACGATTCCAATGCCCTGTTACGACGGAGAACTAGTATTTCCACTATTAAGACGGCAGATACTGGGGGTGATGCGAACCCCATAGCTATTTCGGGCACGTCTGTTGATATCGACAAGCTCGCCGAAGAAGATATTGGTGTTGTAGCTATGCAGTGCCTGAAGCAAATATTTGTCATACCCAACAGAGCACAGATAAATGGGGCGACGATGGCGTTGCTACGATTCATCAGAGAGCGTGTTCAGCAGAAGGAGTCGGTGATAGTGCAATCCGAAGACGGTAGTGGGCGTTACCATGGCTGGGCAATCAAGATCTTTGAGCTCGCAACAAGATGGGCCCCGGTACAGGACCGTTATGTTATTATGATTACTACTACAGATACACTCCTACGAACCCCACCGACCGAGGACAATATGGCGGATCAAATCGTGCTTACCGCTATTGTCGGATCCCTATTGAGCTCTGACATCAACTTGATTGGCCTAAGTGTTATGGATGTGCTCTCGGGGTTGATACAGCATATGAAGAGAGTCTTGAAACACTCGGGGAGTTCAAGGGGCAGCGCCGGTTCTTCGGGAGATGACAAGCCACCTTCGGTTATCGATCTCTCCCTACACATATCAGTACCATACAGAGAACTATTGACTCGGATTCAGCAGTCGATTGGTAATCTAGCTACTCACGTGTACTACGCAGACCAAATTTCCGACATGATTTCCACTATCCTCTTGAGACTCAAACCTCATCCGAGCACAGCAGCGAACGCGTCACCGGCTCCGGAAAAGACGGAAGCTCTGCCTGGGGTTTCTGCCGGAAATATTTCGGACGATCAATCTCATCTCGACAGCTACTTTGCGTTGGACCTGGCTAAGACGACTGCTCTTCGAGCTGTCAAATCTATCCTCCTTGTTGCCAATCCGAAGACGAAGGTTAGCGGAAACGTCAGTCTGACAAGAAACAAGGTTCCTATACAAGTATGGGAGGGTACGCACTGGCTTCTGCGCGATCCGGATGGGCAGGTCCGAAAGGCATATGTCGATGCTCTTGGCACCTGGCTCGACCGAGAAACGACGAGTTCCGATTTAGAAGCACGGGACGACTTGGGCCGGAAACCACGAGCAACCAATCGAGAAATGCCATCAGGCAGTGTTGCTCGTCGAGCTGTTTCGAGTGCCTCGAATCGGGATAAACCTGCTAGAGCTGCCCGGTGCCGCTTCTTACAGCTTCTTCATCTTGCCATTTATGACAGTGCTCTACAATTCGTAGAGTATCAGGCGGATATTACCCTTCTCCACGTCTTGTTAACTAAACTAGTTAATAAACTTGGTGTCAATGCTGCCAGATACGGTCTTCCAATGGTATTTCGGCTCCAGGAAGATATTTTAGAGGCAGAAACACCTGCAGCGAAATTTCACCTTGGATGCCTCTGCCATGGTTATTTCTGGGCCTTGAGTGAGCATTTCAATTTCGAAGCATCACCAGTCGGCCGCGCGATCCACAATGAAATCGTTCGGAGGAGAAGCAAACATTTTTGGGTTGAAGGTGTCCACGTTCCGACACCATCACTGGATATTTTGGAAACGCCCGGTTCGCCTAAATCGCAATCAAAGGTACCTACACGCGAGGTAGAGTCGGAAGCATTGTTGCCCTTTGACGACCGCATTGGGATGGTAGATTGCATTTGCGTGAACTATAAGGAGAGAGCTATCTCCCCTCCCACAAGTCCCTCTACATCACCTGGCCGCGTATTCTCGCACCCAATCCTAAGCTCTACCCTTAACAACGTTCCGCTGGGTAACGATGACCGTGAGCTACCCAATAAATTTAGAGAGGAAATGTTGGCGGAATGGAATCGAGAGGCCGTTGTCATTGCACTCCAAGCGGAGAGTAAGTCGGCTTCTATAAGCGGGTCCAAAGCCGGGACAACTGCTACCAGGGGGAATCATCTTACTGTTAACGGACCCTCATCTAACGGCTATGCCGCTAGCAGACCAGAATCTGCTTATGCTCGCCAGAACAACCTGCGGCCTACTTCACATGCTAGTCATATCGCTGCTTTGCGGAACTCTAGTGGACAGAGCCACGGCTCTGGGAAGACTGCTTCTAGTCGAGGCTTCGTCGCTTCTGTTGATCAGCTCAAATCGGTGTTAAGCGGAGATCCAGTTCGACCAGCCACGTTCCAGACATTACAAGAAGACGGCGACAGCAGTGATAGCATGGCGAGCTACGAGTTCACACCGTCGGAACTTTCGTTTAATCCAAACCAGGCAGATGGTGTCGATACCAATGACGCAGCCCTTACACGTTTGCGATCAAAGTCCCGGGAGCGAAAGGCGTCTGGAGACTCGGGAGGTCCTCTGACTTCTCATCCTATGGAAGGCGAAGCCGAGGATGAAAGCGTACCGCCAGTGCCGCCGCTACCGGCATCATTGGTGGGAAAGTCGCCTCCACCTGAGATCAACCTTGAGCGTATGGCCAAGGTCTCAAGCCAAGACCATGCCGTCAAGACTCCTCAAAGGAATGTTAGGAGCCGAGGGGGAGATAGCATCCTTTCAAGTAATTTTTCAAACGCCGGGGCAGCCAGCATGGACTTACAAGCGATGCTCAAGGGCATCGACAGCAAGTCGAAGCAAAACACGCTCGGAAATTTAACGAAGCCCCCTTACTAACAGTCTACACTGTACTAGTGCTCATATGTACTTTCTTAACTACCTATATTTAGATTTAGTGGAAACAAAAAGACGGAAGTTGACTCGTAATGATACCCTCGGGGTAGAGGGTAGTTTGTCCGGATGAGGTGTTGTATACTATTAACGCCGGGGAATATTACACAGAAGGGTCGACAGCATAAAAAGAGGAGGAAAAGGGCAATAATGAAAAAGACTACTGCGCGGGGCAACTCTATCTAAGGTAAAACACATGCTTGTATATATTATACGTCCGTTTGTACTTGCGTCGGTCTTTCGTTTTTAGCGTGGTTGATGGTTTTGGTTTCTTGAGGGGGGTTTTGTTAGCCATCTGTTATAGGTGTCTAAGGGGGTTATTGTTGTTGTTGTTGTTAGCGATAGAAAGAGCATATCAATTTAAAAGCAAAAAACTTAGACCAAAAGTTGACGATACATTTGTCTATCTTACGTGTTAATACACTATTTAATTCTATAGGTTAATTACAGTACAGTTTAGAGCGTGATATTCCAATTCTGATTGGTCAACTTAATATTCAAGATATTAAGCTGTTGCATAATCGATAACAGACTCTCCAATGCTCAAATTTATATGGCAAATTCCACCCCTCGATGTTAGCCGCAACTTCAAATTCATCAACGTAAAAACCCATTCAAGATGAAGCCGCCTACCCGAATAGCGCTGCAATCAGCAATACGCCAATACATCCAATCTACACACTCTACTCCAACAAATCTTCCCTTAATAACGCACCAACGTCATATCCACATCACTTCCAGCGCACCCGCCACAGTCTCGCCAATTCACGGCACCGGACCACCCCCCGAGCCTCCCATCCCCGCTGCCGACAGCGCCAGTTCCCGGCTCGAGCGCCGCCGGAAACATGCCGAACTCCTCGAGAAAGCACGAGAGATCCGACAATCCGAATCCGCGCCAAGCGCATCCGCCAAGAAGACTGGAGAAACTGCACGGCGCAAGAGATTCTGGAAAGATGTACATGTGCACGAAGTCGACGGGGCTTGGGAGGTCCATCTAGATAAACGACCGCTACGCAGACCAAATACCAAGGACATCGTTAGACTGCCCCTAAGCAAACCCCTTCTCGCGAGCGCCCTAGCTATAGAGTGGGACATGTTAGTTTCCGTGCAGCAGACGACGCGGCAACACCTTATTCCGCTAACGAGCCTCGTGTGTCGCGCGCTGGATATTGTGGACGACGATGCGGCGCGAACGGGGAGCGAGAGTCTCCGCGAGGGGATTGCCAAAATGCTGTTAAGGTATCTCGATACGGACTCCTTGCTGTGCTGGGCGCCGCCGCCTCGACCTCACGATTCGCTAGGCGAGGGCGCGGACACCCTACGCGACGTACAGAAGCGCGCGGCGGAGGAAGTCGTCGGATACTTGACCAGCCGCGTGTGGCCGGGCATCACGATCGAGCCGGTGCTCGACGGCGAGAGCATCATGCCGCGCAGCCACCCGGATATCACGCGGCAGGTCGTGCAGGGGTGGATGGCGGGGCTCAGCGCGTGGGAGCTCGCGGGGCTGGAGCGCGCTGCGTTGGCTGGAAAGGGGTTGCTAGGCGCGGCGAGGTTACTAGTCGAGTGGAGCGAGGGGCCGGTCGGCACGGGCTCCGGGGAGAAGAAATTTGGCGTTGAGGAGGCGGCTAGGCTGGCGAGTATAGAGGTTGATTGGCAGACGGGGCGTTGGGGCGAGGTGGAGGATACGCATGATGTGGAGAAGGAGGATCTTAGGCGGCAGTTGGGGAGTACGGTGTTGCTCGTGACGGGGACGGGGAGGAAGTAGGTAGTCTAGTAGAAGGTGAGAAGATTAGATATATAATATTATAAATGTACCTATATTACTGCTCATTGATGCTCTTCGTCTAACAACTCCTGAAGGCATTCGCCAGTTTGAGTAATTCAAATCTACATATACCTAGATGGATACCTCGAGGTTCCATGAAATATAAGACTAGTAGTTCATCGCCTAGAGTAGAAATTCCAAATAAATAATTATTAATAGCGAATATAGAGTGTCTCTTATATAAAGTGTTTAATAAATTGGTGATTATACCTTCTAAGCTGGGTCTGGGTGACAACTACACTAAAGCTCACATATCAAAGCTCAATTTACTCCCCCCCTTACCCTCCAATGTCTAATACGCATTAGATATATCTAAATTTCTTGGTTTAACAGCTGCTTTACACTCTTAGTATTCCGCGGTACTTCTAAGCATAGAGTAGCACCTAGGATTGTCAGCTGACTGTAGTAGCGTAAGTATAAGGTACCCATATACGAGATACCACGGGCTCGGAGTTATTCTATACACACTATCTCGGTCGCCGGAGAAGTGTTCCTGTTAGCGTCCATATTTTTTCTCTAATATCATTGGAGGTCTCGATTATATCATCATGAACTATTGCATGACTAGGAGATACGTTTCTACGTTATGTACTTCCTGTTCCGCCGTGGGGGAAATACGCCCTACCATCTCCTAAATCGCCAAGATGATAATTATACTGGTCGTACAAGGGGTAGAGATATTGTTTGTTCTTGACGACAGAATTAGTCGCTTAGGTAGTTCAGGGGGTTGATCCTTACGGTCCGGTGTATGTTATTCGACGCTTCGCTCGCGAATCGTAAGTCCGTGACGGTAGAATTAAATCCTACTGAAGTCTATATTAATATTTACCTACTATCTAACAAGTCGTTCCAATATCTAGAATACCTATATATTAACTATGTCTTCCTACTATTTAAACTTGAATTCAACAACCATCTTTCGTATTATTAAACGTCGTTGTTTTCTTCATTCCTACCTTAATAGCTTATAACTTCAACTACGACAATGCCGGGCCAACCACCATCACGAGAACTCTTCGCCTTCAACGAAGGCAAGACTTTCATCGCAAATATAGTAGTCCGTACTAACGGCACCCTTCTCTTAAGTACATTCGAGAACGGTCGTCTATACTCGTTAGATCCACACGCCGCTACGCCAAAAGTCGAACTAGTCGCTGAGTTCCCCGGCTCCAATGCGATAAGCGGCGTTGTCGCAAATTCACCTGATGTCTTCACTGTTACCGGTGGTGACCATAGACCATACCGGTATGCATTGGGGTCAATGAGGGTGTATACCGTTTCCTTCCAGCAGCCTGGCCAACCTGCGGTTGTGAAGACGGTAGCGGAGGTACCTGACACTGAGATGCTCAACGGCATTGCTTCTCTTCCCTCTCAACCTCATATCGTCTTGAGTGCCGACTCGGTCAGGGGCCGAATCTTTCGCATCAACACTAGCACTGGCGCTGTAGATGTTGCATTTTCCGACCCAGCTCTGGAGCTGAACGAAGCAGTTCCCATAGGCGTTAATGGAATTAGAATCTTCGGACCACACCTTTACTTTGTAAATTCCGCCAAAGGATATTTCGGTCGTATCCCTATTGGACCGGACGGTAGTAAAGTGGGAGATGTCGAGATCATTGCTCACACACCCGAAACGATAGGCCCGAGCAGTGCTTATGACGACTTTGGTATAGCACAACCCGTTGGTGGAAATCCCACGGCCTATGTCACTGCCCATACGAACAAGGTTTATTCCATTGACTTGGTGACTGGCGAGCAGAAGCTTTTCTTCGGCGGAGGCGACAGCACTGCTCTCAAACGCCCGACGAGCGTTGCTGTAGCTAATGATGGCAAGAGTATTTACGTTACTACCGCAGGATTCGAAACTCTAGGTGGACCTGCTAAGGGACAGGTTGTAGAGATTCCAATCTAGGGAATGTTGGGAATGCTAGGGGACTAAACTAGAGATTATTACCTAGGCATTTAGCCGGTTCGAGTCACAAGTCAGAATGCTTGCGAACATGATTAGGTTACGTTTCAATAACAAGTCTAATTAATGTATCGATTCTTAGAATATCGCTTGGGCATTTGGTGGTGACGACACACCACCAGGCATATTAATAGGCATAGAGGTAAAGAAAAAGGACCACCGATTCAACTCCTTACAAATCTCAGAGAGCCTTTCCAAGTCAAATAATTCGCCTAAATAAAAGCATTAGTTAGGTACCTAAGATAGTTTCTTCACAAATAAGTCTCAAACTTACCAATAGGCATACCCCATCCAACAAGGAGAATATCGTGAAGAAACATATCACCTTGTGGAGGATATACTTCCCACGATAAAGCGTCACCAGCCACAGCAGCGAATCCGGTATCCCATAACCATTTTAACACTTCGGGCGTTGCCTCTACTCCCGCATGCTTCGGCGAAGGTGACGAAGAGTAGGCCGTCTTAGCCGCGACGTCCATTTTGTCCTCCCATTCTCTAATAACACCGCTCCGTACAAGTAAGACATCCCCTCTTTCGAATATGATATTGTGCTCATGGGCTATGTCAAGGATATCCTGGAGCTTGATGGTATGATTAGAAAAGGTAGAGTACTTGATGCCTTTCCTCTGTGCCCACGACACATAATCGATAAGTACGCCGCGGCCGGTGATACCCTCGCGAGCCCAATGTTGGGTACCTATGCGATCGTTCGATCTGTCGAGTATTTCCCCCTTGGTCGTTCCGCCATAAAATACACGTTCCTGCTGATCATCTTCACCGGGTGGCTTGGCGCTCCAATGGCGTAGACCATCCCACTGGCTACTTTGCTCTGGGATTATCGTTAGAGCAGGTGCAAATCATAGCAAGTCTTAATACTATACTTACGAGGATTCATCGTATAGATATCATCGAAGGCGACGCCATCTAAAATTGGTGTTATTTGGTGGCCGAAAGGGGTTCTCCCCATATTTGGATACTCCAATTTCGTGACGTCCCAGTTCAACCCGATACGCCGGCCAGTCCGGATTTCCTGAGCTGCAGCGTTACGGACACGTTCTTCCGTCAGTAGAGCAAGTCGTCCGAGGCCCTCCTCGTGGCTGCCCGGCTGTCCAACCCATACTCTTTTAGGATCTGGAAGCTCGTCAAACTTTAGATCCATAAGGGTTCTAGGTTCAGTCATATTGGTAGGTATTTTGGGAATATTTCCAAGGGAATTTGCAGGATATAATTCAATAGGTGGTTTGCATATAAGACGCGTATGTATATAAGATATAAGACCGCTTTATATTCGACCCCCATTGATATTATTGCGTAAGTGTCTCGGATCGTTATTTCCCACACGACGCGATAGGTTAGACGTCGTACGTCAGGCAAATAATGCCACCAACTGCAGAAAACAGAAGCGAACCTCCATGTGAGCTTGCTAGTTGAACCGAGCGATAAGCAACCAGAAAAGCCTCAGACCTCTTGTGCATGAGTAAAGGTGGCAATCGACCGTCGCAATGTCGGTATTGAGGGGTCTGAGTAACACGACACTGCCCAATGGCATTCGCTCTTTGATGTCACGCTGACTATGAGACTTATGCGAGTCAAGAAGACGTAAGTTCCCCAACATCTATTCCGTTCACATAAACTAATATAATGTCTTCGGGATTATCTTTTATGTATGTTGGTAGCGTATAGCTGCTGGATAGGCTTATGTAAATTGAGGGCATTGTATCAATGGCAAGAAGCAGGATGACATTATCTAAAGAGCGCTACTCGATTAAAGAAGACAGGAACTAAGGTATAGCGCTATGGTAGCTGGTGTTGTTGATTGTCATACTAGGAATGGATTCGAAATACTCTTCCTCGTGCTCTTTATAAGTAGTCCGGATGACGCAAGAATCGGGCTGGATTAATAAGTTGGAAGAAGAGACCGGCTTTGAATTGGTATATAGTGTCTAAGAGAATTAACTAGACTGAATAAACTTGTCTATTAGACGTACGACGATATTCGTAACGGAATCAGTACGATTGGCAATAGTTGAATTCGTTTCCTCGAGGTGCTGGACATTGTCACGAGGTGGAACCAAACATCATGGAAACAACTTCGTTGTTCCGCAAGGAACTCTAACTACCTAGAAGGTTCTACGTCTATATACTGAACATGCTCTTTGTTCTAGATGTCTCATCTAGAATCCTGACAGACATGTTTGAGGTGAATCTCGAAGTGCCCAAGTAGAAACTATCTTTAAACAGGACGCTCACTCTACTAGCTAGTGTTGAAGCTGTATCATATCTTTCTCCTATTAACAAATTATAGGAAAGCTATCATATTAGATATCGAAATATACACAAGTGGATCAGCTCAAATAGAAATTCCATGTTCTTTATAGCATGGCTATATGGTACCAATCAAGCTGAATGCAACCTCTATTAGGGGTTTCATTAAACTCCCTTGAAATCTCATAGTGAAACCGTAGTAAATGACTCTATACTTCTTACCATATTTCCCTAGCTAAGACGTGACAGCTCTTCGTCGGGTTCCCAGCTAAAGGAAATTATGCTAATAAGCTGATGATAGGGAGATCAAAATTATATTATTATATAGAATTATTAATGATAGGTAATTAACTCTTGTAAAAACTTCTATAATATTACTAAGGGATCGACGATATAGTATTTTTTCAGCGACCACATACTCTCCACATCGGAATATGTGTTTAACTCTGTCAGATAGTTTATACCCTTGATGGTTGTTATATATAGAATGTGAGTTAGGATAGATAGATTAGGTAGTAGATAGTACTATTACGAAGGCGCTGCGAGCCCCTTTTGTACCTAGTATAGGTATATACCCCTGTAACTACCCCTAACCCACTTATACCCCGACAACCTCTACGTACGGCTATAGCCAACTAATAATAATAATAAAAGGAGTATATTGAGGCTGTCGGCGCTATCGGATTCAAAGGATAGGGATAAGTCGGGTTTATCTTGGGATCTACTCTTTACAATCGTTCCTTGCATAATTATTTCTCGGTGCTGACGTTGGTCCGACTTCGTATGGAAAGTCCCCGAGGCCTGCACGGCACAACAATCACCAACGACCCGACGTCATATATATACCTTATATATATAGGCCAAGGGTTACTTACTTTAGAAGAAAAGTTTACTATTTATATCAAAAGACGTATATCCGAGGTGCTAGTTTGAAATTCTTAACGCCTCTCTATTTTGTAACGGGATCCCCAAGTTCACATTGCTCTTACGTATCCAATAGTTACTGAACCAGAAAGAACAAAGAGTATCTATAACATCTAAACTAGAAAATGCCACCGCAACTCATCTTCGGCACCGCCGGCTTCGGCATGGACAAGACGGAATTTCACGACACAGAATCCGTCAAGGCTACACTCACTACAATCCGGGACATCGGGATCCAACGCTTAGACACAGCAGCGCGGTACCCGCCGCTAAACCCGGGGCGGTCGGAAGAGTTGCTCGGGGAGGCGCGGGAACTTAGCCACGACTTTGCGATCGATACGAAGGTGTATACGGACACCCGAACGGACGGCAGCGGCGACCTGACCCGAGACGCTATAAGAAAGTCGGTTGAGGTCAGCTTGCAGAGGTTGAAGATGGATACGGAGAAGGGAGAGAGTATTAACGTACTGCATATTCACCGCGCGGACCCAGCAACGCCGTTAGAGGAGCAAATTAAGGCGTTTAACGAGCAGATTGAGCTAGGACATTGTAAGGCCGTAAGTCCTCCTCCTCCTCCTCTCTATTCTCTCCACTACCGTCTCCTTTTCTAAACCTTACATAACCTATAAAATAACAACTAACCCTCCTAGTGGGGCATATCCAACGTATCCCCCTCTACCCTCTCTCAAATCCTCTCCCTCTGCGACGAGCACAACTGGCGCAAACCAGCCTGCTACCAGGGGGAATACAGCCTAATCACCCGTGGCGCCGAGACCAAGCTCCTACCCATCCTCCGCGCCCACGGGGTTCGGTTCAACGCCTTCCGCTCCGCCGCCTCGGGACTGCTGACCGGCAACGCGGTGCGCGGGCACGTGGAGGGGACGCGCTTCGCATCCGATAACCCGCTGGGCGGTGCTATGCAGCGGGTCTTCGGGGCGCCGGATCTACAGGACGCGGTGCGAGAGTTCGACGCCGGGGTGAGGGCGAGGGGGCTGACGCCCCTAGAAGTTGCGATTCGCTGGGCTGTGCACCATTCCGCGTTAGGGGAGGATGATGGCGTGGTGTTGGGGGCGAGCCGGACGGCACAGGTTGTTGAGACGGTGGAGTTTGCACGGAAGGGCCCGTTGGCGGATGATTTGGTGAGGTTGGCGGAGGAGCTGTGGGATACGGTGAAGGAGACTAGGGGGAAGATCATTTAAGTGATTGATAAGTATCAGAAATGGTGATTTTATAAAAGAACGTTTTAAGATCGTTATTGACTGGCTTAGTCGGCTGCATCCTGGTTGAATAAGGTTGCGTACGATTAGCTGGTTCTACAAAAAATACCCAGTACCAAAATCCTACCATCTCTTCTACCGTAAAAAGGTTATCCTTTCTAATGCGCCGAGTCCGTGCCGCCTATGCTTTGGGCTCGGGCGGTCTCATTATAATATAGTATATGTACACGTTGAAGTAGCCAGTCAGATTGATTCAAACATGAGCAAATGCTTTCATGCTTCCTTCGTATCTTCAATTGCCACGGCCGCCCCTAGTTTGCCGTCTACATTAGTAGCACCACTTTCTCCGGCACGCTTCCTCAAGACGTTCTCGATGAAGGCCTCGCCAGCTTTGTAGCTACTCCTGACCAATGGCCCACTGGCGACATACAAGAACCCCATATTGAGGGCGCGCTGCCGCCACATCTCGAACTCCTCGGGCGTGACGTACTTCTCGACCTTGAGGTGGCGCTTCGTCGGTCGCATGTATTGGCCAAAAGTCACCACGTCTACGTCGGCCTTCCGCAGCCGCTCTAGCGCATCCATGATCTCGTGCTCCTGCTCGCCTAGCCCCAGCATCATACTCGTCTTTGTGATGATGCCATTCTGACCCCGGACCTTCTTCACGTGCTCGAGCACCTTAAGACTTGTCTTGAACGTAGCGCGACGGTCTCGCACGTACGGCGTGAGACCCTCAACGGTTTCAACGTTATGCGCATACACGTCAAGCCCGCTCTCGGCCACAACGGCCACCGAGTCCAGATCGCCCCAGAAGTCACTCGTTAGTGCTTCCACGAGTAGACTCGGCTTTTTGGCCTTGATCTTGCGGATCGTCTCGGCGAAGTGGTGCGACCCACCGTCTGGCAGGTCGTCTCGGTTGACATTCGTCAGCACCACATAGCCCAGGCCCCACCGAGCTAGGGCCTCAGCAGTGTGCTCAGGCTCATGGGGATCGAGCGGTGGAGGAGCACGGTTGGTCTTGACAGAGCAAAAGCGGCAGCCACGTGTGCATGTGTCTCCCATCAGCATGATAGTGGCGGTGGCAGCATTCTTGTTGCTACCACCCCAGCACTCTGAGATATTCGGACAGCGGGCCTCCTCGCATACCGTATGTAAACCCAGCCCGCGCAAGTCCGACTTGATCTTCTTGTAGTTATCGTTGCCGGCGGGGATCGGCGTCTTGAGCCACTCGGGTAGTCGAGTGATGGTGCGCCGGTTCGACGCGGGCCCGACCTCGGCGGTACGTAGCTGATATGCATCGCTAGCAGTTAGAGTGGTTGAAGACGAGCTAGATATAAAGTCGTCTAAAGAGGCGACCGTCGTGTTCTTGAAATATGTCGGACGGCGGGCTGGCTTATCGGACGAGGAGATAACTGGCTCAGGTGTATTTGTTGGGACAGTGGCGTAGGAGCGAGATGCATTTCGAGATGCATTTCGAGAAGCGTTTGAGATGGCACGCTGAACAGGCGCTCGGAGGCGGTTTAGCGAGGCCGATGACGATACCATGGTCAACCAGTAGCTGTGTAGGCGACCAGAAACTTCATAGGGCTATTGTGGCGGATAGGTAGGAAATAGTTTGAGATAAAATCAAAGGACGATATCGATTGATTACAATTGCAATCCCCAACTTTTAGGTGCCCCGCTATTGGCTGCAGATCCACTGATCGGTTAGTACCGGAAGGTTTTGCCGCTTGTCTTTTATCGGCGGCTGCAGCTGGCATCAACTGAGGTATCCGCCAATCACCAATGTCGTCATTTACAGATTAGGAAGGCCTAGGTGAACATACCAGGAACCTTGTTAGTATAACAAGATAGAGTAAGTGCTCTGCAATGGAGAATTATAAGATGTATGTAGATATAAAATCATTGGTTATAGAAACATAGAAAAATAGCACCTAGATATTCTTTATATTTTGTTTTGGGCCATAACATACATCAGCTATCTAATAGCGAACGACTTATACCAAAATATGCTCCAGGTATAAGTACTTTAGCGAAATACTCGGTCTAAACATTTTGAACAGTTATCAAATTTAAGTTATATATTCGAAGGGTTAACTAATTTCTATCTCGCTTTGCTTATAAAAACATATGAATATCCTACACAAGACGATGTTTATATTGGTACTTAGCTAATGGTAATTACCCCTTTTACTACGTTGCAAAATATACAAACCAGCGTATACAAATAACAATAGGTCTACAAAGGCTCAACAATACATTCATACCACATATACACAGCATAATGATATAGTGGCTTCAAGGATTCTATTGAACTAGCTTTTACGAATATTTCTCTTTTGCGCAACGCACTAAGCCAGCAGCCCCTTTTCCTTTTCCAAGCACCGGAGGAAAATCCTGAAGCGACGAAATCGAAAGCGTAACATTTTTAATTTGGTAAAATGAAGGTCAAAGATCAGCAGACCTCTCACAAATAGTGAGTATATGATAGTTGTTTTCAGATATAACCATTTCCTCCTCGTCCGCCATTCCACCTCGGGCCGTTCTCGCTCGGCGAGAGTTCAACAACGGGGTATCTCAAGATAATACGGAGGCAGAAGAAAGTAAAAAAGATAAAAATCAAAGGGTATGAAGGTGCCTCCGTTGGCTCCTATCTCGTGGCTCATAACCGAACTCCGCGATAGAATGTTAAAAAAAATGGGTATTGTTTTTGAAGTGAAGATGCAAGTCCAGCCAGCAACACACTCTCGCGACCAAACAGGCTCTCTCATTCCCAGTCCAACATCCAAACGGCAGTTAGAAATATGTTAAGTCTTGCAGAGTTATGACCAGCCCCGAGACCGACAAGGGGTATCGGAAGGTTGTGAAATCGTGATAAATGTGTGAGATGAGAAGGATAAGGTCAGGTCCTTCGGGGTCTGCAAGTCCATCCACCCGGGAAGAGAAAGGCGCGATATAACGGTGATAGTAATCGATGATCCGAGAGCGTGCGATGTAACATGTTCGTCGAGGACGCATGTTGCCGGTTCATTGATACATTAAGGGGGGTTTACGAAGGATATAAAACGGCACCAAACGCTCAACACCAGAAGAAAGGTCGAGAAGAGGTGACGAGGAGAAATGGTATTTCATTCATGATGAACGGCTGGTACTGGCGGAATACGCAAAAGCCAAGGCATCAAGACATCGTGGTTGGTTATTGACGAATATCATTTCGCGGACTATTGCCCTGTCGCATATAGTGTGGCCAGATAGCGCTGAAAACGAGGAATGCTGATTTTGACAAAAGAAATGAAGTAGGTGATGTTCGTATCGAATGGGTTAAAATTTTTGTTTTCGTCGTACCCCCTTTGCCGCCCCTCGGCCAAGTTGCGCAACACGGCGCAACTTACATCAGCGCGGCGACAACAATGCCAGCCAACCCCGCAAGCGCAACATGGGCAGAGCCAAGCGATGCGCCGCTGTTGTTGTTGTCGATGGTAGGGCTGACTGTAGGCGCAACAGTTGTAGGCGTACCATCAGAGCCAGTTGTTGTTGTTGGAAGAGCGATACTGGAGGAGTGGAAAGAAGAAGAAATAGTGCCGGTAGGCTGGTAGACGGAAGTCGAGTTTGCGCTGCTGAAGATACTTGAAGTGGCAACAACCTTCTGAATAGTGATGTACTTTGTCATCGTCATGGTAGACGTGGTAGTAGAAGGGTCTGCTACCGCCAACAAAGGCAGCAGCGCAGTTGCGACAATCGTTGAGATCTGCATTTTGATATCTGTTGGGTAGAAGTAGAAGATTTGTATCTGTAAAGGCTGGCCCCAGAATGTGATAACTCTACTCTTTTCAAATCGCTTTCGACTATTTTCAGTTCAGTGCGTTTCTCGTTATAAATTCGTAGATATTGATATGATGTGTGTGTGATTCAAAGAAGGATAGTTGAATACTCGATACTCAAGGTCGGTTGGGACTTATTCCTCGTAATGTCGTGAGATGGACTCTGCCAACGAAGCCCTGTGAGTTAAAGAATGAACGTGCGGGAGAAGTAAGTTTACGAAGAGGGTGAGGGTATCAGGTTGTTTAATGAAGGAGTGAAGGAAAAGGGTGTGGTCAGAGGAAAGCGGGCGGGAAGCCACGATCGTTCTAGGGACCCTTGTTACGCAAATGGTAAGATCAATGGCGAATTGGCGATAGAGAATCAAAGCAGGGTACAAATTAGTGTTGCACCTATTTCTCGCGCTAGTCTCCGCTAAGTCGTCAAGGGCCCCTGGGGATACAAGGCCAGCAAAGCGTCAATGTACACCAATCATCAATAGCGGTTGATCCCCATTATTGAATCGCCTTGTCTATTTGTACATGTATTTGGTTGCTACCCATACGCATGCCAAAGAATATGCGCAAAGGAATTGTAAGTTTAGACAATGAGTCTCTATTATATCTATATTATTCAAAGCTAGATTTACTAGGAGTTTAACCATAGTTGGAAATAAGGGATTAATGTCCAAGTGTGTACTTCCTGATACTAAATATATTAGAGACAGATTCAATAAGAGGCGTAAGGGAACGTGTTGTACAATGCCTTAGTTACTTAGGTACCTACATATAGGTAGTAACGACCAAAATCTTATTTGTGACGGATTGCGGATCGCATCCTCCGATTGCACAGGGCAACGGAAATTACATAGATACATTAGCAAACGGAAATATAGCTCGCTTGGATAACGCAAGGTTAATTGGTAAGTGCCCCTACCCAGTACCATTCTTTTAGTTTTGTGGCCCTTGTAGTCCATCACTCAAAGAAGTAAGGAACTACCAACGTCTGTGCCCAATTCAGGTTGCCCATGTTCTTTGGCTTTAGGTTATCGCAGGTAGACCTGCCAGAACTGCATATAAGAGGTACTTAGACGGTACATACCTATTAAGAGAATGTTTGACAGGTTCTGTGGGTGCAGTGTTTAGAATCCTTTGACGATGGTTATTTTGAGATGATTCTTCCTAACCATTATTCCCTCATATGAGGTAGCTAACTAAAATTGTATTGCAGCGTCTAACAAATCCCACTTACATCCAATCCTCCATCGTTCGTGGGGTCTTCATAAAATTTACTAAGATTGCATAATTTCTGCCCGACTAGGGTCCATGCGAGATGTGTGTCAGGTCACTTCTGATTGGTTATAGTGATTGGTACCTGCAGCTTTAGGTTTTCTTTGTTCCTGACTAAACCCAAATGAGAGAATTCTGTCAAAATTTCAATTTCCCCCAGACTGATGGTCCGAGTGGTTTCCATCTTCTCCAAGAGACACTATTCAATGGTTTTGAGATTTCTGCGGAGAAGATCTGCCCTGGATATGGCACATACGGAAATCCATTTAATAATCTCGATGGCGCTATCATCCCTCTTCTAGTTATCTATCCAAACTATCTAAATTGATTCCACGGAATACTTTCGGCTACTTTAAGATCTAATAAATATTATATTCCGTACCCAACTCCGAACCTCGACATGGAAACGCCCACGGCAATCATAATCAGGGCGCCCAAGATAGCAAATGTACCTAAGGGATGTAGACCTTACTAAGTATAGGTATAATAGTGTAGGTACTATTACGGTCCATATATATACGATCGTCGCGTCCTATCAATTACATAGTTTGGGTCAAGCCCAACATCTAGTAAGCCGTAGTGCGTCGACATGTGTCGCGAACAACAACGCACCACGTCGGCTTTGGATCATCACTATGAGATGCACTTGAACTTCGAACCGTTTGCATCCGGGTACACATTGAACCTATCATAAGGTTCCACGCAGTGCATCTTGTGGAACCTCTGACTAACAATAGCGGTGTCGGTGGTCATCATGGAGTTGAGGTTTTTTTCCATCTTTTTTTTTTTTTTTTTTTTTTTTTTTTTTTCCTTTCCTCCTGCTCTACTTACCCCTTACTCCTATGTCTTCATGTACACCGACACAAACTCATCTGTCTCGGTGATTTTTTAGCTATCCCATTTACGTAAGCCCGGAAAAGACCCCTTGGCATCAGTCTCACCATCAAAACCACTAGGGTAGCCCTAGCAATTCATTTTCACGACAACCTCAAAGCATGTCCTATAGCTGAGGATTTATTTTCTTTTATCACAGCATTCTCAGGGGCTTAAGCTCCATAACTAGCGTGTTTGTCTACACTTTTGCCATCGCGATTTTGCTACATGGAGCCACCATCCATTTGAAAATTGAAAAGCCTCGGAAACATGAATAACCCCTGTGAGACGACAACCGTTTCCGGTCTCTAGGTCGTCAAACTCGCCCACACCAAAGGAAATTATTGAGACATTTTATGCGGCTCATCTAGGTAGTTTGCTCGCCGTCGCAAATCTAATGCGACACTATAGACGAACCATTACATGGATAATGGCGCGGTATAAGTGATATATTTGCGTGAATTATAGTTCTCCTAATAATGGCCCCTATGTGAGATTTGCCGATTTCAAATCTTCATTCGTTATTTGTTTTGCTAAATAGTGCTATATACGAAAGAGTGGTCTTAGATCGATCGTCGCAGGGTAACAGCCTTACGTATTATCGAACTGTTGATCCATTGCATCAGTTCGTCGCAGATCATTGTCATCTTCGGTATGTATGCTAAACTTAACTGCATACTTCTATCAACGCTTTCCAATTTCTTGACACTACTATTCTTAACGATAGCTCATTAAATTTTTAAATCCATATGGCCAAGGATGTTATTCAAGCGCATCCAGGCCTTCAAAACTCGGGCCCCAATGGCTTTTATTATTAAAGAAGCTCTAGTTTACCTCAAGGACTTCCAACCAACATGGCGTCTAGTATTGCCATTAGACAGACACGGGCTATATCCTTACTCTTCCCGGAAACTACCTACCTTTAAGACGACGTGATGCTCTAAGTATGAACATGATCTGGCCTTATTTCTGCATTGTTTCTGATGAAGAGCGATATTCGCAAGATACCCTAAAGATGTCGTATCATGAGCTACTCGGCTTGCGACCGCCAAAAGAACCATAGGCCATCCCAGGTCGTCATATCCGCGATGAGACATCCTTTAGCAGCTCGTTATGCGCACATTTGCTCCGGTTAATCTCAAACTCATTCGGATTGTTACTTTATCATCTCATCCTAGCCGACGAGGGCCATGCTAAAATTATACGGAGTAAGAGGGTGCAATGAACAAGCGTTCTCTATATGCCAAGGACTACTCATTATATTCAATATACGAACACCTGGTATGGTTTTGCAAGTGAAGCCTCCTGTCAAATGAGGCGAGGAATATAGCACCATACGATTGCTCTTATGCCTGTCTATTGGTTGTTCTCAACTATGAATGTTAATCTTGGTACTCGACTTTCTAGTCCTCTCCTATAGAAATCAAATTCATTAAGCACTGCCATTACTCGTTTGCATTCACATCGACCGGCCATAGTGTGAATAGAAAATACGAAGAAAGAATTATCCAAGCATAAGTTTCCATAAATGATATCAGAAAATGCATTTTGATGCAGTCACCCGCGAGGCCACCAATTACCTTCGAGTATGTTCAACATTCGGGAGGGGAAATGGTTACCATCACGCAGGTGATCGATCACGGAATTCGACTAATGACAGACAAGAGGAGCAACCTGATGTTTCACCTAATAAAAACATAAAGCAACATCCAGCTAGAAAACAAATTTGTATGATGGCTCTTATGCGAATTTGGACTTCTCAGCAAACTTGAGCTCAGGCATGGCGCTTCCTGCTAAAATCCGCGCCGAAAACATTGCGGCTCTACATTTTCTTCATCCTGTTCCTGTCCAGCCGTTTTCCAATCCAGTGACGAACATTCAATGTCGGAGGGAAGATTATACCTTATCTTTCGAAAAGGAGCGCAGCCTTTGCAGTGCACTCGCTTTCCTTGCGTATACAAGAGATGATAATAACAACATCCCAGCAGTATGTTTAGAAGAGGGTACTGGCGCCGCATATTTGAATGTTCTGCTTGCCATAAATAAATTCGAGCACGGCGGAGGAAACCAGGTACTTGAAAGATTAAAGACGGAATTTGGGAAGATTTTTTCCCTCCTCGCTCATGCGGACGGTACTAAGTCTAAGTCAATGAGTTATATCTTATCTTACTAACTAGTATGTTGAGCCAGATACCACACTGGGCGCGGAGAATGATGTATTCAGAGCCATCGTTTCTATGTGTTCAGCTCGGATCCTTCACCGGTTGAGTCTTATTCGAAGTTACAAAAAACGTCAGAGGCGGTCAATTAAAGAAGATCTTCAAGTTACATTGGGATACTTCAAACAGAATGCAATCCGCAGACACGCGCCTTCATCTCCTCTGTATTTATTCATCGACAAAGCAAAAGAAGTAATAAGGCTCGTCGATTCTTGGGGCAGGCACCAGACGCAGCCTGAGTTAGAGGAACTGGTTGATAGTATCCGTCACCTACACCAAGTTAGGGGCTTCCATGATTTGATCGACGAAATACCCAATAAATATATGGGCCCATCCTCAAGGGTTCATCTCATAAATACAATAAGGAAAGTCGCACGTTACCGTGAAACAGCTAGGTTGTTATATCGGACTGCCAAAAAGACTCCTCTAGCCCGCAAAATGCGTCTCGTGTTTGCTCAATTACCTCAGAACGTGTTCGATAAAAATCCAAGTAGTGGTTATACGACAGACTTCAGAAATACTATCCCACTAATTGACGGGATTAAGAATGAAAAAGGTCTGGAGCAAGTCTTCCGTCTAATGGATACTACCGAGGAACAGGCAAATAGGAAGTTTGTTGTTCAAACACAAAAGACTTTGCAGGAGGGGAGAATCCATGCTGAAATCCAGCTTATTTATTACTGTGAGTTCTACATGTCACCTAATACGCACACACCTCGAGTTGTGTGCTCAAGCAAAGACGCCTGTTGGCTATGCAACGAGTTTATTCTCATGTATGAGAAGATACACACACCTAAATGCCATGGGAAGCTGTATCCCGGATGGCGACTACCGACATCGTGCGGACCCAAGTATCATGATTTAGCGACAAGATTCAACATGCGGATTCAAGGCCATGTTAAGAATAGCCTAGAGACACTATTTGCGAGAAGGAAGAAGACTATGTATCATGACCCGAACGAGAGCACTTTACTTACGTTACCTTGGTCCTCCTCGACATTGCCCATTCTGGCATCTTCCTCTTTAGACGCACTAGAAACTTCAGGTACCGTGAACAAGGATCCGCAAAAGATTGTGGTTATTTCCGAAGAAGCAGTTACTCATAAGTCTGTACTGGCCGATGATGAGGAGAGCAAGGAAACGCAAATAGAGGCAGAAGAAATAGCACACGAGGATTATTCCCGTCTCGGCAGAGAAAAAAGTAGTATTCTGGAAAGCCTGGATAAAACAAACAACACATCAGTAGCTTTAAGCCCTTTGGAGAGTAATTTGACGCTTGAGCTAGGTAAGGCTAGGTCAAAACAAGTTGGGATCGGAAAGACTTCTTCATTATACAAAGCAGGTCCCCTGGAAGTACAGATCGAATATGCTGAGAATTCAAACCCAGAGTCGCGAGGTGGACACCGGAAGAAACTCTTATATGCTGTAGAGTGGTTGACGGCTGAGGAGGTCGAGAGACTGCGAAATGGGCCAGAGAATCTTATTATTGACGCGGGATCACTTGAAGGTGAGGTAGAGTATAGTACAGACAGAGATGGATGTTTATACATCTCTAACGATGATTCAGTGGTGAAGATCTTTATGCAACCAGTGGCTATGGAATAATGGGATGCAATATCTAGGTACCTAGGTAGCAGCTGGGCTATGATTTTCCTGGGGCTGGATATCTGAGGGATACTTAGAAGTATTATAGAAGGGTAGGTGATTGTACCCAAGATGGCACGCTTTTTGGGGCGTATGATGTTGGCTCTAATCTACTTGATTCCGGAGTGAGAGGCTGGTAAGGGAAGTGAGTAATTGTTGTTAGAGTCTGGAACTTATAATATGTATAATCAATATAAAAAAGCTGTATAATCCACAATTATGAATTATCCACCCCGTACCGAAGCTCTAGTACCTAGGTACCCTATTAAGTAGGTGATGGAGAAACCCCTGTCCCAACTTCATAGAGCTTTGTGTACTGATGTGACATTAGTAATCTAATGGATAGGTAAATAGGAGATGTTGGTGTCAATGTTAGAGTTGACGTACATCTAACAGATTAACGACCAGCGGTCCACCCAGCAAGCCCGACAGTAGAAAGCAAGCCGGAGCTCATAAGGCGGAAATCTGCCTTACGAGGATTCCCTTCTTTCTATACGACATAGCTGTCAACCAGTCCCGCATAGGCGTCTAGGACGGCGAGGATGATATTGCAAGCAACTGATTCGCGTCGAAAGTAAAGAGTATACATGCAGGTGCCGAAAGAAGTGGTATGGGCGTTGTTGATAAGCATGACTACAGCTGCGGCAGGAGTGCTAGCAATACGATCTGGTAAGCCGAACTCGAGCATGGCAGCTCGCGCGTTTAAAAATGACTACATCCCGCCAAAGGTCATGACGGTCGCTGTGAAGAGTGGCGCAGCTCGAAGTGCTCAAACATTGTGATGAGTTAGGAACAATACGCTTATAGCGTAGATTACTTTAATTCTTTGATAGTAAGCCGAAGCTTTCTTTATTCTTTTTTGGCTATTAAGAAGTTGAAGATGTAGAGGTTAAGAAGAGATAACTAGCATGACAATATATAACTGATCATTAATAGACCATAACATCATCTAATCATGGGCTGATATAACAGGTATAGTAATACTGTATCTAACAAACTATGGATAGTTCTCCTAAAATGAAATTATAAGCTATGCAACGAGTTATCCACGAACTCGCCGCCATGTGGTATGAATCTACCTATATGACTTCAGTGGTAAGTTTCGTCCTAGAAGCTATTCTACCATTTCAAAACTATCACCAAGTAGCTGAGGGCGGCTATCAGTCAGCACCTGGTCCAAAAACCGGAAGCTATCTTACTTCAAAGATGGCATGAGGGTAGAAGGTAGTGAATAGATCTATATCTGAGATTCGGCTACACAACTTTAAGATGCCTGAAGATAAAATCCATCGCAATTTATCATGTACTGATAGATAGGGTTCGTCCATATGAGGAGCTTATACGCATGCACATATCCCATCCTCCATCCCCCATCTGCATCCCTCCGTTAACGCATCCCCTATACGTAATACCCTCGCATCCCATTGGCCCGGCGCGAGGGTGGTTAGGTAGGTGGCCAGCAATAACCGGGTCCTAATATATACGGCTAGATAGACCCTACGTGCAGCACAAGACACAATGTAACATGTCCTATCTAACCCGGATGCCTATTCCAAACCATGTAACTCCAGTCAGCCGCTTTTCAGGTTTTCAGCATTTAGTACCATCCACTTTGATGTCTTTTCGGTTGTACGGAACTAGGTGATTGGTCGCTGATCCGACTATAGACTATATATACACTACCATAGTACTATGTAAGGGTGAGGATAACTAGCCCTCGGTTAACAACGGCAGATGGACATATGGAATATTCGGCTTACCGAGGAAAATTCTTCGATGCCAACTTAGCTACTATGAATGGCGTCAACGAACAAACATATGTCCACAAAATCCCATCTTAAAGGGGGAAATAGCGGGATAGTTCTATTGCTAGTATAGAGTCAAATCTATGTACGCGTATATCTGATCTAGCATCTAGTCGTCTAGAACAACGCCCCAAAATCCAACGCTATATTCCCAGGCACCCTAAACTCCCTCCACCCGTTAGATCTAGCCCAGTTAAATGGAGCCAGGCGTATTGCGCTCGTGTAGTTGAATAATTCACACCCACTAGTGTCTGCCTTCCCAATGATGATGATGATGATGATGATGATGTTGGTATGACCAACCGACTGTTTGCATGCAAGAGACCTTGTCGCAGTTGAATGGTTCTCTCCCGAAAACGCCTTATGCCCAGAAGAGTTGGTGAAACTCCGTACCGCTCTGACCCCGACTCTACCATGTGTTGAAGACCCGTGTATCCGCTGTACGCCTTTTTCCTCTCCATAATGTTGAAAACTGGATATCATCTATGCGCTACGCCAGAAAGATGCTGCTGGGAAAATCATTTACGTCGTGTCCTCAACTGGCGGACAGGTGCAGAAGAGGTTTAAGTCGCCGTATTCTAGGCACTATAGTTAGCATATATAGGTTTTAACGTTAAACGAATGTGATATGTGCAGCAACTTACTGTCGTCTACCCTCGTGACACTTGGCCAGAATTTCTTCTCCTTAAGCCAAGGGAGAGGATATGCCGCCTTCTCTCGCGAGTAGGATCTCTCCCATTTGCCACCCTCGCCGCCGTCGCCTGCAATCAAGTCTTGCATGGTGTGTGGCGACATCTTCAATACATTGCCCTCGCGCGGGGATTTGCCCTCTTCGATCTCCCGAATCTCTCCGCGGATACTGATCAGAGCATCAATGAAGCGGTCGAGCTCCTCCTTACTTTCGCTCTCAGTCGGCTCAATCATTAGGGTGTTGGCGACGGGCCAGCTCATTGTCGGGGCGTGGAAGCCGTAATCCTGTAAGCGCTTGGCAATGTCGATGGCCTCGACGCCAGCGGACTTGCTAAAGGGCCGGGCGTCAAGGATAAACTCGTGGGCGCAACGTCCGTGCTCATTCACGTATAAGATCTGGTAGTGAGGCTTGAGACGTGAGAGGATGTAGTTAGCATTGAGTAGAGTTATCTTGGTGGCTTGGGTGAGACCCTCCGCCCCTATAAAAGAAGTTAGTGATCGACCCGGTTAACCAGGCGAAATTTAAATATGAGCTAACTTACCCATTAAGGTGTTATACGCCCAACTGATGAGATTGATGCTGGCGCTACCGTTATTGGCACTGCTGACTGCATAGCCACCGCTGGTTGCCTTACCCTCGGCGTTGGGATCACGGGGAAGGAAGGGTTGAAGACGCTGCTTTACACAAATAGGACCTACGCCTGGGCCGCCTCCACCGTGTGGGATACAGAAAGTCTTGTGAAGATTTAGGTGGCACACATCAGCACCAATCTCTCCCGGAGAGCATAATCCGATTTGCGCATTCATGTTTGCACCGTCCATGTAGACTAGACCGCCGTGTTCGTGGACTAGCTCGCACACCTTCTTGATCTCGGGCTCGAATACACCAAACGTGCTGGGATAAGTAACCATGATAGCTCCGAGCTCTTCTTGGTGCTTTTTGCACTTTTCTTCAAGGTCTGCTACGTCGAGATTGCCGGTAGTCGTATTGCACTTGATTGGTACTACTCGCATACCAGCCATAGCAGCGGAGGCGGGATTTGTACCGTGAGCAGATACTGGAATAAGGCAGATATCACGTTTCTTTCCGCCATTTCCTTGCGCCTTGTGGTACTCTCTAATTGCTCGCAGACCGGCGAATTCACCCTGTGCTCCTGAGTTGGGTTGAAGAGAGACAGCATCCATGCCTGTTATATCACGTAATTGTCCCCTAAACACCTCTAGCAAGCTATTGTAGCCCGGGACCGTCTCCTCTGGGGTATACGGGTGTATCTGGGAGAACTCAGGTAGCGTGATGAGTGACATTTCCGTGGTTCCATTGAGTTTCATGGTGCATGAGCCGAGAGGGATCATGGAGTGGACAAGCGATAGATCCTTAGACTGCAGATGGTAGATATACCGTAGCAACTCTGTTTCGGAGTGGTGCGTGTTAAAGACAGGATGCGTCAAAAAGCCCGAGGTTCGTTTGAAACCGTCTGGGATATCTACCGGATCGGCATGCTTTTCGAGTATCTGGCGAACGTGAATCTCCACAGCCTCGTACGGGTATACCTTGATATTGCCAGCCACAGTTGCAAATACTTGGAAGACTTTGACTAAGTCGTCTAGGGATGTTGTTTCATCAACCGAGATACCAATTTGTTGCTCGCCAATTTGGCGAACATACATCCCGTGTTCATGTGCTGTACTCACAGATTGGGCCTGGCTCTCTTTGGACCCAACATCAATGATGACTGTATCAAAGAGTACGCTACCGCTATCATTCCACTTGCTTTTCTCCGTGGCAAACCCATTCTCTTCAGCGATGGCTTGAATGACTCGTGCACCTCGGACAATCCGTTCGGCAATCGCTTTGAGGCCTTCAGGTCCATGATAGATCGCGTAGAGAGCATTCATATTAGCTAATAGCGCCTGCGATGTGCACACGTTACTAGTTGCCTTCTCTCTTCGAATATGCTGTTCTCGCGTCTGTAGGGCTAATCGGTAGGCCTTCCCACCCAGTCGGTCTTTAGATAGCCCAATTAATCGGCCAGGCATCTTCCTCTTGTGTTTCTCCTGGACGGCGAAGAACGCAGCATGTGGGCCTCCGAATCCCATCGGCACACCGAATCTTTGCGCACTTCCGAAGGCAATGTCAGCCCCCCATTCTCCTGGGGGTTTGAGCATGGTCAATGCCAGCAGATCCGTAGCAACGCTAAGCAGGGCGCCTTGTTTATGTACTGAGTCGGCCAGAGGCTGGAAATTTTCTACATGACCGTATGTGTCGGGATACTGGACCATGACACCGACCAAATCCTCGCTAAGGTTCTCAACCTCAGTACGTGCTTCAACCTTTGTAAGGTCCAGTTCCAATATCTTGATACCAAAGCCATCCGCACGTCCACGCAAGACCGATATCGTCTGCGGGTGGAGGGACTTAGATACGACAAAAGTCTTTCCTTCCCGTTTAGCCCTCGAGGTCGATAACGTGTTCATAGAGAGGGTCATTGCCTCGGCAGCGGCAGTACCCTCGTCCAAGAGACTAGCATTAGCTATAGGAAGTCCCGTTAGGTCAGTAACCATGGTTTGAAAGTTAACGAGTGACTCTAAGCGGCCTTGACTGATTTCTGGCTGGTAAGGGGTATAACTTGTATACCAAGCAGGGTTTTCCAGGATGTTCCGTTGAATAACGGCTGGTGTGTGTGTTCCATAGTATCCTTGACCAAGGAAACTCTTTTTTACTGTGATATTGGACTGATACTTTTTCACCATTGCCTTTAGACTTGATTCGCTCTGTGGCCCCTCGTGAGGGGGGATGTCGAGAGTTTTCTTAGATAAAATATTAGGCGGAATGACTTGCTGAACGAATTTATCCAGGTCGTCGACAGGCGGGGATAGGGCCTTTAGCATCTCAGCTGTATCGGCCTCATCGGGACCAATATGGCGACGAGGAAATGTGTCCAGGTCAGCATAACTCGCCACCTGTGCTCGGTCAATGGTAGTAAAAGACCTTCTCTGGGTAGCCGTCGCTACGGCCTTATAAGTGCAGCTATGGCATATCCATGGAGCTGTACGCTGCAAGCGAGAACTTAACGAAGCCGAAGCTCTTAATTGAACTGCTGACCGACCTATACGAGGTATAGCCCTCGCAAAAGACGCCATCTTGTACAAAGATGCTCTTCCCCGGAATTCACAACCAACGTATCGGTAAAGCACGGGACCTCGAATGAATGCTGGGTCAACCTTTATGCAGTCATACTGGTCGAACGTTGCACCTATGTCAGTTAAATGAGATAATTGAACAAGCAGTAAGCAGCAAATCGTGAATTACAATGTATTAGATAAATATTAGGAAATTGGATTGATTACTAGTTTTTAGCTTAGTTAGGTACAATTGGATATATGTATTACACAGACTAAGGTACCTAACCTTTGCCTTAGAAGGAATCGCCGTCATCGGTCTAACAATTAGCTCGAAATATGCGAGATAACAAAAAGTTGCGGGTCTTTTCGGAGGAGTTCTCAAAGCCGATAACGTTTTACTCCGGACCCTTTCTAATGGATGTAATTTCTACCCTACCTAAGGTTCCTTCCCAACTTCCCTTAGGTATGTATTGTAGCGTACCTAGTACATACATGAGGTAACACATCATTCTGTAGTGGCGGGTAGGTACCTTACCCACCTACATGGCGGTGTATATTAGGTACCTCTTAGGGATGCTAAGTTAGCTGATTGGATATAGTGAATGGAGAGATGCTGCAAGTGCTCTTCCATTTAAGTCTGGAATGGTACGATGCATGTGCTACACTGTTATGTAATACACATTGCTGTTCCTGCTTATCGCTCTACATAGCACCATTACACGACTTACAGGGGTTATAATCTTTATTAAGCGGCTTAAAATGGACGCCATATTATACATAACATAGATGTGGGGAAATCTGCTTTCAGCTGCTAGTCGTCACTAATTCTGCCAATTAAAAAATTTAGTGACACCGACGAATCAATCAATACTATTCGTTATCTTCCGGTGACGAAACTTTTGCTCCAAAACAACAAAACAACGTCTCTAGTCCACCACGCGAAAAGAAGAAGAGTATTTCAAAATGTTTGGCGGATGTAAGAGAGCCTCGTAATAGAATCAATGCTTATCTTCTAGTTATCGCTAACAAAAGATGCGATAGTTGCACCACCCCAGTTCTCAAAGGAGGAGCTAGAGCAACACGAGGCTGAAGCTACTTCTACGGTCCAGCTCTTCTTCGGCGCCGCAGTCGTGCTCTACTTCTGTATGTTCCCTTGGATTCATAATCTTCATTATAATCGTATAATACTAACGACGTATTCTATTAGCTCCCTTCGCCGTTGATCTCGTCTCGAGCGTATTTTAAATTTGTGGGCGCATGAACTTCTGTACAATTATGAGACACGGTAACAATGGTTTAGTTCTCAAGATATGAACTAAAAGGGCCAGATGGGGTGTATGCTACTATACATATGGGATACCTTTTCATAAGGGCGACTTGCATGTTATCCGTTTCGGGTTGTTTTAGCATCACAAGGCTGAGGCATCATGCATATCGCACTACGGCGTCTTCAGGTGTCTAATACTTATAGAGGGGTATATAGGGCTTTGTTACGTCATCGCATAATATAAAGCCCATACGGGTTTTGCATCTTCTCTCATGCGTAAACGTAAACTAGTTTCATGTTCCCAAATGCTTTGTTCGCTGTTTTAGGAGCCCACGGTATTCAATATCCGAGGATGAAAGAAATTCAGAAGGGACAAATCGGGATATTATCGTCTAATATCAGAAGCAGACGTCCCCAAACGCCGGGCTTTATGCGGTTTCCTACAGCCAGCTAATATCTGTACATCATCCAAGTTTCCCAAGACCCGAGAACCCACTCCTATTAATGAACTTCATCACCCTATCTCATGCTATCAGAAATCGTTTGTGCATTATCCTCCTAAGCGTTATCTACTGTCTAGGAGGTGAGTTCCTCTCAGACCACTCGTCATAATCCTTCTTAACCTGCTCCAGTGAGGTTTTCAAGGACTGCAGTTGCTTGTCAAACTTCTCTAATATCTAAGGTCGATAAATGTTAGCACTGCTCATGTGATCACAAAAATCGAGAAATAAACTCACCTCCTTGGCTTGGGCCTCATTCTCCTCCCCTATTCCCTCCTGAGCATCCGTCCCACGCTTGTTAATCTCGTTCTGTAGGCTATCCGCATATCCCCTCAGCATTATAAGACGACTCCACAATTCCTCTGTTCGGGCACTTAGAGCCGGGTCTGTCACAGTTCGATCGAGAGTCTCCAACTTCGTCTTCAATTCATCTTCTTCCTTGTCGAGGGAGTATCCGCGGTTACGTAAGACCTGTACCTTCGTCGCTAAGGCCAGACATCTCTGTCGTAGCAGTGCGTGCTTTCGTCGGGCATTGGCTGTCCGCACGCTAGTCTGCAAGTCGTGTTGTGAGAGAATTGCGTCCAAACTAGAGTTAATAGAATGTAACGCCTGTCTGAAATGCCCTAGAACCTGTCTCTGCATCTTAAGGCGCTCGCTAACAGCTTGAAACCCGGTAGCAAGGGCCGGCATGTATCCGGGACCGGGTTTATCATGAACAGCTTGTTCCCATTCTCGGGGATCTTCGGAGGCGGAGGGTTGATAGAGAGGGATGCGCGTCTGGTCGACCTTATTGTAGAAGTAGTACTTGAATACCGTGTTTGGACTTTCGGGAACCCACTTCTCGAGCATTCCTTCGATTTGCTCCGTAACAGGCTTGTGGACTACGATCAAAATTATCAGTCCAATATCAAGGATGCAAGCTTAAGTGATAGTAAACTTACTCAGTGACTCTCGGCCTGGCTCCCAAATTAGACTGGAGCGTTGCACCGGTGCCTGGCTTGTGTTCATGAACCCAGAAGCTCCAAGCTGCTGAGGTTGTTGCTGCGTCTGGGGCTGATTAAGAAGGCTCCTACCAAAGGCATTGGTCGATGGTTGGCCAAGCATACTCCCACCGAGTAGACTTCCACCAAATGCATTGGATTGTGGTTGGTTCTGAGTCTGCGACTGGTTTGCGGTCTGACCAAAACCAGTAGTGGTTGTGGATTGACCGAAGGGAGTCGAAGACGCCCCGAAACCTGTAGATTTGCCCCAGAGAGACATGGCCAGAGCTGGGGAGCCTATAGAATTCAGTAAACGGTGGAGTTGTTTAGAGAATGGGAGCTCGAAGCCGTAATTTTGCGACAGAAGGTTTCGCGAAGACGAGAGTCGCGTTTAAAGTGGGTGGAATAAAAGAATGATTTAGGCTTCAACTCATGGCGATACTTTGGATTTCTTTTCACAAGATACGGTGGTCGATATCTTGATATAAATTGCAAGGGAAAGAAGAAGAAAAAAAACTTTAAGAAATACCAGGTGTTGCTATCGGGTGTCTTGGTGTTTACTGGTCTTGCTCAAATGCATACACCAGAAATTCCACAAACAAATCCTAGCTTCAAATTCATTAGCTTCAGCCTTAGATAGTGTGGCTAAGAGCTGGAATGAAACCTATTTACCTAAAGGTATTTATATGTACTTAAGTACCTAGCTACCCGAATAATTCACAGATCTAATTGGCTATATTGAATTCTAGCAGCTACATGATGACCCACTCATCTGGTCTATCTTAGCCCAATGTGGCTGGAACCAATCAGCATTTCCAATTTGCTAACCACCGGATTCCGTCACTTCGCCTATCGTCAAACTGCTCCATTTCCGAAGCTCACTTCAAAACCACGATATCCCGCCGAGAACCCCGTCCGTATCGCAGCCATGTCGGCCCGGAAGCCAGTGTATGTCCTACAAACAGTTTTTCTACTTAATAATAAAACATCAATTAGCATATCATATACCTTCTTTATGAGCCAATTACATCTTTAGAGAGCACCGTCGCTAATTTACTCTTAGCTTCAACCAGCAGGTTCTCTACGATACCACTCCCCTCCCGGACTCCATTCCCTCAGTCAAAGAGGTCGGAGCTACTTCCGCGCCTTTACTATCGGCTTCCTTCTTCATCGGCGCCCGGTGCCGCCCTTACAACGATGACTTCATGCAATGCAAAACAGAGAATCACGGCAAGGGCGAGTTTGAGTGTTTGAAGGAGGGCCGACGAGTAACCAGATGCGCCGCCAGCGTGATCGATGACATCAATACGCACTGTCTAGACGAGTTCCGCAAGCACTGGCAGTGCCTCGACAATAACAACCACCAACTGTGGCAATGCCGAAAGGACGAATGGAAACTCAGCAAATGTGTATTTGATAACTTAGTATGTTACTCACCTCTTTTAGCCTCTTTTAAGAGCCGTTTTGCTAAACTATGCGACAGAAACTTGAGAAGACCATCCCCGATTCTCCCAAGGACAAGGCTCCTGTCCACCTCCGGACGAAACAGATCTACGCCCATTATCCTATCTTAAGAGATCGCGGCCAAGCGCCATTTGGCAAAGCTATTGACCCGCCTTCAGCACAAGCCCAGGCTGATGCGCCGACATCATGAAGTACCCGAGTTTAAACAGGGGTTAAAAATGACAAGATAGCCGTGTAAATAAACAAGAATTGCAATCGAGTTAAGGCTTCAGCTTCTCTAATATCTTCTCTTGTGACTGGCCTATTTTGCTTGCTTGCTTGCTATAAAATACGAATAGTCTACCTCCTAAAGATGAAGGTATATATGTTTAATAGTTAATAAGTTACTGACGCCTGGAGGTTTTACACTGGACAAGGTGCCCGCATTATTGGTAACTCTTTCTTCTACAAGCACTTATACCTATCGTATAAGCAAGTAATGAATTGTAGTGATAATTATATGTTGCCATTTTCTTCTTGGGATATTGGAAAATTCCTAGGGGTTAATCAGTATTAGCCATATAAGTGAGGAAATATGTAGGCTCATTGTATTCCTAAATTTATTGCATGCCGATAAAATACCTACATATTAGTTGGATGATAGACAATACTCACGAATCCATATTATTCCATGTTAACAATGACTGATTGGTCAAAATAACTAGATAGTTAGACCAACTTGAAGTAATCTACAGCTCAACTTAATTATATTCAAACTGTGAGGGCTCACAACTCTAAGACGCCTCTCAACGGGAGGGCATTCATATAGTTCTAACTTACAATACGACCTATCGATTTGCCTTTCCGCTCTTTGAAATATTGAGTGAGCTCTGTATTAAAATACTTCGCAGTAGCAACCTGATAGGTGATCCCTCTATTATCTTGTGATAGTAACAGTGACGTACAGGAGGTTACGATAAGCCCAAGGCCCTCAACCTTCATCATCCCGTAACTACATCGCCTACTTCTAGTTGACACAGGGCGTGATTGTAGGCAAAGCCCCGAATATCCCTTCATGTTGCCTTTAGCACCCACACACGGCAGTTACGTAGCCGTTCGCTTGGCTGCTGAAGGAGCCAGCAGCCAGCCGACTCAGGAGCTCTTCGTCTACGCTAAATCGATGACACATACACAGACGCGGAGGAACATTAATCTATATATGCAAGCCGGCTTGTAGATTCGTGAACATAGCTCTATTGGTTATCAAACGTCTACGGCTATAAAGAAAACATGATCCGTTGCCGTTCTCTGCGTCGGCTGGCTCAACATACAGGGACATATCGTGATAGGGTTGCAGGTGATGTGACCTGTTACTATATATGTGCATCTATGTGCGTCTGTCCAAGAAAGGCATGCCGGATAGTGAAGGCAACCAACATATTCGGAGTATAGAATCCTATTTGACAGCCTTGACAGCCTTCACTAAAGAACGCCCGGTTACATTTAGAAAGAATGTGCTCCTCATAGGTTCGACGACACCATCTCCTGCACTTCTTATCCGTGGGGAAAGTCTTCCCGTCTTTTCACCCGCATCGGGCGTATGCCGACTGGCTGCTAGCGTTGCCTAGCATATCCGCCTTCGCACGAGTTAATCTGAAGTACCACTCAGATCTCCCACGATACTGAGATAGACTGGGCGCGGCGCGGCGCAACCCCGGACATATGTAGCCACCCAACACTCAGGACTCAAGACGCCTCTTCAACGAGGACCGGCTACTTACACAGGTAGCCTACATCTGCGCGGGGTAAGCAACACACGGATAAGAGCCGAGTTGGGCAACGCGACATTGAGTATGAAGTCTATCAATGGTAGCCATAAGCTTAGTATATGATTACGATAGGTTATACAGCGCAAGAGTCCTACGGCATAGTAGGGGATATCGCATTGCTACAGGATGTGGGAGCATGTCGTAGTGCTGTGACGGAGGCCCCTACTAAAAAAAATAAAAATAATAATAATACACGAAAACTGCTGCTACGAAGGATGAAGGCTTCTAGAAGTGGCTAAGGTGGCGTATGGTGCTTAATCGAGAAGCCCGATTGCCATAAGTAGCCTACACCATGTTTCGCTTTACCCCTCTAAGGCTACGGATTATTTTTTTCGATCCTGTATAACCTAGGTACTAGGTATAATCGGCTCTTCTTGATCCCTCTGTTGTTCTTGAGCTAGTTGGAAATAGTTTACCGTAACCACGATCCACTAAGGGCGCACACATGTCGAAGGATTCGTCCCGCAACCCCGCAAACAGCTTGGGTAGAAATGTGACATAACTCCCGCGCCGGTAACTATAATATATTCGCAACAGTGCTATATTCGGTGTTTCCTATTTGTGGCGACTGGGGAAACCCTAAGACAAGGAGCCTCACGGCTATGTGGAGAATGTGTCTGGCCGGCGGTTGGCAGCGTGAAGAGGTGCGGGAGGCGAGGTTGTACTATATCAAGACAAATCTAGGATCCCACGTTCGCCCTGCAAGAACTGAGTCGTGAGATATATCAACGTTCGCACTCTAGGTGTCTTGTCTCGGTCCGGGCCCAAAAAGGACGGAAAGACATTGTATGTAAACAGGGGGTGTTGGGGAGGACAGCCGCTTACTCATTTAGACATATGCGTCTTTCTCAGGATTACCTAAAATCCACGCAGCGATATTGTCTAAGGATGAGTTAAGTCTATCGAATGATCAACTCAGATGTCTGCTATTTAGATCTTGATCGCTGGGTCTAAGTAAGCCTCTGATAAAGCAAACATAACTATCAACGTTGATTAGGTAGCTATGCTAATCATATGCTAGAAAACCGCTTACGAACACATTAGTAGTGTATGTGCTCACCGAGACAGTGTCACGTTGAAACTTGGTGTCTCTCCGTCTTAGAATCGGGATTTAGGGGTGGCAGCCGCTGTGGCATTGGCGTACTGCCTGTCTAAGACACCTGAGACTTTATGCTAGCTGCAGAAGGCTGGCTTCTTATCAGTTACCTCTTCCACTTAGAAAGAAGTGCCTTCTCGAATTCTTGACGAACGGGAAGTGGTAGACACGTGATTACCATAGATGAAGAGGCCTCGGTATCCCTTTCTCTCCCTTACAGTCCGTATCATATATGAAAGACCAACAGGTAGCTACAACTTCAGTAATATATGTGTATGCTGATGCGGATAGGTACATATCGGATGACAGTTTACAATCCTGTAATACAATGATGGTCAACGCTTAACTCGCGTTAATTATCCAAGCTGAAGGTAATTTGTTGAGGTGACGGTGACCTTTCCTCTGTTGAACTCCAATATGCAATTCGCTACTTGAAGCAAGCAGCTGCAGAATGCAGGAGAGCAAACCACAAGTTGGCATGCCTCAAATAGATGTGGCTGGAAAGTGAATCATGAATTCCGAAGCGATGGGTAAGTTGTAATTAGGATTCATTTCGTAAGCAATTGTGACCCCAGTCCTTATGGCATGTCTAGAGTGCTGTGTCTAGGGCTGTTTTGAGCCTGGAGATGCCTTGTGTTACGGCAGTCTACCACCATCATCGTGGAATCATGAACTCTGGTTATGAATTGGTGACAAGAATTCTGGTGTAATTTCCGCACGCCTTTGTACGAGATGTTGGCTTCTACTTAGATTAACTAATTAGCAAGCGTATATCTCACACAAAACTTCGATATCATTTTTCACATTTTCTAAACATTAATAACTCTTCAAGTTGATGAATAAAATGGGGTACGCATAGCGTTTGTTACTCACAATAGGCTAATGCGTAGCCGGCCTGTCCTTGCGGCTGACGGAGCAAGTACTCATTGATGGATATTGGTGTTGGGTGGCTTTTCCGGCCTTCCGAAGAACGGGACCCGTTGAAGATCGGGGGTGTTGGCTACGTTAGGGAGTTGTACAAGAATAACCTTTTTTTCTTTTTTAATCGGCGTGGCGGCGGCCCAAACGTTTCATCCTTAATTGGTGTTGGCCTATAGTCGAATCGTTTAAACAAGAGCGTCCTTGTATCCACTAATCAGCGGCGCGACCACCTACGTCCACGTAATGATCTCACGATTCATACTAAAGATAAAAAGTAAACCTGTGGACTGTGTATGATCCAATAACACTCTTCGGTATTTGCCAAGACGAATCAAACTAGAACGCCTCTATGTATTTGAGATGGCTAGATATTGCGGGACCCCGTTGTAGTGTCTGTCATGCGGTCGAGACTCGTAAATACATAGATTAATTTAAAAGACAGCAAACATTTCGTGATTAAGGTCTGCGCAGACGTCAGAGTTCAAAGTAGGTATAGAACACATTTATCACGTGTACGCCTTGTTTGCAGCTATACAAGCTGAAGAGCTGAATAGGTAGAGTAGAGAAAACCTGGTAGACAGGGCGAATTCGTCTGATGTTTTCCCCCTAGGGACTCTATGAGAAACAAAGTAAGGACGGGTATGCAAACGAGATCGGGCTGACCCCAGGATTCGTAGTTGGTTTAAGGGGGCATCAGGGGGTGTAAGATCAGTTAGCCTAAGACATTCGCAAATCCGTAGCGGATGAAGGTGGATGAAGATGGATGGGCTGGATGAATTAGCATGGGAAAATGTTTATGGGCGAATCAATGGCTTTACCGATTACCGCTCTGGGGCATGCTTTACTAGCCCCGCGCTTGACAAGCCCCTCCTGCTTATGAAAGGCGGGAACTCAGTAAAAATCTGCAAGGTACCAGATTTCCTGCAGGGGTTGGAAACAGACTAAAAAGACTAGGGGCTTCGTCTGATTTTAGGTTGTACGAAAGGGCAGCCCATATCATAATATCCGACGATATTAGATTAGCAAAGGGTAGTAAATATAATATTTTCTGATGCCTATAGGCTTAATAGTTACCTAAACTTATTAGACGGAGATTCCAAAGGGGAAGAAGCAAAATAATGATATCTTCAAACACTTGGCAATTGTAAAGAAGGGCGATAATGTATATGACGTGTTAGTGAATTACCATAGCATTCTAGTAACCCCACATTACTGCAAAATGCACCGAGTGTAATTGTTAGCGTTTGTACATCACCTTCTCCCAAGATTCTGATAGGCTTTCATATTCAAACAATGTGAAAAAATGGCTTCCACCATACACTAGGTCAATCCGGTTTCTTAGTGACAATTCTGGACCACTTCGGCGTCTACGCAGCGTCACTATGAAAACTGCCGCCCGGCAAACCTTAACTTGTGTTTTTTTTTTAGGGTTGCGCTTATGTGCATGTATGGATATGAACTGCGTATATGATCTTCAGATTTTCAGGAACTTACCTAATAGGTATCTACTCGCTGTATAAGAGAGACTGAAAGAAAATGATTATAACTAACTACATGATATTAAAAAGTATCAGGTACAGAGTATACTATGTATTGTACGACAGTAAATAATTAAATCTAAATAAACCCTGGTAAGGTAATAATCACCGCTGTTAGAGATTCTTATGCGTTGTGTTTGACCAAACAAAAACAATATATCGCAACTTTACCATAAACATCAAAAACATTAAGGTAGAAGGGTCCAAGTCCTCGGTTTCGTACGTGTCATTATTTTAATAAACTTTAATCTCAGATAAGATGCATTTTACTACAATCCAGTCATGTCATTTGATAATTGCTGTAGAAGCTTTCTGTGATGCTACGTGTAGTAGCAATAGGATGTGGTAATAACATCGTGTAGCAGTGTTAATAGCAACACCCCCTTTTCGTAGCACGAGTCATTGCCTGTCGAAATGACGCTAGGATCGACAATTCGCATTCACCCTAGTCTAGTGCAGCAGCCGCCTAGCCACTCAGCTTTTTAGTTTACCTTTGAATACCTAGCTTATTTCGGTACGTACCCTTCGTGACACCCTTGCAATTCAGGTACCCAGCAAACATCGGTCCCTTTCATTTTCCCTGTCATTTGTCCCCATTCGTCCTTTCTCACCTTCTTTGACAGGCTCAGGTCAAGTCTTGTCCGTTCCTTTGGCGCATACATCATTCCCCCTTTCCCGCCTTCACTAACCTTCTCCTTCCTTTTCTTTTCTACCACCAAGGTGTTTGGCTTGATTCCGAGTTCGATACACATTCGTGAGACCTCAACTCCGACCAACTACTTCCACTCTTTCTCGTCCGCCTTGGCGTACTTTCATTCCTTAAAATACCACGAGTCTTCTCGCTCTCGTCTTCATCTGACAACCTCCCAACTCGACCTGATAAGTTGACTGTTGTCTCGAACGACAAGCCTATCGACTAGTCGACCCAATTCCATTCACTTTAGTCATTCTTTACTTGGACGCCAGCCGCCCCATCACCGTTGATCGATCCGCTCTCGGAAGCACTCACTAAAAGCTCACGTACTCGTCTAACATAAGAGCCGTCAGTCCAACAAGTTGTGTTCTTGTCTAACCCACCCGATTGATTTCAACCGGTCCACTGTTGGTTTGGAAATACCTTCGCCGTCTTTTCCAAGTCCTATAAATTACTCGATCTTCACTACCAGCTGGAACTGAAGCGTACATCCTTCATCCACACCTGCTATCTACCCAGCAAATTTTGCAAGGTATGTGATTAAAAAGTTCATTGTCTCCCTACGCCCTTATATTCCCAACATCAAGGATCTCCTAGTTGTTACAATTATTTCCCCCTCTGCTAGTGTGGTTGAGCTTTGTTCCTGTTTGAAGGCGAACATAGTTCCTCCCCCTTTTCTAATACAAAGCGTACCCTTTTAAATAAAGGAATCTCATCCAAATGAAGGACATCTAGACCTTGTATTGGAGAAGATGTCAACAAACGAAATATAAAATCAAAACCACACTTGCGTGGCTTGCTACGACTGTTCGTCGCTTCAAGTCTTTCCCCCTTATTATATCACTCATTGAAACTATAGTAGATCGAGCAAGTAGACTCTGATCATAACCACACTCATTTTTACCTTTCTATTCATATCTACGTATTTTTAGCGTTGTACAGTGCTCACCTCTTACAGTTATTCGTCTTTTACCAAGCTTTTACATCAAGCAAAATGAAGTCCTCAGTTTTAATCGCCGCTGGCGCAGCAACTCTGGCCATGAGCAGCCCTCTAGAGAAGGAGAAGCGAGCGATAGAAACCCAATGGGTCGTAGACTACTTGACAGTTACCGTTACCGGTACTGAGACAGCTAAGCCAACCTTCTTCTGGGGCGGCCCGAAGCAACGTCCCGCAGAGACAAACTCTCCTGTCCCTGTTGTAACTGAGACTCCCGAGGCACCAGCGCCTGCCCCTGCCCCGGAGACAACCGCGCCGTCCGTTGTGATTGTTACCGAAACCCAGGCTTATCCCACTTCAGAGTCCACCCCAGCACCAGTTGTACAGGATCCTGCTCCTGCACCGTCTCCTGAGCCGTCTTCCGCTGCTCCCCAGCCATCTCCCGAGCCTGCTGCTACCGATTTCGCTGGTGCGGCTGTTCAGCACCACAACTTCCACCGCTCTAACCACTCCTCCCCAGAACTTTCGTGGAGTGACAAGCTTGCTGGTTACGCTTACCAGACCTCACTTTCCTGCAAAATGGTGCACGATATGTATGTTTATCATGAACGTATATCTTTATCTTTTCGGTTACTGACATTCATCTAGGGACCAGGGTGACAAGGGTTATGGCCAAAACCTAGCCAACTGGGCACAGAGCGTGGATGCTTACAAGCTAGGTGATACCGGCGCTGTCAAGATGGCCGTCAGCGATATGTGGTACAATGGAGAGTTCAACAACTTCCTTCCCGCATATTACGGCGAGGATTCCCCCGACATGTCCTTCTTCGAGAGCTGGGGTCATATGTCCCAGCTTGTCTGGAAAGAATCGACTGAGGTTGGCTGCTCTTCTCACTACTGCGAGAAGGGAACCATGTACGATGATTTCGATGCCTGGTTCACAGTGTGCAACTACAGCCCTCCTGGTATGGATATTCCTATTTCCCAAGTTATGACTTCATGCTAATATATGACATAGGCAACGTTGGTGGTGCTTACGGCAGCAACGTCCTTAAGCCTCTCGGCAAGTCTACTGTGACTGCGTAAGCTGATTCCAAATTAGCATTACGCTTTAGGCGGTATCACTAGCAAAGGCAATACACATGCCACACAAACCTCCCTTCGATTCTTCAGTGTACAATTCAATACACAATTTTTACAAAACCAGCACTCGCAGCATGATTGTTGATGACATGGAAAACCGGCGTGAATGGGGGCACCAGGGAAAGGATGGTCCTGGATTTTTTTATAGCATTTCTTCGTTTCGTCGTTGGGCTTTGAGCCATTGCACTTTTATCTTTTTTTTTGGTCAGACTTGTCATTTCCCTAGAATATGACCTTGCATTGCTCCTGTGGAGTTGACGGCTTACACCCACAATGCATTCAATTAAGTCTGAACTATTTAACAACAAACTCGTCTTCACTTCTTGTACCTGTCACTTTTCTTATATCACGTTTCACTTTTTCGCATCAAGTCAAGAGGGCGAAGCTCAAGACCGAGCGCGTTGCCTAGGTTCTTAAGGTCGGAAACAATTACTTACAGACTCGCATGTTGCAGTCGGATCGATCCGGTTGTGGAATAAATCTAGACCGTACCGTTGTATGTATGTAGAACTCATTCAATGCTAACGACAACTTATGAACTACCTACAGAGTTCTCGTTTGCTAATAGTGACATGACGATTAATTCTATATGAACGTTAATCAGTATTATGTTGTCTACTTGATTACTGAAGATAGCTAGAAACTATTAGAAATGACCAGCATATTTTATTTTACCCACTGCCTTCAAAAAGAATTAAGAGAATTTAGACTTGGGGAGTAGAAGATCATTGCCGAGTTCATGTCACAATTTATAGGCAGGTAAATAAATGCCTACACATGATCTACCGTGCATCTACTAGGCTCACGAAATCCTAGTTCCATGATCATATCCCGGGGGTTAGCAATACGGGTTATGTCTTGGCACATTTATTGGCGGTTCTATACGAGCGAAGTCGTGCTAAGCTTCTGCCTGGCCTTCGTATTTCGTTGCCAAGCGCTTAATCGCCGATTGAAATGGCGATGCCAGCTGAGATATCCGAAGAACGTAGTATATAGCAAAGTAGCGGTGGAATAAACTATAAAAACCAGAATGTGTACCTTAGGTATAATTTATGGGATTTGGGCTGGTTGTTTTGACGTTGCAGAGATAGTCTTACAATACTACCTACCTACCAGATGTATCAAAGTCAATGGAATAGCTTTTGCTATCGCTTCGGCTACGAGGACATAGAAACGGAAGGCATCGAGCCCAGTCAGATAAGAGCGGCTAGGCCATTCGAATCCGTTTTATTGACTAATCTTTATTGATGCCAGCAAACTCTAGACTATTGACTCACTTTATTATACCTAATACATCTAGACTCTTATTCCTACAATGATCAGGGCTATAGACTATCTCTATAACTTGGAGGTTATCATGATAGTAATTAAGGGGTGAATTATTCCGTAGTTATACCCGAGTGCTGAGGCAGTATGGTTAATGATGTAAAACACAGGCTGCTGTAGTTACTAAACTCGCGCCGAAATGCAATGGCATGTTTAGTTAATATTTAGTTATGGGCGATGAATGTGTATTAGAAAGCCTATCGCATTAATGGAGTTGATTAAGATTTATTTCGAGGTATAACTAGTGTATTTCTACTTATCACTTTGGGCTCGTGGAAATAGTCACCGCTTACCCCTGAGAGGTAGTTACTCCAATATTTGATTCCCAACTTCTAGATCCACAGGCCCCTATAACTACTGTTTCCCATGAACTTTTTCTCGATAGGAGGTTACTTGCGAGGGTTACGGCATCCGATAAATCATTTAACAAAAGATGCCAGACCCTTATGACCTACTTTTGAAAATTCTTCGTATTCGTAATACACACAAAAGGTTGTCATTTGCTAGAGGTTATCATTACAAACACGCTCATTGTATACATGGTTAAAGCATGTTAACTATGGTGTTGGCGTTTTAGTTAACTTGAGAATGATCCGAAACTTCATCCAAGCCGCCTTTGCACGACGGGCATAATCAGCTGGTACGTCTAGTTCCTTTTCGCTAGTCGGGATAGATGATTCCATCGAAATGTAACCTTTGTACCTCGAGGCAAGAACGATATATTTTGCTAAGTCTTCCATCGAATAAATACCGCCTAAGGGATTCTCGAACAGGAAACCCTTGCCGTGTCGCGACCAGCTCATATATGGAGTTTCATGAGGGTTGTACCTTTAGGATATAGATAGTCAGCAATTTATTCCATGAAGGGTAGTAGTGAATAGGCTTAGAACGTGACCCTGGTGGCAATACTTCTTGATTTGACTAGGGTGCCTTAATTTAGGGATGTAGGTAGGTCGGGAAGAGGTGTGAGAAACACGCTGGTAGCACATACCAAGGGTGATCCTCGCTTATCGAACTAGTGAAGGGAACGGCACTGGAAACTTGGAGATGGAATATCCTGCTTGGCGGTACTACTTCCATCATACGAACGAGGCTATTCGTGCGCCTAATGCTCTCTTCCGATCCCTTGTAAGACAAGGCTGATGTATCGTCGCCCAGACCACCAGCTATATGGAAGGTACTCAGACAGAGACCGAAGTTGGGACTGTTGATCAGCTTTACAACTTCCCATGCTTTCCACCATTTGTTGATAATGGTGCTGTAGCACGTAAAAGAGTACGCAATGTTGATACCTAGACCCAATCCCCATTGAGAAATCAGTTTGAGGTCTTCGAGGATAAATTCTTCTGACAGCTCGTCTTGTGGGAGATGGTTAGCTGTGACTATAATTGTATTGGTGCCAAGTTTCATCGCAAGCAAGAGCTGAGTTTTGAGTATATCTTTCATGGCCTCGTGTCGTGCTCGATCACGTAATCCTTCGTAGCGTTGAAATGGCCCAAAGGCTACGATACGAAGGTCGAGGAGTCGGCATAGGTCCGCGATGCGCTCTGCTGCAGCGAATAAATCTTTTTCGGAGGGATAATCAACCTATGAACCCGTCTTTGCTTCTACTATCACCTCATCGAAGGATATTTCGACCCCCATGAAATTTTTTACGGCAGCCTTTTCGAGTTTTTCTCTTATGCTATACATAGTGGGAGCTCCGAGAGAGGTAGATACAATTGCCGGAAAGAGATATTCTGCTGGAGAGGAAGACATTGCTTCAAATAAGCCAGCAGGTGAGCTGTTGGGAGATACCTAATGGGAGGTGCTATGAATCATATCTATAGCTGCTTTTATCAGGGGCTTCTCTTTGGATAGATTTATGATACTGGGAATCTAAAAAGTACCATCACTCGAAATATGTCTCGACTGATGAAAGGGAAAACTTACGCGTCTATCCTTCCATGACAACCAATCGCGACCTTCTATTATTATTAGAGATATTGAGGAAAGAACAATGTGTACTGTATCATTCACAGGGTATGTAAGGTTGGTTTGAATATGTATGTAGATCTTGAAAACCTAATCTAGGCTACCTGGATAGTTGAGAACCTAAAAAGGGGCTTGGTCTCCCCTGAGCCTAAAATGATATTTTCCTGGAAACGACAAACCCAGGTGCTTACTGTACCTATACTCAGATACTGTATAGAAACAAGATCCTTTGTGATCTAATTCGTGCAAGAGTCACTTCGATGTTATTATCTAACAAAGTATGTTTGTACATTGTGCCTTTGAGTATAACTATACTAAATATGACAAAATGAATTAACTATCGATTTGATCAACTTTTTTGTCCATCCTCTTTCAGAAATGATCATCCTTCATCCTACACATAGTAGCGCTGCCCGTGCTAATGGCAGGGCCAATAATAATACCACCGACAACGCCAACGACAACACCAACGACAACGACAACACCAACGACAACGACAACACCAACGACAACGACAACGCCAACGACAACGACAACGCCAATGACAATGCTGAAGGCGAGATATTTTGGGTTAAAGCTTATCGCATATGGAACCTGACTCAAATACTCTTTGTACTGTGGTTCGTATGTGAGAATGTTGTTTACCTTTTTTACGATCACATTCGAGATTTGCTGTTGCTCGTAATTGCATTTATAATCATCTGCATTATAGAATTATTGGATTGGCTATCGTTCATATTTGGATTTACAATCAGAATGCCCGGTCTACTTATCAGTTACGTCCCAATACCCTTCTTTGATCCAGCTATACATATGTCAACGACCACAACGTTGGGCCTCTCTGCTCCTATATTGGTCTTAACCACCCCATACCGAGCCCTTCGCGCACGCACAGACGCCTTCTTTTGTTTGAAGGTAGTTGTATTTATGTATTTCTTTGGTCTAAGTAGTCGTATGAGGATACTACTTGTCCTCGCAAGACTGAGAAGATGGCGCCGTATACTTGAATACCTCGTTTGGTTCAATCGCTTCGTCTTTTTGGCTTGTGTATCGATTTTTAGTGGGATGATTATTGGCTTGCGTTTGGACTATTTTACAAAGTGGTGCCTATTTGCTCTCTTTGTTCTAGACGCCTATGCTTTGAGTGTTCAAATGACAATCGGGCGCGCAATGTGAGCGGGTGCAAGTAGTTAGGAATGAACGCTCTAGTAGTGGCAGATCCTAAAATTTACTACGTACAAAAATAATTCTAGGTAATGAGCGCCTCGGACTTGATATGATGAAAATTGGAAATAACTATGTCTTGTAACAAGATGAACTAAAGTTTATGTATAAATAGTACCACCCCTTATATAAGGAACTTGTGCAGAGATAGGGGGGGAATGTTAGAAAAAATATGAAACCTTTTTATAAGAGGTACCCAACATTTAACTAATCTTTTGTTAGGTAACTATGCCATTGTTCTTCGAAGATAAATTTACAAAAAGATAACACTTCTCATTTCCATACTTCTTGGGTGACATCTCGCACAAATTGCAACTTTTCCCACATTATTTCCATCGTCATACCCAAACCTCCGGCCAAGCTGCTACTACTGAACCCACACTGGGGGCTAACGGCAAGGCATTCCAACGCCTCATCTTTGCTAATCCCCTGTGCATTGGATATTATGGCAGCAGCAGCATAAATATTCTCTTTAACAATGTTTGGATCTTCTAGCTCTGATGTCTTCGTCGATATAAGGCCTAATACTACGTTTTTGCCTTTAGGTAGGAACCTTAAAGGCTCGAAGCCGCCCGCTCGCTCCACATCATCAAACTCCAGATAGTAGGTCTGATAGTCCGTTTCGTTGAAGAGCTTTTGCGCGATCTTCTCGTACGAACCTGAGACCCAATGTGTAGACCCAGACATGTTGCCTCGACACAGATGCATCCCTACGTGCAGATCTGCCGGCTTGTTCGCCAAGATCTGGTTATGAGTCCGAGTATACAAGTCAAGGAGCTCATCTGGATTGGTGCCATCTTTCTTGCACCCTTCAATAAATTGGGAGGAGCAGAAGTAGGTCAAATGTGGGTCGTCCACCTGGATATTACGGAGACCGGCGTCGTAGAGTGTACGAAGCTCAGCGGAGTAGCATTTGGCGAGGTCGTTAAAGTACTCTTGGTCGGAAGCATACCCTGATTCTTGAGTCCATGCGGTGCCAGGCTTAAGCTGAATGTGCTGATAGTTCGGGGCTGGAATAGTGAACTTGGCTTCATGCCATAGATGTTCAGGTAGATTGTCGCGAAGCATAAGCCATTCTGAAAGGTAAGGTGAATCTTTATATCCAATTTTACTTGTGCAAATAACTGCAGCCCGGGTCTTCGCTCCCATCTTTGCAAGACCAGTGGTTGTTGGAAAGTCAGTTCTGAATGCATCTGGGATGGGAAGATTTGGTTTGACTTCGAAGCCAGAGAGCTTTTCGAAAAAGCCGCCGTAGTAGATGTGGCGAGCGTATTCTCCATCTGTAATGGGTCGGACACCCTTCTTCAACTGTAGTTGAACTACCTCACGAATTGCTTGCGCCTCCGCATCTCTGACCGACTGTGGAATATCAAGTGAATACATTTGAGAGGGCGACGAGAGTCCTGATCGAGCCTCTAGCAGTGATTGGGGTCTTAGCAATGACCCTATATGGTCAGCTCTAAAAGGAGGCGCCATTTTAATGTATTTTATTAAGCTGTGTTCTTCCACGTTTTTGCCTGTAAAGTAGATATTGACCTTTTAATAGTATGAAGTGCTACGTGAGGGTATCTGTTTTTGGATACTGCAGTATTTCAAGAACCCATGAACCGAAAATGATAGCCAATGGCAAATGATATATAATACTCCGCATTATTCTATTAATCTACCCCGATGCTATAGAACCATTTCTCCTCACTTTCGTATTGAAAACCTGCTGGATTTAGCAAGGATTTAGTTTAAAGGAACCTGTAGAATCCACAAAATGCCAACGTTTAGGTGGGGGTTAGACAAGCCATGTCACCTTATGCCTACTGTTGTGAAGGATGATAAGAGAAATCATACCCAGTTGCTTATAATGTGTTTTCTTTAAGGCATCTAGGTAATTGACACCTTCCGGCACTTTTTAGGGCTTGAAGTAACTGTTTAACTACTTGTCATTACAACAGTATTTGAAATTTAGATTACTCATTCTAATTTATTGTTGAACATTCACTTTTTTACCGATCATCATATGTCAACCCCAAGACCTCAAATTCTACGGAATTTTATTGTTATGTGACTGAAACTATGCTTGACAGGCCTGTCATTATATTAATTACTTGAGACATGTTGTATAACAAGGTCTTTACTTGTGGCTACTGTTTATAATCTCCGTACTCATTCTTATCTACAAAGATTATAAAGTCTACTTAAGGATACTAGGCCTATGGTTTTCGGATATACCATACGTTGTCGTAAAATGGTTCCTCCATCCACTCTATCTGGAAATTATCAATGTCGAGAGCAGGGTTCTTAGAACGAAAGCCGGGAATAGGAACCTCTTCGTACTCTTTTAGCATCTCGTCAATACGGACAGAGTCGACGTCTCTGGCATGTACTCTACGGCGTGGAGGCTCGTTATCATATAGTTCCCGGGTTGGAGGCGACCAACACATAGCGGCAGGTCGGGCAATATCTGCGATAATCTCCCGGAGAGGATAATTGGGATGGTGGCCTAGGATGAGAGTATTTTCATCAATCATTGCGAAGCCACGGGCACCAAACCCGTCGATAATTCGGAACCCGTATGTGTCCCTAAGGACGCTTTTACATACAGTTGTGTAACCAGGGTCCTGAAGATAAACGGGTATATTATTCTCTTGGCTCGTACCATTCCTTTCATTCAAAGCCCTGGCTATAGTCAAAACTATTGCGTGCTCCCTCTGGCTTCGAACATCAAATGCTCTAACTGGGCTTACCAACTCTAGATCCCCAATTTGTCCGAAGCCAAATCCAATGATCTTATTGATGTTGGTAGGTAATATGTTTTGTAATGTTTTGAAAAGGGTTTTACACATGGGAGAGGACTCCCAACTTTCTATTTCACTCGTCATGTGCATTATAGCTTCATCCGAGGATAGGTTTGGCCCACGAAACGGCCTTGTTACAACTGTAAACGGCGTAAACCATTGTTCCCGTCCTTGCGAGATAGCGAAGTCAAGCGCCCTTTCACCATTGAAATCTATAGAGTGTCGTGTTATCTGACAGTTAGGTGGTGCTTCAACAAACCCCTGACCGGGCAGGGGGTTTAATTTCTTAAAGTACGAACCACCATGGCCTCTGTATTCAATGAACAGATCAGCTCGTTCTAGTTCTGCTTCTATTTTGTTGAAGTCTTCTTTTATGTATATGGGTCGCATGGTTTGCCCGGGAGTTTTGTATGTTGTCATTGTGAGCGATTTGTATTTCCAAAATAATTATAGGTGATAGTACTCTTTTCTTATTGTTTAATAGTCGTCTTAAATCTTCTAGATTGGTAATCTGATGATGCAAGCTTTCGAAGGATATGGAGGTAAGGGTAAGAAACTTATTATATCATTTTACCAATAAGAGCTTGATTTTCATTGTTGTAAAACTAAACTCTTGAATTTTATAGTTGATGAACATGGGTAAAGTCACGAACGAACATTGCATTAAGGGGTAGGTTGAGAAATCCTTTTTACAATAGGGAGCTCTCGAATTTTTACACAAAGCAATTGTGCAACGATATGATAACATACTAAACACAACATATGTGTATATTACTAGCTGTTTATATGAACCCTAGCAGGTGTCTAGTCTAGTTATTTGCTATGGTGACGGCGGTCCGAAGTATCGTTGCCCGAGCTGATTTAATCATCAACATAGTCATTTCAATATGTTGACCACGGCTGATAGTTTAACTTCAGCATTCACAAAGGAACGGATATAGGTGCGACTGATTTCAGATAAGTATTATGGATTATTCATCATGAGTTCTGATTGTCTCCTACTAGTACTAGTGTTTTATTGCGTATCATACCCTTTTCTGTCTGTCATGGCTACTTAATTATACATCGACACTCGCGAAGTGACTTTACTTTTTACCCTCCCCCTTAGAATCTCCCCAAAGGTAATCTACTGTTAGGCATATCGCCAGTCTATTTGCTTGCCGCTGCCTTAGCCAAGTCGGCTAGAGCATCACGACGCTTGAATTTAGCATCCTGAATAACACCTACCACAAAATTATCAGCTCATTCGCACCACGAGCTAGAGTAGAACTGTCTAGATGAATAGGAGTGTGATACTCACCTGCATCAGCATCGCTGGAGAAGTTTCCAGTCCATTCTACAAAGGTACTTCCCTCCAACTCGCCCGAAGTAACAGCGTAGCAGCGAATGGTAGAAAGAACGGAAGAGTAGGTAAGCTCAGGCTTGGCGGTGATGACACTATAAGTAATATAGTGATTGATAGTCTTTTAATACTGTCAGAAATTAGTCATGAGGTGAATGGAATGAACATACGCTGTGCTCCTCCTGCTTCACTTCGAGCTCGGTGCCATCTTTGAAGGTCCACTTCACAACATCGGTCTCATCACTAGTACCCTTAACATACTGGCTCGACTTGAGGGCGGACCAGAAGTTATTGAAATTCTGGACTAAGGGGAGGACTTTAATTAGATACCTAGTCGTGACTATCCGAAATTAGATATTGAACTTACGCTTGATATGATGCCAGACGTGACTGAGTGGCGCCTTGATGACGGCAGACTCGACAACGGACGTGGAGGTTGGGATCGACATGATAACTGTTAGACTTGTGATTTTGACTTATTGTTTCTGGTCAGAAGATGGTGAATTACAATTTGGCAGAAATAATTAGAAATTGGAAGATGAAATTTGTAAGATTGAATTTGGGGAAGCTATGATGATTTAATTACATTGATATGGAACTCCCCCAGAAAGCAGTGAAGCTTCAGCTTCGTTTGTACCTGCAGCAATAAACGGAGTCATAACGTCATTGAATGAGGGGCACCTGAAGATGCTGTGGGGCTCGTAGCATCCATAACTCTTGGAGAGTGAAGGATGTTTCGGGCATCTGCGTGCTTCTTACTTTCTCTTAGTTTCTCTTTACCTTGAGGGTTATACCTACCTGCCCGTACATGTAACTCTTTTATACTATTTCAGTTCCATAGAAGTGGCATCTCATACTTAGTTAACCTAGGGAGATGGGGAGGTAGGGAGGTACCTTATACCTTATACTTAATAATATTATATCTCTTAGATACATAATCTCAATACGTCGTAACACATTAAACAAAGCCAAGACCGCTTAGCTGAGGTGGTCAGCTAAAACAACCCACTAATCTCCAAAGCCATAGTGTACATCTTCAAATTCTAATCACCCATATTGTATCATAAATCTATAGGGATAATGGCAAATTCACGCTCTTCAGTCAATCTCGAGCAGCGCGCCAGGTTCATACATATCAACATACTCACAGCCATCATATAAATCCGCTAGGGATCCTCCATCAAACATTCGACCTCGGAACTCGAGCAAATTATGCGGGCCCAGCCGATTCTCCCACACACATTTCCCGTGTATATCTAACCATAAGATCTTGACGAGCCCTGCCCGTAAAGCTTGCTCGTCAACCAGGAAAAGCATTGTTTTTTCTTGACGCCCAGCCTCATATAAGCCCATCTTGAACTCTTCACCTGGGCCAGGACGGTCGAAGTCTTCTTCGTCTTCCTGCACTATATCATCCGTCTCGTAAGTATATCGTATAGTATCGGCTATTGCAGGGACCCGTAGTAAAACACGCGACCAGTCATCCGCGCAAGATGCGTAGAGAGTCTCATCGTCTAGAATCTGACTCCAATGTCCCAGTAAATGCTCCAGGTCTTCTTTACACCAGTCGGCGTATGTCTCTGCTAGTTCAGGGGAGTAGCATGTGCGCAGCCAGACAGGTGCATATCTCCCGAGATGAGTCCTCACAGACAGGTTTCTCTCGCCGATTGTTTGGTAAGGGAATAAGACGCGCTTTATCTGGGCGGTTGTAGGTAATATTTTATTTGAGTAGCTCAGCTCATGATATGGCTAGTATATGAGTGAGATAATCTAGCTAATACGTTCGTAAGATAGGTACGTACGTGGCGTTCATGGGCATCTAGTTTCAGCCATTCACATGCTAGAGTATTCCATTGCCGTTGATCTTCCTGGGTCGCCCTAGAGTAATCCCATTTCTCCTTTAAGATAACGTGTTAGCTGGTTTTTATATTCTTGTTGTCTAATCCGTGATATACACTGAATAGAATGCTTACGCAGACAAAAATATCGAACGGGAGCTTGCCATATTCAGCTTCCTCAAACAGCTTATCTGACTGCATCTCTAGGAATTTGCTACGGGGAATGGGGTTTAGGGGTTTCGGCAAAATAGCGCTGTAGTTTTATGAGAGGTAGGCATTCTAATAGCAAGCAGCACCTTGCTAACGATACCGACGATACCTGCAAGACAAAAAGAGGAGCAAATGGGATATAAGGATAATGTCGGATTTATTATCATTCATTTCCACGTTCCGTAATACGTCGACTACCTCTCATTAGTATATATGCATATATAACGCGGAATACAATACCACTTTATCAACTATAGCTCTATACCAGGATTATAATAATATTCTGCCGCCTATTTCGGGCTATCCCCGCCGTACCCCCTGAAATCCACGACGGGGCCCTTTAGTTATAATTCCTCCCTATTCCTCAGTGACAGGAATACGAACCCAGTTCTAGCGTAGATCTAGGAGGGACCATGCCTTAACAAGTAGAGTAACTAACAGTCCCTGAGCAGCATCGTTCTAGGTACTTTCCGGTTTGATTGAGAAAGGGCACTGCACGAAGGCACTGACGAAAGGAATACCCGCTTGAACACATTGGTTTACCTCCGCCGAGTACGGTGTGCTATTGCATTCGGCATCCGTATAGAGTGTAACTTATGTATTATCTTAGTGATAAAAAGAGGGACCCAGTAGACGGAAACTCATAACACACCTATGCACTCGGGATAGATATCGGTAGCTTTGTAGCTGAGGATGTCAGGGGTATTCCCGTGTCTATCGAGAGGTTGACAGCTCCCGCCGCTCCCGAATATAGGATCCGCCCAGACAAAGCTTTCTTCGCCGCAGTCGGGCCCCGAGAATATCTCGGCAACGGTGTTGTAAAAATCAGGATCGCCGGGTGAGCCCTCCGTAGCAGCGGCGACGCATATGGCGAAAGCCAGTCCTTGGATGACCTTGAGGTTCATGCTCGCAATATTATGTGGATAGTTTTATAGGGTTCCGGATAGATAGCGTTGAAATACGAGGATAGCGTCTGCTCCCCTCTTTATAACGCACAATGATTCCCGTAAGCTATCAATCTGATATCAACTAGATATATATACTATCCCTTTCGGTCCTTTGCTTGGGCATATGCTCTTACTACTCGGCACACGGCAAGATAAGCTTATTGCACCACCACGGGGGCAACAGGGATATTGATGGCCTCAACGTAGCGAATCCCCACAGGACTTAAGAAAAGGCTCACGAGACCGCCTCAGATAGGCAGGTTAGATAGGTAAAGTTATTGGCCAAGATGACTACCCTTTATCTACAGTGCGGCTCTATAAGTTGGATATAGAAACTTTACCCCATGACGACAGCCAGCTATCTCATCCATCAGCGGGAATTAGCCGGCATGATTAACCGCCACGACTATCCAATGTGAAGCAAGCAGACAAGGGTCGCCAGAAGTTGCTTAATGACGAAATTTCGGCACGGGTCTTTCATTATTACGAATGTGAATGGGTAGTAAATAAAAAAGGAGTGGTCCATTCTTGTTTGGGGCGCGAGATATATAAATAACGGGATAAGGTAGCATATTGGGGTCCATGTGCTTAGAGATTAAGCTTATACAGCTCACTATAGAAGATTACCTCACTTGATACGGAGTTACGTACAATAATTAGTTACTTTGATAGCTTAATATAAACTATGTGTTACTAGGTACCTAAAGTAGATAACTACCTCTAATCGATCTATAATATGCTAGGGGTTTCTGAGCAATGTTGTGGAGATATCAGATATTGAGTAAAATCAGCCAAATAGTACTAGGGATACAGAAAGAAGACATAAATTTGAGAGCTCTGAGTTGATTTAACTTACTGGTCTTGCTACATGTGTGCTTGATTTTAGTTATATTATCGGCATACTAACGAGCCTTTCTCGTACTTGGTCATGGACGAGTTTAACAGGATTATCGTAGTATTTAACAGTGAGTGCCTAACTTCAACACTGATACGTCTAAAGTACCTATGTATTTTAATAGACTTTTTAGAGATCTAGAATGCAGTATATAGAAGTCTACTCCCATGGATTAAGGGGGTATCTACAGGGGTATATCTACTATATAAGGACGTACAGCGCCCTCGTAAGAGAGTAGAAGCCAAGCGTTACTAGATCAATATACTATACTACTTGGAGTACCTATACTAGACACTCACTCTGTGTATGACATTAATCACTTGGGTATCAATCTCCTGATAGATTGCTATAGTTATTATGATTACTAGGTAAAAGCCAATTTATACGGCCTTTCACTTAATCTTCTACGACTATCTTCGAGCACTATCAATAAAAAATCACTACATGAAACCAAGCGGCATAAACTCCGTAGATAAACGTAGAAGAATAGCATGTATCGAATTAGATATATAATCGAGTTAAAGTGGAAGCCATTAATGCGTCATATTTCCCAGTAGTCATAGTTAACTCCAATATGACTCAAGGGATTGGTTGGGTTTAGGGGTTATTTAAGGTACGTAATAATATAGAAGCTAGCTTGTAACTGTTCTTGATTGGTAAAAATACCTACCTAGGCAGGTTGATAAGAAGGCATGTAAGTATATACAAATCCTCCGCAAGTATATACAAGAAGCGAATGTATGCATATGCAAAAAGTTCAAAAATATGTTCAGAAACGAAGGACGAAGAATGCAAGAATATTCCCACCCGACCCAAGCTCTCAACCCAAACTCCTTCAGCCCCTGGCCCCAGCCCCGTCCCCGTACCCTGTCACCGTTCCGTTTCGATATTGTTGATTTATAATTTATTAATTTGCGAGGTAATGCGCGACGTACGCAACCTCCATCATGCTGCCGTACCCGTCCAGGGTGGCACTGTTGGGCGCGCCGGGCTGTAGAACACACACACTTCGTTAGCAAATTGACAATCCCGAATATATTTCTAGGTAGAAACGAGAAGAAGAGCGGAAAAAACTCACCCAGTCACCGCCGACGGCGACGTTGAGAATGAAGAACATGGCCGAGTTGGCAAGCGAGTTCCAGACGCCCTGGTTGTTGATGCGAGAGCCGGAGATCTGGTGGAATTGCTGGCCGTCCATGTACCATGTGATTGTCTCGCCGGTCCAGCTGCTGGCGCGACGGTCCCAGACGATACGCCAGTTGTGCCAGCTCTGGTCGGGGATGGCGATGGTGCCGCCGATACCGTTGGACTCGTTGCATACGCCACCGGGGTACACGTCGCAGTGGACCGTGCCGTGGCCCGTTAGCTGCCCGTTGACCGTTTCCATAACGTCCAGCTCGCCGCATGTCGGCCACCCTACCCCATTATGGATCGAGTTACCCAGGAGCCAGAACGCGGGCCAGATGCCCTGCTTATTCGCGATATTGTTGTCGCCAAATCGTAGTTTCGCCTCGGCCATCGTCTGCGTGCCTGCTGGTGGGGTGAATGTGTACTTGGACTCGATACGTGCCGAAGTCCATTGGCCATTGCCGTCCTTGCGCGGCACGATCTGTACGGTGGCACCACCGCTAAGTTGGAGGTTCTGTGAGGATGTCGTGTAGCTCTGCCACTCATTGTTCACCTTGAGGCCCGTGATGATGTTCCAGTTGTTGCCATTGACTGTAGACCCTGCCGCACCATCGAAGGTCTCTGCCCAGACCAGTCTAAAGCCCCCATAACCGGGTGCACCCTCTGCCGATACGGTTGATGCCGCTAGGGCCAGCACGGAAGTAAGTACTTTCACGAACATATTGTTACTGAGGTAAGGATCGGCTTATATAAGTAAAGTAGATGTAATGACGTTGTAGGAATATGTACACTTGTAATAGAACTGAAATTGGTAATAAGGAGTGTAAGTCATAGACCAGCTGTATAGACTGCGGTATACTTAGGGTGAGGATCGTCCTACATCGCTAGATGAAGGTAGATCCCCTATTATATATACCTAATATATATAGAATGATTAATATCAAAATAATCGGGAGAGGGGTAAGGGTAGAAGCGAGTGGGAAGGAAACCGCACAAGCCGAGTCAAAGAATGAGAGGTCTAGCGCCAACCTGCGTGAAGAACTGAAGTTCTCATGAGCTTAGAAAGGGAAGGTGACCAGGATCTCGAGCGCCCATGGTATCATCACCAGAGCACAGATAGGATGTAGAGAACTATACACGCGTCTAGACCACAAGTATGAATCTAGAACGAATAATAGCGATGTGTAAGTAAGATTGCACTGACGAGGCCGGGATGGTACAACAGAACAGTCCGGGATCGGTCGAGTTACACGTTCGAGTTGCATTCTCGGACCCTAGGCCCTACTATGCGATCTTAAAAAAGCAGCAGAAACACTCGTCGGTAAGTAGTAGGCCACAAGTAGGTAAGTTTAAAGTTGAGGCGCGTGGCTTATTGGTAAGTCGACGTGACCCATGGAGTTTATGGGGGATGATTAAGGGGTATATGAGGATATAGGATTGGATAGTGTATATCAACTTTGCATGGGATACCTACACAAAAAGCTGTTCGGTAACGCGGACGGACGTGATTGGACGCCGGGATGTGTCAAATATAAACGACATTCCAATGAAGGTTAAAAAGTCCGACATGATGGCGGCGCAAGGCCCCAAATCGCAGATGGAGTACCAGATCGGTACTGGTTGCAGATCCCCAGACGGATGCCCCGCATGCTTAAAAGATGTCAAACATTTAGAGGCGGGAAACATTATTATATTCTCATCCCGGCCAAGACCAAGTCACTAAGTCATCAACTACCGGGTCAGCTTCGATGATATTAACAATATTAACGATATTATAAGAAATAGGGGAAGGAGAAAAGAGACAGATGACGATTCCAAGGTTATTTTGTTTGGTATAAACAAGATATAACCTTGACTAACACACCATTCGATGATTTTATTGACTTATCCTTACCGGAGAATCTTTGTGCTCCAAGCCCCCGTGGTTGAATGCACATGCGGTGCAATCTAGATTCTGTGTGGGCCGATTTTAACATGTCTTGGATCTCCAACGGAGCAGCTGATTGAATGATTGAATGATGCTTGAATTTGTACCTGCGCCGGACCGCGTGCTTAATTCAACAGGGATCCTTGAACTTCAGATGAAATATTTCCTACGAATAGGATGCGTAGGATGTGATTGGAGGATATGCGCAGAGCCTAAGGCGACGGAGACTTTTTTATTATTTTTATTTTTACCTTGGCTTGGGTAGGTATATTTTTATTTTAATCCGAAACGGGAAGCTCGTCGACGCCGAAGAAGCGCCGGCCAGGGACTTGATAAAATCTTGTAAACCACCTTAAGGAATTCCATGAGATTCTGGCGAAGGCCAAATTGAAGCTCCTCGGAAAATCTGCTGATTCGGGCCACGAATTCAACTCCAACTCTCCTTACTGCATTACTGTATGTTGGTCATACATACAGACATACATACAGGAGGTCAATATGCGGGTGATACCTGCATATGCTTGAGCCAGGTAACTAAACCACGTAACGTATCCAGGCTTATCAGCGGCTGCCGGTATTCGAATCCATCTTCAGTGAAATATTCTAGCTTGTGACGCGCCTGTCGCAGGGCTGCGCGGCGAGTAATCTCCGGTTCCGCGCGAAGCTTGTTCTTACGCGCCGTTCACCCCTATCTCCATTAGTAGTTCTATGGCTACCTAAGTTAGGCACTTTGGGAGCTTGGAAAGGGGTTCGTTAGTCTTTCTTTTAGCACCTTGGCTTCGTGAAATAAACTGGTCGTTTCGACAAAACATGGCGTTGTATATGCACTGCACATGCCCGGTGTTGATGCATGGAGTGAAGTAGGTGAATGATGGAACCATGCTTTGCATATGTCCCATATGAAGGGTCCTGATATGAGAAGTAACCATCGACGTCTTGCTAAAGCGACTAGAGCCAACATAAGTGTTAATGATACCTATTGACCTTCATTACATCGTAGTTCTCGTGATAGGTAGTATGGCTTAGGTTGCGATTAGGTTCTTCATGGTCCATGGTGTAACGATACATCTAACGTTGCTAGCGTTGGGCTCTACCGTAATCGGTACGATACATGTAGAGATAGTTTCGAGACTGACATTGCTTGTCAGGAACCTTTTTTTGACCGTCAATAGTAACGATACCTAGACCATGTGATGCTGGAACTACACTCCGGACAACCTTTCGACGGTACGTTTTGAATGAAATTCTTTTTGTGTATCGCTACTATACAACCAAGAGTGACCGAGGAGGAGATGCACCTAGGAAAAAAAAACATTAGCGAACTGTAATTTGAACTTGGTTGAAAGTTCCACGTCATGATAGGGATCTAGATACTGAGAAGAATGTCCTCACCTACAAGGTAATTCATCATTAGTCCATTTATCTCGCCATTTACTGCTCTAAGTGAAGTCGGGGATCATATGTCCATCTTCAGGCTAGACTTTCCCGGATGTAACTGTGATAGTGGATAGCTAGAGGCGGTTCTCTTGGGCTTCGAAACCAAATTGTCGAGTTTGCGTAGGGATATCAATTAACCACCACATTAAACTATAGAAAAAATGAAATCTGAAGAATAGTTGAAAAAAATAGTTATGAAGAATAGAAAAGATTATTTATGATTTTTATCAGTACCCTAGTTCGCCCAGTGCTCGTATCGTTAGAATACGGGGTCGGATGTCGATCTCGGCGCATCGTCGGGTTACTTTTCAGAACGCAATACGAGCTTTTGAAAATCCGTTCTTTTTTGGAAACATACGTGACGATACTTATTTAAATAATTATGCTGCCTTCTATAAATTATCATGCAGTTTAGATATCATAATGTTTCAAGTTAATCTCTAAATAGTCGAATGCCTCCATCGTTAATCGGCGCGCCGCCCATTTCCTCATCGGACGCCTCCTTATCATCGTCTTCGTCCTCGTTCAGCACGAGTTTTTGACCGAATAGAGTCCCGAAGAAGCGATCGATGGCGTTTTGCTCCCAACTTCGGCGATCTTCCGGTGCCATGAAGTTCTGTAGTTTATCATGGACATTGAAGCGCATCTTTCGGCCCTTGCTAGCCTTAGTATCCACATGCCTCTTCGCTTTCGCTTCTTTTACGGCGGCGAACCGGATCGTCGCTGCGGGGCCACCCGGGGCGCCGGACGTATCTCCAGAACGTTGGTCAACAAGCTCCTTTAATAGCAGCTGGTAGAAATCAGCATCGTCGTAGATAGCTGGATCTTCATTAATTTTCTTTGCGATTTGTGCCGGAGCGCACGATCGTGGTGTCTGGGTTCGTTTGATAAGCCGTTCCGGTGCATCAAGCTCTTCATCTAGCCTCGTAATCAGGGATTTCTCTGCCGTATTGGTAAATTTGCGCGACGACCTATCCATCATCCTTATATTCCGGGCGCTATGCGACCACTTCTCCAGAACCGCTCTGCGTCGGATAATTGCGCGCTGCTCAACAATCTCCATATTTTCCCACATGTCTTGACTGGACGTATCTGTATCGGCAACTCGCTTCCTTTTTTGCCCTGTCTTTCCTGACGAGTCGGATTGTATACTCGTGCGGAACCCATCAATTGTATTCCATAGCTTTAACGCGGCTGCTTCAGCTGCTTCGTATGGTTCTGATTGACCTCCTAGTTCCTCAATGGTACTGAACGAGTTGACTGCGACGAGTGACTTTTGTAGTCGTATACGGATGTTGAGGAGTGCATCAAAGGCCTTTCGCTGTTGTCGGACCGCCTTCCCTTTTGCAACATCTTTTTGAGCCGCTGTTGATAAAGTACTAGCCACACTGCGCTGGCCAGCACTCATCATCTCTTGGATTGTTGCACGGCTCATCCCATTGGCCTGCGCTGCGTCTTTGGGGTCGTCATCCTCTTCCTGCTCATCCAACTCTTCGTCGCTATCCTCCATATCTTCGTCCAAGTCATCCTCATCATCTTCGTCCTCATCCTCTTCCGCCTCGTCATCTATGAAGCCGCCAATTCCTTCCTCATCGGAAGCATCTTCGTCATCATCGATATCCTCGGAGTCTTCCCCATCAAGTTGTGCCCCATCGCTGTCGTCATCTTCCTCATCGGATACCATGTAGTCCGCAGCAGTAGGTCTTGCGACTCTCTTGCCTTTCTTTGGCATAGCCTGAGAGCTTCCTCTAAACACAAAATCTTTGAATTTCTGTTCGTCGGTCTCATCGAAGGCGTTATCGCTGTCGATCTCCGCATCGTCTTGATTGTCTTGGTCAACTTCGAGATCGGCCGTGTCGGGATCATCAAAACCTTCCAATTCCTCCTCTTCATCATCTTCCTCATCCTCTTCGCTCTCGTCGTCGTCCTCTTCGTCACCAAGGGCTTCTCGACTCACGGGAGCACCCCGGTATTGGGGTCCTAGCGCAACAGGGTTTCTGTGACGAAGTTTGCTTTTGCTGTAAAACAATTTAGCTTATATCGAATAAATTACCAATTTGACAAACTGTCCTACCTTACAGCAACATAATGTTCTGTACCAGCGTTTTCGTCTACGCTATCTTCGCTTCCACTGACATCGTCCTCATCTGGGACTTCTACTTCGGGATCGAAGTCTGCACGAAGCGGCAAGTGTTAGCTTTATTTAATACGTAGTAACTGAATAAAACGTATATCTCGTACCTTTGACTGGTTGTTCTGCCCATTCGGCAAATTGCCGTGCATGCCCCTTTGCCTTAGACATTGCACTATTACCAACAATAACTTGTCTAATGAATAGGTAGTGAGTAAAAAAAGGCGTTCATATGTCGGCCCCACGACTGCGACAAGAAAGTTCTGAAAATTTTAGCGGTGGGAACCGGCAGTATCCATTTAGTGGGCTAGTGGGTTAGCGGGTCCAAGGATCCCCTGAAACTCAACCAAGATCTTAGCAAATAGGTACCTAGGTAGGTTAAGGGTTTAGGTAATCAATTTAATTCCAAGCTTCTGATGTCACTCAAGATAATCTTACAAAATGCATCTAAAAAGAGCAAATGGCATGGAGAATTAGAAGTCACGTAATGCAAACCTTATTATTCTTCAATCATACTTATTACTTATGCTAATTAATTAGTAAATAGGTGTACTATCAATATACTACGGTAATTGATATTGTGCTTCTTCACATAATGTCTAGTAGTTGTCTTATTTGAACGTACTTGACCTCTCATTTAAGATATAAAAATCATTTTATATAATGGCAACCATCCAACGTCGCTTTTTCCACCAATCCCTCCGTTATCTCAGTCATGAGAATCCCCTCGTGAGCTATTTCCTCCATTCTATATAGTAGACAATCATGCTTATCATAAACCTCAGGGTCTACCCCGAACGGGCTCAATCCCTCGTATGCAGCGCGGGCTCCCAGAACGGCGCAAGATCAAAGACGTCTCAAAAGTTATCGCTGTATCATCCGCTAAGGGTGGCGTAGGCAAGAGCACCGTCGCCGGTTAGTTTTTGATGTTCTCTTAGTAGAGCTTAACATTCACTAACTTTCCCTGGTAGCGAATTTGTCTCTAGCTTTCGCAAGGATGGGTTACCGCTCCGGGATCCTCGACACCGATATCTTCGGGCCCTCTATACCTACGCTCTTCGACTTGAGCGGAGAACCGCGGTTATCATCTAGTACGTAGTTCTAGTCCCAAAACTATTCACTGTTCTTTTCACTAGTTTGGAGGAATACTAACTTCTAGAAATATAGATAACCAATTATTACCCATGTCCAATTACGGTGTCAAGACTATGTCTATGGGCTACCTAGTTGGTGAGGAGGCACCCGTCGTGTGGCGGGGCCTTATGGTAATGAAAGCCCTACAACAGCTCCTTCATGAGGTCGACTGGGGTGGTCTGGACATTTTAGTACTCGATCTACCACCCGGCACGGGAGATACACAACTTAGTATTACACAACAAATCATACTTGACGGTAAGCATGTAAAGTTTCTATATAATACCTAGGAGCTCAAGATGTGCTAAAACTACATCTAGGCTCTGTCATTGTAACCACGCCACATACTCTGGCAGTAAAGGATGCGGTAAAGGGTATCAACATGTTTAAAAAGGTGAATGTGCCCTTGCTCGGCCTAGTACAAAACATGTCACTATTTAACTGCCCACACTGCCACCATGATATAGCAATCTTCGGATCTAGCGAACGTGTTAAGGAAGTTTGCGCAGAATATTCCATCGATCTACTGGGTGATATTCCACTGCATCAGAATGTCGGAGATGACGGCCAGAAGGGGAAACCAACTGTGGTCTCGGAGCCTGACAGTACGAGAGCTCAGGCCTTCATGGATATTGCTAGGCTAGTAGGGTCGAAGGTGGGCTTATAACACTTAACTACAGCATTTAAAGTTATTATAGGTACCATGTGCCAACAGGCCACTTCGACATAGCACACATCTACGACAAGCTTGAGGCGATAAAAATTCGGCTCTCTCTCGCCTACATTGAGATTGTTTTTGATACTAAGTCGCCCATATCTACATGTACTAACTGCGTCAGACGCATCAAGTATCAGGGAGTGGGCCGTTTCGGTTCCTGCCATTACGAAACTTTAGCAAATCAGTCCATAATTTAGTATTGGGGTCATTGCGATAGCAAGAAAAACTCTCCATATAAAAGTTCGTATATTGATGCTCAAAGCTCGGTTATAGGAGCCGATGCGCTAAATAGAGCGTCTAGTCCAGGGGCTACGTTAGCGTCCATAGAACCTAATTAGGGACAAAGGGGATCAAAGCCTGTAGAACCTCCATTCCTAATTCCGACCTTTCCAGACCATACGTAAACCATGTAACATTTTACGCAATGATGGTCACCTGCAACTGATATTAGTCTAATTCCTCATTAGCTTGGTAGATGTGGCGGCTCCTTGTAGGATCTTTCCGCATAGCCTGGCCCGAGCCGGTGAAACCGACTACAAAGAAAGTTAGCTCTCAGATTAACCTGACTATAATCGAAAACTGACCTCGACCGTGTACACCTTCGGGCGTACGAAACATGCTGTCCTTCTTAGTTTTGTGCGATTTGGCAAATTTCGACTTTGTGCTAAACTCTTGCCACTTGCTCTTGCCAGCCTCGAGCTCTTTGGTCGCCTTAATCTTTTTGGCTTTAGGCTTCCCATCGCCAGCATTCTTCAATGCTTCCTCCCGATTCTTTTGTGCTAGGTCGGGATTTATGCTAGCAGCAGCGGATATGACACCGGGGTTAGACGAGGTTGAAGGCGCTGCTGGCTGGGATGGCGCCGGGAACGGGCTGGCGCCGCTGACGGGGGTACCGTCAGCCTTTCTCTTCTGCGCAATGGGGCGTATGTCCTTCGCGCGTAACTGCTCGGTGGTATCGTAGCTCTTGAACTTGACGACGTAGATCGGGGCTGTAGAAGAACCAGTAATGGACGTGATGCGCGCAGGGTAGAATGCTTTGTCACCAGATACCCATTTCGCCATTACGGTATCATTAACCTTGTAGTTCACCAAACTCGTGTCGCTTTCCTTTTCCTCGGCTGGGGTGCTCCTCTTAAATGCCGGATGATTCTCTCGCGACCATTTCTCCTGGGCCGGTGGCGGGGATGGGTCTTTCGGCTGCGGAGGTGCCTTGGTCGGCTTTAATTCAGCAAGGGTTTCGTTCAACAGCGCGAGCGCATCATCTAACTCAGACTTGAGAGCAAGGAGCTCTGCATTACTAGGATCATCTTTTAAACCAGCATATACAACATCGAGCTGTTGATTTAGTCAGTGATATCTGCGTGTGAAATAGGCGACAGTCCATATTAGTCAACTTACTTGTTCTCGGTATTGCTTGATGTCTTCTTCGAGGCTGGCGATATCGGCCATTGCGACGGTACGACTCGAATAACTCCGAACTTGAAAGACGATAGAATATTGGGATTTCGCAGCAGCACGTGCCTTTGACTCTCTAAGATTAGATAAGAAAAGATAGAAGAATGACGTGAATTGTTTATAATTAAATATGGTGATGGTCGATTTCTTGAGTTTGAACGATGGAAAGTCTCCACATTGACAAACAAGTTGCGAAAAGAGGTAAGTGAGGCTGAATTCCAATTACGTAATCACAATGGGACCGTAGCTTCCGGGCACGTGAATCCTCTGTTGTGACACAATTTAGATACCCAGTATAAGGATATATGTACAGGGAAGCGTCTTAAAGGGTATAGTGCTTTACACGTCAACAGCATGCATTCAAAAGTCAACAGCTTCAAGAGATAATTAGAAATTAATATCTCCTATGTATTATGTTTTGATATATTATATAATTGCTTATAATAATTTTGCTCATAATATCGAAATATCTTCTTTCCTATTTCCAGCCAAGAGTCTGGATAACGAATATGCATGAACTAATACCGTTCAAATGTCAAAGTCAACGGGAAGAATAAGCAATTTATACAAGGCTAAAAATAATAGAGGTAGCTATTAACCTATGTATCTAACGCCATGAAGCTATTTCTCTACTAGTTCATTACATGTAATGCTTTAGCCTCAGTGAGCTCATGCAAGGTAATCAATTTGCATATAGTGCCATAACGAACCACGATACCCCTAATTGCCCACTGCTATATGAATCATTATAAAGGTCATATGTAGGCACTCTTTTAAAACCATTTATTTTCATCATTTCTACTTTTATCATTCACATTTACTTAAAATATCAGTTACACCATCAGTTATATAATGGCGCCAGTTATTGTCTTGATTACCGGTGCCAACAGAGGCATCGGGAAAGGTCTTCTTGAACTTTACCTTGCTAAGCCTAATCATACCGTCATTGCTGCTAACCGCGACCCCAATCACCCAAGTTCTAAGGCTCTTGCGGAGCTTCCCAAGGCTGAAGGAACATCACTTGTTGTGATTAAGATCGATGCTACGGTTCGCACAGATCCATCGGATGCCGTAAAGGCACTCCATTCTCGAGGCATCAGCCACATTGATATTCTGATTGCAAATGCCGGCCTTGGACTCTTGTGGCCCAAGGTTTTGGATGTCGACACAGACGACATTCAAAAGCACATAGTGACCAATGTCTACGGCTTCCTATGGCTCTTCCAAGCCTTTCATCCCCTGTTGAAAGATGCGAGTAATCCCATCTGGGTAACGATGGGCTCCAGCACCGCATTTCTCACGGTAAGATTGACATCGGTATTATTCATTTATAGACAAATTAATAGCTAACTTTGAATTTAGTAAGCACATTGTAATCCTGTATTAGTACTATAACAGTTCTAATTCCATATCTAGGAACATGGTCCCAGCGCCGAATTCCGCTTATGCTCCAACCAAATTAATGGTCCACTGGTACACCAAGTCAATTCATATCGAAGAGCCATGGCTTACCGCGTTCCCTATCGACCCAGGGTAAGTTATATACATATATCAGCCGCAGGAACAAAGATCTTGGTTAAATTCTCTCATAGATTCGTTCAGTCTGACATGGGTAATCGTGCTGCCGAGTATTTCGGGTTGGGAAAGGCTACAATTACTATAGAGGAGAGCACTGCGGGAATTGTCAAGGTGATTGACGCCGCAACTAGAGCTACGCATGGCGGGAAAATGTTGGCTTATGACGGCAAAGAAGTACCATGGTAAATTGTCGTGTCAACTAGCGAAAATTTCAAGTCGATGTCTTAGTTTTACAAGTACGAAGAAGATTTTGTTGATATTTATAAATTAATCTCATGTTGAAACGCGCCAATGACTAGAAGTGATAAATGTATTCATGCAGTTTTTCTATTTGAGGACAGCCTCGATTTCTACCATATCGAATACTTTATTCATTAGGAAATTACAGGTAGTTACATGTCTATAATTAAGGCTCGTGATGTTGTCCCTCGGATGTATTATGTAAATAAGTTAATGGATCCCTGTAACTATATTCCACTTCCGTCCAATCACACAAAAGAACTTCATAGTCTTGTCAGACGCAATTGGGTTGCGCTAATGCAAGAGGAATTACCATGCAGTAGCGCAAAAGCTTATGCTGCATAAGGTTGCTGACAGCACGTGCTGCTTACCCTGCATTAGGTACTTTGTGACCCCTCTCTCGCTCTCCCCCCCCTTTTTTTGGCAGGTAAAAATGTCACGAGGTAGATGGAACCAAAGAACATGGAAACAACTTCGTTGTTCCGCAAGGAACTCTCGCCTATGCCATTTACTCTACATATCTCATCTAGAATCCTGGCAAGTTTCTCCAATTTTGAATACATACCTAACACATGTGCATATATATATAACAATTTAGTTCTAAAAGTACTGAAATCTGAAAACAGAGTCTCTCTTCTTTTATCGATTATCGACATGTATTTCAATCTTAGGTACTCTTCTGGGTTCTCATGCCTACCTCTCAATTCCTAAATTGCCCCTGCGGAATGTATCTCCACTTAGAAAAATATGCTGACGTGTCTCCCTCGTAGCCGTTACTAGTACAATAAATACCAAGGATAACACCTAAATACCATCAGTACCGAGCGAGAAACAAAAGGATGATTGACAATCTTACCTGTAAATCCCCAGCTAACAACAGCATTTGATACATCAAGGACATTTCGCATCTCTGAAAGTGCATCGGCTGGTCCGGCTGACATAGAGTAATGTGTCATGTTGTGCGCTTTTATCTCCAATCTCAACTCCTTACCGGACCAAGTCTCTGGTACTGGGATTATAACTTCATTTGGCACCGGTATGTAGGAAATACCACGGTACCTCAGGTAAGGTCTAAGTCCCGATGAGTTCGTCGAATAAGTTAGGCCAGAAAATGTTGTAGTACTGCTATTCGCTGGAAGCATAACAATACCGAAGTCTAGATGATGGTTCTGTGTTAAGAAAACTGAGACACCTGCCTCTTCCTCAAGAGACGTCGGGGAGAAGTCAACATTAACGCTATAAGTAAATAGTGTATCTTGTTGACGCCGCCCAACAAACGTCTGACCGTTAGGACCGGCGTAGTTCCCGTTAAGTGCCGTAAGATTTAACTTAGAGGGGTTCAACCGCAGAGTATTTGGATGACCCTGGGGTGATATAGTATATGACTCAGGAATAGGGAATCTCCAATGCGTGAAGTGTGCGGGTAGTGTTGAATCCGGCTCGAAGTCGATGACATCCCCCTCCGTGATGATCGGACTATGACTGTTAATGGTGAAATTCGTAGTCAAAGAAGCCGGGTACTTACCCAGGTCCATCAATCCCATTCTTTCCCTCAGGAAGTGCCCATCCACTCATCTCACCATTCAAATGAGACCAAACTGGAAACTCATTGTCAGGCCAGGTAACTGGCACCATAATAGTTTCTCGACCCACTAGAACAACGAGGATTAATTATTACTTCTTATAAGGATAATGCCATCAGAGACGAGTTAAAAGGGTGGAAGGAACTCTTAATGTGACATACTTGGATAGTAAAGGTATTCGGGGCCGGATCGAGTTGAAAGCGCAACACCCCACCTTGAATCAACAGTAAGCCTTGAAGCTTTTACTCTCCTCTAGATATACTTGATATAATCGCTTACCAATTACCAGCGCCATCTTGGAATAAATCTGCATGACCAACAGTTTGAACTAGGAACATTAGAAAGTTAGATATATTTTATATGCCTCAAGTCCCACTTACAATAGTTCGTTGTATTGGCATTCGTGAGCACTGGATTCGAAGGGTTTACTTCATAGGGCCCACGGATGCTTTTGGATCTTGCCATTGTAACCATGTGATCTACGCCTGTGCCCCCTGTTAAAATCATAGGATATTAGTATTCAATCTGTCAGATGCCTCATACCCCTGAGATACTGACCTTCAGCAGCTAGTAGATAATACCATTCGTCCTTGAGGTATATATGAGGACCCTCTGGTGCCTGGACTCATCATTAGGACTTAATTCTGGGCATTCTATTTCAAAGGAATTATACTTACCGTGCCACCAGTGCCGTTCCATATAGGTTCCCATTGTCCCACTTCACCAGTCTCCAAGTTAGCCTCAGCTAAGAGAATACCAGGACTACCACATATCGTGTTAGCTTTTCCTATAGCCAGAAATTTTCATACGCACAAGACTTTCCAGGCATGCCCACCAACGATGTACACCTTTCCGTCCGAGTCCCATACGGGTGAAGTATCGTAGCCTTCGAAGTCGAAGTGGACTGCCTCTGACCATGTAGAAGGATCATATGGGTTTTTGGACTTGAATATTACCTGGAATGATCTCAGCAACCGAGCTTAAGAATCTAAGAGTAAGTCATACGTTGTCCCATCTTGATGCGTCTTCTGCGGCGCGGTCGTCGTCTACGAGAGTTGTTACTAGCCAAAATATGCCCTCGTTGAACCTTAGGGTCGGCGCCCAGATACCGCTATGGCAAGTTAGATCCAGGCTCCAATATCGTCTATTCAGTCTTTCACCTTGTCGATCTGTTTGTTTCCGCTAGACGAGGTAGCTGTTCTCGTCTGTTTAAGACGTGACCTATAACAGTTATTTCTGCCTAGTTCACAAAAGCCCAGTAAATAGTTAGCTTACCAATAAGCTTCCAGTTTTGAAGATCTTTGCTTGCATGTATGGGAATGCCTGGGAAAGCGTTAAAACTCGAAGATGCACAGAAGAATGTATCATCCCATTCGGGAACAAATATGCAACTTGGATCCGGGTGGAATCCCGGTAGGATAGGATTATAGTATGTTGAATTATGTGCGTGCAGCTGAGCTCCTAAAGAAAGTGAGGCAAGTGCACACACTATGACGGCTTTAGTTACGTGAGCCATCATCTCACTGGTATTGGGTATATATGTAAATACTCTATACTCTAAGCGGACGTACCCTATGGATTAACCTCACTCAGGAGGGTTTCATTGTCCATAGACGAACATGATTAACATTCGGAGATACTTATTATGTTAGCATGATCCCCCGCATTTTCTACCCCAAGAAGCACTCCCGGTTAAAATTAATGGATAAATCTCAAAGCTTGTATTCAGGTAATATTCGGTAAGTAATGAGCCGAAATGGCCCATTAGTGACTAGTATTTAAATAGAACTTGCTAATGACTTGGCAGGGTATGAAACTTGATATGGTACACTTCATAAGATGACCCTCCTGGGATATCTTAGAGCAGCTTGCTTAACCTTCGTGGTGTTCCGCGTATACATCTTTAGTCTTACCTGCTGTATTGTCAGACACACCACCTGCCTTGAATCGTTGCTGTGCGATCACCTCAAGTGATAGCCCCCTAGTCTCTTTAAGAAATGCGAATGTAAAAACCGCGATAACGGCGTCGAAAATACCTGAAAAATAGTCAGCGCATATCAGATACTATGGGATCTTTCTAGGTAATTACCCCATAGTAAGAATGTTCCCCAACCTAGGGAAGAGATCATGTAAGGGGTTGTCAATGAGAAGATGAAGTTGAATAGCCATTGTGAGGCAACACCGACAGCTACGCCAGGCTCTCGGATTCTTGCGGGGAAAATCCTTTCAAATATTAGTTGCTATGTCATGATCCTTAATAAGAAGTTGTTAAAGGTATTGTACTCACTCGGAAACATATGGCCAAGGCATTGGTCCCCAGCTAAAGTTATATGCGATAACAAATAAGTAAATGAGAGCGACAGTAGCAATGCCGGATGGAGCTATAGTATTTCCCCCTTCTTTCGGGGCCGGGAAAGACTTTACGACGGCCGCTGTAGTGATTTGACAAGCAGCCATGAAGGCGGCACCGCCAATCAAGACCTGACGTCGAGAAAGACGTTCCGAGAAGAACAAGACAAAGATGCCACAGGCTACAACTTTCACCGCTCCGAATATAGCCGTTAATAAGAGGCTTTGCTCATCGTTGCCAACAATGAGATTAAAGTATTGGGGTCCGAAGTAGGCAAAAGCCGTCGCTCCAGTCGCTTGCTGCGCTGTAAATATAGCAAAAGCGGCAAATACCCGCTTGAAGTTCTCTCCTTCTAGGAGTTCTATATTGAAAGCATATCAGCATTCGCTAGTATCATAAGCCTGAGTATAATTATAAAGTCCTACCTCGTATTTGAAAACCTTCGGTGGCAGTAGTCTCTGCAGTAACACCAGAGCGAATCTCTTCCATCTCGTCAGCGGTTGCTTGAGAATCATCAGCCCGAATCCACCGGAGACTTTTCCAAGCCTCTTCATGTCTACCCTTTTTGGTAAGCCATCGTGTACTTTCGGGGACTGTCAACATTCCTAAGCCGAGGAAGACGGCGGGTACAAGTTGAAGCCCAACTGGGATTTGCCATTGGGAGGGATTGGTTGACGAGATGCCTCTGGCTACACCGTAGTCTACCCAATACGATACAAATATCCCCTATGTATACCTAGGCATTAGAAAGATGCATACTTGATATGTACGAAAGAACTTACAAATGTATAGAACCATTAGAAGAATGATCCGACCTGACCACGCATATCTTTCGGCATCATTTCACTATTGAACATTGGTACAGCGACTGTCGCTGCGCCAAGTCCAAGTCCAGAGATCACTCTTGCAACGTAGAACGCCGCAAGTGAGTGCGTATTAATAGTTTGGATTACAGCACCAATACAGAATACGAACGAAGATATCATTAGCGATTTCTTCCTTCCAAGTTTATCGGTTAGAGGCCAAGCAATGAAACAAGCCAAGAAGCCGCCTAGTTGTTGAAGTCCCACCGAAAGCGAATTCGTATGAGTCTTGTCACCGCTTCCATACCGATAGTCGGATTGAAAAGAGGCCATCGTCAAAACACCACCTATAGTGTTTTTTTAGTTAATACTGATTATCGTTCCGCGCGTTAAATATAACAATCGGTTCACTGACCGACACTTTACTTGACGTTAGTGTATGACGAGGTTGTTATTAATGTAAAGCTTGCACTTACATTCCGCTGTCATATCCGAACAGAAATCCACCCATACAGACTACCGAACCCAGCCAATAGGCCCTGATCTTCCCTAACGTCGTACCTGTCATCTTGGTCGTGGTGGATAGTGGCCTCTCGTCTTCACTAGATCTTCGAAGTAAGGGCTGTATTTCATCCATGATATCTTTAGGACTTTTCGCCTTTATAACCCCAATTCCATTCAAGAACAATGCCAAGCTGTCTCGGTTAATGAACCTAGCTGCTATAGGATTATAACTACATGAGATCTGAACCTCGACGAGTTGGGGAAATGACGTGACCAGAAGGTTGGAACATCGACCGCGATCGACCAGCTAAATGGTACTATCTAGGGGTTCTCCGCATCCACTGAAGGCCTTAGGCGACCGACAGCCGAGCATCCAAGAAGACCCCTAGTCTTGGAGTTTGTGGGGAAGCTTCAAGGGTTTTAGACTTAAGCGGGATCTTATAGATGATAGCCAATAATAATTGTTATAGGCCGAGCAGCCGAATATCTCGGAGACGGTAGTGTCACTGTTACCTACAGTAGCGGTACTAACTACCTGAGTGCTACTCCTAATCAGCTCATTATCATCACTTGTGGGAGGAATTATGGGCTTTACATGTGACCTCTTCATGTCAAGGCATTAATAGACAATTGCGACATCGCTGTAGAGAGCGACGACATCGGAAAGGCGTTGTCATTCAAGCTGTTGTTATAACTGCACTCTCTGTAGAACGTTTTATTATGACCTACCTAGGTAGACATCTCACTCTTATTCTAGTATAATCATCAGTCTTTTTGGTTGTTCTGTATTTGTGATTTAGACTTGGACAAACAAGATTTACATGGTTAATATGGCACCAGGGAAAAGACCTAACTTTCTTATTGCTTTGGCTGATGACCTAGGCTTTTCGGATATTGGGTCATTCGGTGGTGAAATAAATACACCTAACGTTGATAAACTCGCCAAGAATGGAATACGGTTTACAGATTTCCACGCCGCTGCGGCGTGCTCACCATCACGAGCTATGATCATGACTGGCACGGATCACCACATAGCCGGCCTTGGAAATCTGATCGAATGGACTAACGTCTCTGGTCAGAATGATCCCAACGGCACGATGTCAACATCAGTCCAGCGTGGTATGCCCGGTTACGAGGGGTATCTCAATGAACGAGTTGCTGCACTGCCTGAGCTACTCCGTGATGCGGGTTACCTGACTCTCATGTCAGGTAAATGGCATCTAGGGTTGACACCGGAGCGGAGTCCGAAAGCTCGAGGTTTCGAGAGGAGCTTCGCACATCTACCAGCGTGCAGCAATCATTATGGATATGAGCCTCAGTTAGAAGGTATGGACCAGATACCAGAGTTCATGACGATGAGCTTTATCGCTCTCCACAGTGAAGACGGCGAGTATGTGAAGAAACTACCCGAAGGGTGGTACTCTTCTAACGGATACGGAGACAAGATGGTACAGTACCTAAAAAATTGGAAAGAGACCGAGGATGAGCGACCATTCTTCGCTTATCTACCTTTCACTGCCCCTCACTGGCCTCTTCAGGCTCCTCAGGAATACATTAAGAAGTACCGTGGTGTATATGATGATGGTCCTGATGCTCTCCGTCAAAAACGCCTTCAACGCCTCAAGGATCTTGGCATGGTCTCGCAAAACGTCGAGCCCCACCCAGTTGTAGCCAACGAAGTTAAAGAGTGGAAAGAAATGAGCGACGAAGAGCGAGCTAATTCATGTCGAGCGATGGAATGCTTCGCCGGTATGGTTGAGTGTATCGACGCTAATGTCGGAAAGGTTGTAGATTATCTTGAGGAAATTGGCGAACTAGATAACACCTTCATTTGTTTCCTCTCCGACAATGGTGCTGAGGGTGCCGCATACGAAGCTTACCCTATCGTCCAAAGCACCATGCTTCAACATCTGAAGAAATACTACAATAATCACATAGACAACCTTGGAAATGGCGACTCATTCATCTGGTATGTATGAAAGGATCCTGTGTTGTTATTTTCGAGCCCCTTTTCCATGGCAGTCTCGAAACTACCTTCGTAAGGTATATAGTGGCTATCAGTAGTGTGATGGCCCTATCATTTCGACGAAATCGAAAAATTATGGTGGAAATTCTAAAATTGTAATATTGCAAAGCTGACACTAAATGTTTTCGTACATGCAGGTATGGTCCACGATGGGCCCAAGCCGCTACTGCACCCAGCAGATTATACAAGGCATACACAACCGAAGGTGGCGTTCGTGTTCCGTATTTGATGAAGCCGCCGGCGAGCTTCAGCGGTCAATTCGAAGCCGGCAGTATAACAAACCAGTTTGCGACCGTAATGGATCTTGCGCCTACGATCCTTGATATGGCTGGCGTCAAGCACCCGGCGCCAACTTATCAAGGCCGAGAGGTCGTCTCCATGAGAGGCAAGTCAATGGTCCCATACCTACAAAAGAAGGCGGAGACAATCCACGAGAAGGACTTTATCAACGGATGGGAGACATGCGGACGAGCAGCCTGCCGCAAGGGCGACTGGAAGATCGTTTTCATCCCCAAGCCTAAGGGCCCGGAGCGATGGCAACTCTACAACCTCGCGAAGGACCCCGGTGAAGTACATGACCTCGCGGAACAAGAGCCCGAAAGGCTAAAGGAGCTAGTCAAGCTTTGGGACCAATATGTTCTAGAAACAGGTGTAATACCGCTTTCCCCAGACCTAGGAAATTGGATGGCCGCTATGGAGGAGCAAATGCCCGAGAACGCGGTAAGTAGCATCTGGAATCATTTGTTGCCCCTTTTAGGGTACCCTGCTTTTAACCATAAGCTCGAGCACTTCATTATCAATCGAGAATTATAAAAAGAAAATGCTAACACCTGTTTGCGTAGTGGATCGAGTACGAGTACTGGAAAGGGGGTGCTAGGGATGACCCCGCAAAGTTCACCAAACAAATCCCTAGGTTCCAGAGGCAGGTTAAGGCAATTTGAATAGGGGTCATATAGCACCCCTGTCGCTATCAAAATGGCTTTATAGATATGACAAGGTTACTTAAGTACTTGATACTCACAATAAGAGGGTAATATAAGAGATATGTATAGCCATTGTTATTACTACAAAGTGTCATTATACGTTAGCTTGTTAAAACAATAGGCATTGTTATCAAAATACAAAGAATGTACAGCTTGATATTGCTTAAAAGTCAATGCACCCCTTTAAGAAAACCATTCAGGCTGGTAAGCTAAGTTGGACCCGAGTTTGGCGATGGCGAAAAGATTGAGAAAAGTAATTCCCTACGGTGAGAATCTTCGCCTTATTCCATGCATCGATAATCAAGGCTGGTCAGCACCAGAAGGGAGCATCAAAGCCTGCAAATTTCAAGGACGACGGGATCATGCTCCTAAACCATTGGTTATCGAATACAACGTGGAATTAAAAGAGATGAATTTTCGGCAAGGGCTTACTAAAATATGTCTCTCACCGCCAGGCTTTGATTCGGGATTAGGCTGTTTCGGTAACACGGGTAAGCTAGTTGAGACTGGTAAAGGTGAGTTAGATGACCTCTATGGGGCCGATTTCTACGAGATCAAGGCAGCTATGGAGCTCATAGAAGGGTCCAAAGTCTGGGAAGATGAAGATTGGATATGTTTCCAGTGTGGATTTCAAAAATTCAAGGAGCCAAAGACGGAGTATGACTTAATAATGTTCCACGAAACTCGATCAGACAGTGAAGCAGAATTGTCCGGGTCTGCTTCTCCACCGTGTTTCTTAGAAGCAAACGAGTTTCTTGCTGGTCTTGACGATATGGAATCTGCATTATCAGATGTTGGGTTTGACTCGAAAACAATCCCAGCCTCTGTAAAAGAGGAAGATGGAGATTATGTACGACAACATGGTGACTTTGTAGATTGGATTGAGGAGGCGGACTTTGTCGAAGCCAACGCGAGGGTTCCAGCAGGGACATGGTACTACAGTGTCTCTATACCTTAGATACTTCGCCATACGATAGAGGACGATATATAGGCTAACCTATGGTTTGTATAGTATATGACACTATCAAAAATAAAATCTAAGATACTTAGGTAAACTTCATACTGTTGGAAACTCATGTAGCTACCTATTTACCACATATCATTAACATTATATTCGCGCTCTCGATGTGTAGGTAATGACCGCTCATGTATTTTTTTATGGATAATTTACTCTAACACTTGAGTCTACAACGTGTATTAACAGTTGTAAACCTAGCGCTGGTAGTACTGTGCTAATAGCCTCGGACTCTGAGTTTTTAACAACTGGATATCAACCTCCCCAGTGTCCCGCCAGTCAATCGCAGACCATTTCTCAGGATGCTGCTTCGCATCAATGAAATGTTTAATAGCTAAGACCGTCTGCTTTGCCCATTTTTCGTCGCTGATACCTCCAGTACCAGTACCCAATGGTGTCATCAAGATAGATTCTATCTTCGCTGAGCCGGCGCCACTGCCCTCCTCTGTTGCGGATCTATTATGCTGCTCGATCGCATTCAGCAAGCTCCAGATACATTCGTAGACAACGTCTCTGTCCCAATCGCAGCGGCTGGGAACACGCATGGTGGGACACAGAGCTAGATAACGACAACCCCACCCATTCCCGTCGTGATACTTCAACGTTCCACGGAACGACTCTGGTATTTTGACGATGCAGCATGAGCCAGGCGGGAGATAGCCGCTATGCAGACGGTACAGCTCTTTCTGTGCAACGCGTGTAAGAGCATGGTATTCTGTTTTGGGGCTGAAGGCTCGGGATATCGCATCATCGAAGCCACCATCTAGAAGACCATATGAATTTGCTGGTGACACTACCAAGTCGAAGTTCAGGGATGGTGGTAGGTCAGACAGGAGTGTATTATGGATTGTATAGTTAATCAAGGCCTGGTTAATTCCATACTCTCCTAGTACTCGGTTGAAGGCATCCGAGGCCGATTCATGCATGCAAAGGAGGTGGATATACGGGATGAGCTGAGTCTCCGAAGTCATATTGAAATATCCGGTGACGTGTTTATATGTGAGGTAGCATGCGGGGGTTGTGAAGTTGAAGGAATGGAAGATAACTTGTTGGTAGCTTATTTGGGTAATCATTTACAGATCACCTGACTTATTGGTTTGTCTGTTGGTTTGTCTTATAGGGGTAAAAAACTTCTATTGGTCGTAGTGATGTAGGTTAGTCTTGGCGAGGCTTCATTCAATGACTATCTAGGAAGGGTGTATATAATCCAATATTCATTATGAATGGACTAAAGCTATTTCACAAAAAGGGGCTGTCAGGGGCCGAAAGAGGGGTTCTCATTAAATCATATCTAACATAAGAGATACCACCAACGATCAAATATTAATAGCAGTGAGTTTGCTGGCTGTCTAAAGAGTTTCATTATCATACTAGACCCATACTAAATTTTCTTAATTTGAAGTTTTCCAGTTCAGTTTTGGCATAATCCCCAATCCCCAATCCAGTCATGTCTCTTAGACGAAGCGCAAGTGTCCATCCGAGTTTCCGATGCGCTCGTCCAAATCAATCCGGCGCCGATGCCACTGTCCTCTAGTATCCACTAGTTCCGCCTCTAGGACCCGTCCGCCGTCGACGAGATGGATATCCCGAGCCGAAGCGCTAAAATTTCCGGTCGATCGGCCCGGCACTTGTAGGGTTTGTCCCGGGTAGATCATGTCAGGATTAGCGATGTTATTCTTCCTAGCGATATCCTCGAAGCTACAATTACACCGTCTAGCAATCTCTCTCAAGGTATCACCCTGCTGTACCGTTATGGTGCTGGAACCAGACCCTCCACTTGCCCAGCGGAAATGACCGTCGTCATTGCTAAGAATTTCGTTGAGGTTTAGGATGCTTACGTGGCTTCCTCCTTCTCGACGTGAGCAGTTTGCGCGAAGGTCGTAGTCTCCTTCGAGATGGATATCATGCGACGAGGCGGAAAAGTTACCGTCATGGTTTCCAATCGATCTGTCTCGGCTTGGAGAATGACTTCCTCCGTGATGACCATGGTGGTGAGAGTCGGAATAAGCAGGCGGCGGTGATGAAAGCTGGTGATGTAGCTTTTCTTCCTCCTTCTTATCCTTTCGATCATGAACGAAGTCCTCCAGCTTGTGACCAGCTATGGCACCACCTATAGCTCCGATGATTCCATGGCCCATTTTATGTCCACCATAAGCGCCGGCGGCAGCACCAGCAAGTCCTCCCATCAGACCGCGATCTCCGTCTTCTCCTGGGCCGGCATTTGGGGGACCGGAATGATAAGGCCCCTCATTCTGACGTTCGCCGTACTGATCTCTAGGACCGGAGCCATATGCATTGCCGTATTGAGGATTGCTGGGCTGTCCGTATCCTTGTTGCCCGTACTCTTGTTGTCCGTATCCTTGCTGACCATATCCTTGTTGTCCCTCCGGACCACCAGAGTAAGGAGGATGTTGAGAGTTGGGCTGGCCACCATAGTAGGAAGAAGCCTCACCTGGTTGGCGCCCATCTCCGTAACCTTGGTTGCCGTAACGCTGATCCATATTGATATGCGGTGATTCAGTCGATTTAGTTAGCTTTTGACGAAAATGGAAACGTTGTAAATCGGGTTGATATGGCAGATGTGAAGAAGTCCAAGGAAGAGAGATAGAGCATATTAATATATTAATATCATGTTATTGTTAGCAAACACCTATTGCTCTAATTTCTAGCTGATTCGGCTGTGCCACTTAGTCTGACGTGTGCATACACAGCCTCTAGTCGAAATGATTAAGTCTTTGTCCATACTTAGTCCCATGGAACCTGAATCATACTACACTCACCGCACAGGTCAATACACGTTGGTACACGTTGGTACAGGAAGATGATTTGACTTGCGGTGGATATAATACGGATACTCGGCACAAAGCTGTAATGCGAGTAGCCAGTCTTGTGGCTGTGCGGTCTTGGCATTTATTGGTAACTGGATGTTTGGAATACGAAACATACCTAGACTAAATGAAAATTGTGGCTAGAGAAAGCTCGAGACATCGATATTGATGCCTGATGTGCACTAGAGTCGTACTAGTCGCGTTACATCAAGTAGAAGCTCGTGAAAATGCCCCCTTTTCCGAACGGTAAACCCGTAGCGTTAACTTGATCAAATTCTCCAATATTTGACTGATCTATGTAATGGATGGGTCGCTAGATAGGCTATTACATCACGTATGTAATCCATACCAAAGTTAGACCCAATTCTAGGATACTTGGGAAGAAAAATATATTACCAGGTTACCTAACTGGAATACAACAAATACATATCATCGAGTCCCAGACCGTTGAATAGGCTAGTCTAGCGCAAGTTACATCTTATTAGTTCTATTGACCCATTAATGTTTCCATTCAATACTCTATTTTCAGGGACACTTTATAATAAATGTTCATTGGGTAGTTCGCTCAAAGCTTTAACACACCGCTATATATTTTAAAAGAAAAAAAAAGAGGGAACAAAGCCGTGTTAAAGGAAATGGATACCAATCCTCAAGAGGGTTATATATCAATACATTAGCTATTCTTATCCAGAGGTCCATCAAGGTAGGTAACCAGCATAATCGAAACTTACATATGCCGCCATCAGAAGTATCTTCATTAGTATTAATACAAATGATGATCTGACTGATATAGCCCAATCAATTTCGCTATCACATTGATTGATACACGGCGCATATTGCGCTGCATAATAGAACTTGCCAAAAGCAATTATTACCACTCGCCCACCCCATCGTTCACGGTCGTGGGCGAAGAGGGGCATAATTCATCCTTATAGGTAGCTTCCCGAGAGGGGCGTCTTCTCAATGACTCCGCTGCAATCGTCGTTCCTATGATCATACGACAATTGGTAGCTTTCCTAAACTTGGGTTTCACGACAGACGAAGCGTTCCGCAAAATAGCCCAAAATATACTATAATAAACATATGGTAGTAAAATCAATTATGTACTATGACATACGCATTGCCATAGTACAGCACGTTGCATAGGAGAGGGTGATATCCCAATATATGTCTGCCTCCTAATGTTGACAGACACTTAGGTACCTCTTAACCTAACTTAGACAGATAAGAAATATTTTGCTACTAAAACTTAGAGAATGAAGCATGGCTAAATATATCAGAAATTTGAACCTGAAAGATTACAATAAGTTGAAAAAAACTATATTATTTGCTTAGAGCAGATTGTAGAATGAGTTTAGTGTTCGTATCAAAGTAGCATAAGTCATATTCTTTATCGTCCTCGCCATACCAAGTCTTATCCCTATAGTGTTCAAATCCCGAAGCTTTATTGCTACAGCGACTTGATGCCATGATGAGAGAAATAACCTATAAATGACCTGCTATAAAGCTGATTCTAGGACAGCCATGTCTAGTATTATATTTCCGAGCCGTACATACTGCGAAAAAGAGATTCCTGAGATTCCTTGAGACTTTGACCGGAGACTGCAAAAGGAGGATCGTTTGCTGGTTCATGTTCCATAACGACCCAGTCTGCCCAGCAGACTTCGAAATTGACTACAAACGGGGTCCTAAGGGCTTCTTTATATTCCTCCGGGTACAGAAGCCTAGCTATCTCCACCGTGTATACGGCTATGCGCGGGCGGCATTTCTCTCCAGGCGTACGGTCGTTTACCCAACTTGTATAATGAGCATCGAACACCGCGTGGCTTTCTAGTAACCATCTTTCATAATCCACCATGAGTACTTCAACTTTCTGGTGGAAAGACAGGATTTCGCGGAATGCTTCCACCGTGAAAGACTCTGCCGGCATACGGAACCTGCTGGTGTTGAAGATCATTTTAGTGCTGCCGAAAAAGATAGTAGTGTCAATAGAACGCGTCCGACATTTTACTTGAATATCTATAGAGTTCCTTAGGGCTGGAACTGTACAGGCATACCGGACCAGGGCAGCTTGAAAAACAGCGGTGCCCATTTCGTTGACACCAACGCAGTAGAGGATTGTATCTCGGGCCCCTTGGAACACTGAAAGGAATGTCGATGATAGTAGAATCATCTTTTTAAGGCTCTTCCAGTGAAGACGGCACATAATGTCTTGAATCAACTCGATTGGGAGATTCTTGAAACAGCCTGCCGCTGATTCGTTCTTAACAAGCTTCGTGTGCTCCATTGCAATAAAAAGGTTCTCCTTGGGACTTGGGTTTGGTGATCGGTAAATGGATTAGGAAAGAATTTGGTTGATAAATGACACAATTAATGATTGATATCGAGTGCTGATAATTTATCGTAGAATTATAGATCGACAGGGTAGAAAATAAGAGCTTTAAATTGGAATGTTGAGTCTGAAAACCTCAAAGGTGTTTGGATAAAGATTGAATCGGGGATTGGAATGAAGGTAGGATGATTAAATAGAAACGAAAAACAACATCGTCACAATGCAATGCTTTATCACAACAATATCACAATCTTATTATTCATATTTGTTGCGAAACTCATGACATCTAGTCAAAGAGACAAAAAAATTAAGTTGTAGGCAGGCGCTGATAGTCTGCGAAATATTATCATAGAGTGAATGGCTTTTGAGCAAACAAAGTCGGAATTTCCTAATATCATCGAATTTTCTTTATCAGTCTAAAATTTTCACCACCTATTTTTACCTATACTGTGTGATAGCCATATAGTTTGATCACAGTACCCATGTCACATCCTATAAGAATCGTTACCAGTTATTCATTCTAAGTAAAAGCTCATTGTACATACAGTAACCAACAAAGAAATGTACCTAAAGTATAAGGTACTCCCAGTCATATACATGTGCCGAGATCTAAGTAGGTAATTATGACAACGTATTGGTAAAGGTTGCGTGTCTGTGGTATGCTAACTTTGAGGGCTCAAGGCGCCCTTTATATTAGACACTTCCTAGTAAACTTTTCCGAAGCAGCGTCTTTATCATCTCGATATAGCTAAATTACATTTCCCTATGGAGCGACGCGAATGACTATTGACTGGTAGAATATTAGTATAACCCCTGGATTCTGTATTTAGGGGTATAGCAATCCTGTAAGTACCCAATGTCTAAAAAAAAACAGGGCTTTACTCTTAGGGCATCATCAAATTGCTAAGTTGGTTTGTATAGATCTTTATTAGATTTGAGAAGCGTCTTCGATATCTGCTTTAAACAGCTTTTCGTAGAGAGTGGCCTCCGTGATGAGCAGAATTGCGTAAAGTATATACAGCCTAGTTGCATGATGGTACGATCATTAACTCTTCCCTTTATGTACAATGCTAACAAAAAGCAACTCATTTGCTCAAACCAACTTATGATATGCGTTACAACCTATTACCGAACTCCGTATATATACGTGGCCTCCTGACTCTGAGTTGATCCGATGCGTCAGTCTATCACGTCGCCTTTCCTCTATTTCCGCGTCCTCGCCCTCTAGAGCTGGAGCTGGGTCCTGCCTCTGTAGCTTTGGTAGTGGCATTATTACCGCCTCCACTATTATTAGGTCGATTACTGCTACCACCCTTTGACTTATTGCTACGATTGCTTCTTCGGCTGCTATTGTGCTCTTTCTTCTTTTCTTTACCTTCTTCGCGCGCAGCTCGCCTTGCTTCTTCTTCTTGCATCCGTCGGCTCTCCTGATCCCACCACTCTTGGAACGCCTGCTCTTGTTGAATCTCCTGGAGGCTACGCTTGGCGACTGCCTCGCGTACACTTTCCTGTTCACGCCGCTGTTCTCCAATGATATCAGCAAGGCCAAGACCCATCTCCTGCTCCGGTTTAGGTGCTCGCTTGATATAAGACTTCGAGTGCGGAGTGAGTTGCTGTGATTTGAATTGAGTAGCAGGCATGGCTACCTGTGTCGCACTGTTGGACCTTTGACCGGGAAACCTAGTATCCGGAGATGCTGTCCGCCGTGGTATGGACTTGCTAGACGATGTCTCTGCAGCAAGAAGTGGCTTTGGCCTCGGTGGGCCCGCCGACAAACCTGCCGAATGCTCCGGGACGTCTGTCGGGGGCGTCTTCGAGGCAAGCGGGATCTTTTGCCAGGGCGAGTCATTCTTTTCGCCAACCTTCGTCCACGGTGATGGTGATTGCTGAGATTGTGACTCTTGCCGTGTTGCTAACTCCGCTTGCTGTTGCAGTTGCCTTTTTCTCTCCTTTTGAGACATCTTTTGAGGGGTGATTTTGCTACTTGCCTCTCTTCTCTCAGCCGCTAATTCGGCAGACAACGCCGATTGGACTGGTCGAGACTCTGCTAACACCTCTCGCAGATCTAACCGTGAAGTTGGCAGTGATGATGGTCCCCATGGATTACCTCCCGACGGCACACGCCTTGTAGGACCGTTCTGTAACGTTGTAGGGGATAGGTTGGGCCTTGATGTCGAAACTTGTGTAGTGGAGTTTGGTGTGATGTGATCTTCAACAAATTTTCCTTTGGAATCCCTCCAAGGACCAGAAAGCGTTGATAACTGGTCCAATTCGGTTTGCTCACTGGGTTGCAACGGTTGGGGACTTGGAGAAACAGGAGTCGTGCTGCTAGGCGACCCCTCTTCGTCCATAGCAAAGATGAGGTCTGCATGAGAGTCTCTTGGTCGAAGCTCAGGCGTGAAAGGCTCGTTTCGAATTGCTTTCGACTTTCTCCTACTTCGGTCCGTTATTGGAGAAACACCGGTAGATTCGTCCAAGCTCCCAATACGAGACTTGAACGATGTTGATAGCTTTTTCTCGTCTTCTTTCTGTATGACCTTATACGCCATCTCTTTCACTCGTCTCTGCCTCTCTTCGTCAATATCTTGCGCTAGCTCAGGGTTGTGTTCGTGGAGGAGTAAATCAGCTCTCCCACTTCGCGCAAATGGACACCTGGCCAGTTGATTATCCCTGACGACCTCATCTAGCTCTAGGAGAAGATCCTCGTCGAGATCGTCAAGTAGACTGTCCATGTATTAGTATCACAATTCACCTTCGATATCGAATTTAATGATCTAGCTAATAACACAACCCAGCAGCCTATATACCGTAGGAGACAATCTCTATAACGAACGACGTCGTCGGGCATTAAAAGCAAAGACTTTGGGGAAATCTGATACACTGGTTTAATTGTTAGAGCTACTCACTGATTTTCAAGCATCGACTCCATCTGGAGGCAGATGTATTCCAATCCCTTATCCTTGAACTCAGTAACCGAACAGGGACTGATAGCATTTAGTAAATTCGAAATATTGCGAGTGTTAACTATTAAAATTAATATCTCCCTTGATGTAGTAAGAGAAGCAGAACGTACCAAAACGACCGATGACTTTCTGGCAGATTTGTGATAGACGATCGAGCATCAGTTCGTTAGCAATGCCCATAACCTCCATAACTAATTCGGAGAAGTCATCAAGATTCTCTGCGACAACATCGTCGAATAACTCTTCCCCAATATCGGCGTATAGATGCTGAAGTACGTAATGGAATGCCTCCGGGTCCATATGCTTCAGGTCGATTTTGATGTAGTCGTAATCTTTTTGTTCTGCACGGCGACTCTCTAGCCACATACCACGAGAACGACCTTTGAAAAGACCTTGGAACCACGGACACCTTTGGCAGAGCAGATCGCTATGGACAAGGATCTCATCGCCATCGAGTTCCAAAAGAGCATCACCATCTTCAAAAAAGGCTGCATCCTCGATAGCTTTCTTGAAGTCCTTATTCATAGAACGTGGCGGTGAGCTTTGGACCCTAACAGCAGCTTCCAAGTCGGTCATACCAAGTCCAGTAGCCAGTCTCATAAGTTCTGTGCGGATTTGGCGGTATCTATATGCTAAGGGTTTAGATTGCCGCGTAAAGTTCCAGGCAGGGATGACTCTGTCGCGATATAAATAAACGATGAGATTCATTAGTGTGATTATATCGACGCTGCCAGTAAGTTCTACAATCACAACATTATCCTGTTCACTGATAGTTAGGACATCTGAAAACTCGGAAATTCCGGTTTCCCTGAATTGTTGTAATCCGGCCCGAAGTAACGGACTTCTAGCTGACAAGAGCCAGGAGTGTACGGGAATTGCCAAATCTGGGAATGTAGCGGTACGAATGACCATGCCAAGACCATCGTGGTGGAAATGCCAATTCTTAAGATGTCTTTGAAGATCATCTTCAAGGTCAGTTGACGTCAACACCTCGTATGCCAGTGAGTCTACTCGACCTTTCAACACGTCTGGATCCTGAAATTTCCAAGTGTCCTTATTTGCTCGCGCTTTATAATTCAGAGCCCTAAATCCAGATAGAGGGAACAGGGGGGCAATGTCCTCCCACAATGTCGGGTCATCAATCTCAAGTTGCTCCCGTGTCACATCGCAATCCTTGCGGACCGCGGCGTATGCACCGAAAGCAGAGCTTCTAACCGCAACAATATCCGTAATATAGGGAACACGCTGGAATTTAAAGTCCTTGCGCTTGTTGGAGTCTGCTGTTGCAGGTGTTTTAGTGTCTTTCGCTTTTGTTCGCTTGATGCGATGCCAGACCGCCCCAGACTGTGTAGAGATTATAACAGAACTATTCTCTCCGACACTAACAGATCTAACGCCATCTTTTTTAGAGCTCCAAATGCATTGTGGTATTGTCACCGCGTCCTTGATCTTCGACGGATTAGTCGTGGACGCAGCGGACTGATTACCATCGTACTTGTGATTGACTACCATCGTAAAGAGGTCTCCATTGCCCGTAACCGCAGCTATGGTATCCCCGCCTGATGTGATTTGATGGATCTCGCGGCGGCCAGGGTCATAGCGGGAGGACATAGAGAGCTGCACTGAGCGTTGGAGTGGTGAACTCGTGAAAGGATCAAAAGTAGGGAACTTAATCATGTTATAGCCGTAACTCGTGAAGACACACACGGTATGGTCCTCGAAAAGACAAGATGTCGCTTTCTCAATAGCCGAGACCATGACGATTGAAGAGTGACTCGAGAGGAGGGTCGCGGCAACTTTCCTAGGGACCGTCTGAACCTCAAGAGACCTGGAATCCGCATCCATCAAGGCAAGTTGGCCAACATTTTTTCCCCAGCAGAACAAAGACGACCCCGTGTGTGCTACGGAATGAATAGCAGAAGCCGCTGCTCCAAGTATGATTTCCTTCTTCAATGGACCAAATACTTGTCGAGGCGTTGTACTTATTGGTTCCTCGTCAGGTTTCACCGGTGCAGGTAAAGGAACCCCAAGCTGCGAATACGTATTTGACCCCCAAGTCCAAAGTTCTCCCGTGTTGGTTACAGCCAATGAATGATTTTGGCCTAACGAAATCTGAACGACCTTCTTGTCGGACAAGCCGCCCTGAACAGGCATAAAACTGAACCTCGTATTCTCGTCACCAAGGCCAAGACGACCACCACGCCCAATGCCGCAGATGTACAAATTAGAGACGGGATCAGTCGTGAGGACAGCACTGTGTAGCTTAGAGAGCACTACATCCTGAATCATTAAAGGGCGATTCTGAATTAAAATTGGGATTTGAGACAAATCGCGAGATATTGAATCCTCTATGTTCGACTGGCGCTTCATTTCCTCGAGGTACTGGTCGTAGAAATGCTGAATTAAATGGTCAGGGCGTTTCAAATAGATGCGCTCTGGGAATTGCCGATCATCTTCATCGCCAAGGCCAAGGGAAAAATTATTATTGCTACCAAAGGTGAATACTTCTTCACCCAGAGCAGCAGATCTGGTATGATGCCTATAGGAGTTGTTAGCAAAACAGAACTTCAGACCTAATTAGCCCATATCCTTCCTACCTAGCATCTTCGCCTGCCGAACCCTCATCACTATCTGAGCCATCATCTTCCAGGCTCGCGCGCTCTTCTGAGACTTTCAAAGTTCGCAAAGCAATACTAGCGTTGTATACGTCAAAAGGACTATTTCCTTCATGGTCTTTCGTCTTGATTAATTGTCCCACCCTAGTAGTAGTAACCCCCCCAAGGGAACTTGTTATGTCTTTACGTTCCTTATCAAGTAGCAATCGCGCAATCGAAATATTTCCATTATATAGGGCTCTATGTAGGGCATTCCAACCGCTCTCGTAGTCCTGAATGTAGATATCGATCGCGGGATGATCAAGGAGGGCTTCGACAAAGGTGATGGCGTTCGAAGAAGTTGACGAAACGGCTCGAAGTAGAATAGTTAAACCCGAGTAGTCGCGACTATTAATATCACCCTTTCCAAGATTGCTACCGGCATTTTTAGGCGCAATTACAGAAACGCCAAAGCCGGACGCTTTGCGCGACTTGGTAGTACCTCGTGGAGAACTTCCGAATGCGCCTACACTACCTACTCCCAAACTAGAAGTCTTGGATGTATTCTGGGAATAACTGGCCGGAGCCAGTAGCCGACAGAATTTGTCGACGTCATTTTCCCAGTAGTATTTCCAAAGTAGATGACTCATGTGTATATTATAAGGTGTCGTTCAAAGCACTTCAAACTACACCTCGCTGTGAGTCTCGGGGGATCACGGCCTATTTAAAGGTGCGATTGGAAGTGCTTTGAATTGACAAAGTGTTGGAGGGAGTTATTCTGCCACGAATTATCACCCAGAGCTCGAGACTATAGCGACGTATGCGCAGATTCTAGCTTAAGGGGCCGATACGGGATACTACGAGGGGATGAATCGGAAATAGCGTTAGATTTCGACTTCGGGTTCGACTAGGCGAGATAAGATGTTGTGGAAATAGATATTGCGCTTTGGGCGTAGTAGATGAGTCGTATCGGTTCAATTGCACTTGTCAGTAGCCGCCAAGGGTATTCGATCGATAGCGTGTTGCTTCGTTAAGGGGTTGACTTAATGCAACGAATAGTACACTTTATAGAAGATTCGCCTACGGTAGTTGGTCCAAGATGATATATTATGAGAATGGCGTCTTGTTGAGTGTGTTATGTGTCATAAACGATCATAAGTGATGGAAGATGATAATCAAAGTGCATAGGATAGGCGAAGATAGGAAGGGACGGGGATGAATACGTAGCTTAGGTACATAAGGTACCTACCCTGCCTATCTACGGTTTGTGCGCAAACCCCGCGACGCTACCACTCTATACATAGAAAGCCGGGTCATCGGAGACCTTATTTTAGACCAATCATAACTCTAACCGACAGGGCATGGTAAATTCTCAGGGCATCAAGTCCTACTAATATACCTTGAATACCTAACAGGTAGGTACCAGGTAAGGTTACCCAAACCTAATGCTCAAACAAATGAGCCTAGAAGCTTTTTGAGCAATTGTGTAGTGTTTTAATCAAACTTTAGCCAATCCCTACTACACGCATACTTTTCTAAACATTTAACATAGGTATTCAAAGTCACTAGTAGGTAAAATCATATGCTCAAGTAAAAGTCTATAAACCAATTGCCAGCCAACTCCTGGTCATTGCTCACGCTTCTGCAAAGCCATTGGATGATGTGGAGTTCCACATGCATATTTCCCCCAACGAAATCCCCAGTGTAAGCTTTGGTCTTCACTATATTAGGCATATGAACGAACAAGCAATGGCAGCAAGTCTCAGCTAGACCATAGGGCTACGAATAGGAATCCATGCCGAGAAATCGACTTGGCATTACAGATACCTACTATCTAGGTATGTAAGCCTTATACCACCTGAAGTATTAGATCTCATATTTATATGTTCACTATAATTATTTGTTCTCGAACTTATTCAGTTTTGATGGTATGATAAGTGCAGAGACAACTGTAGGGTTAAATATTGCAAACAGAGACAGCTATTCAATAAATATCTAGGAAATGTGCAAAGGTTACAACTCTTCACAGTAGACAACTCACTAACTGAATAATTTATAACATGCTTTGAATTCGTTTTCTTGTTATAATTGCATGGCTTCGGGCGTTCAAGACAAAGGAATACTATTGATTAGGCATATTTAAGTATTAAAGTAACACTCAGGTACGTAATATTAATAGATAAAAAAGGATTACCTAAGTCCCTCTAGATTTAGGGTTATTCACAGTGGGGTTCACTGATAACGCCGATCCGGCGGGCATATGGCGTTCTGGGGTTAGTACGATTAGCGGGTTAGCGGGTTGTAAAGTATGCGCGCGCCGCCATCGCAAATAATAATTCGAAATTCGTTTTTCGTAAGATCAAATAACCGCCAGTACCCGAAGAATGTATGTATTATTTACCAAAGCATACCTCTTCTTCTACATTTAATCGAGTTGTAACCCAAATTGCTCACCCTGTCTCAGAGGTTAAATTCGCCCAAGATGTCTCAAGATAAACCACTTCCCTTTGTATACACCTTTGCCGCAGGTTTGTCGCATCCTAAGCCTTTCTACCGATGATCATTCTACATGAACTAACAACTTAACTTAGGTGCCATTGCCGGCATCTCGGAGGTAAGTGATGAACTTGAAGGTCCCGTCCATAAACAACAAGCTAACCTCACACTCTTTTCTTTCAGATTCTGACCATGTATATCATGCCATACCCCGCTTGAGTCTGTCGCGTGCGCATCGTTGACATAGACTAGGTACCCTCTGGATGTTGTGAAGACCCGAGTGTGAGCGACAGTAAGACCCTATAGTTGGCATGTCTAAGGCTTACCACAAAACAGGCAACTTCAAACCGGCAAGGGAACTAGCGCAGACTCATACAATGGTATGGTAGACTGCTTCCAGAAGATCGTTCGCAATGAAGGGTATGGTGACCACCCGAAACTTATAGTTCTCAGACTCATCCGAAGTGCAGATTTTCGAGGTTATACAGGGGCATCACAGCCCCCATTCTGATGGAAGCTCCCAAGCGCGCCACCAAGTTCGCCGCCAACGATGAATGGGGCAAGTTCTACCGCAAAGCCTTCGGTGCTGAGAAGATGAACCAATCGCTATCGATTTTAACGGGTGCCTCGGCCGGTGCCACCGAGTCTTTTGTCGTTGTACCTTTCGAATTGGTCAAGATCAGACTTCAAGACAAGGCTTCTGCGGGTAAATATACTGGCATGATCGATGTCGTCTCCAAGACTATCAAGAACGAGGGTGTTTTGGCCATGTACAATGGCCTTGAGAGTACTATGTGGCGCCACATACTATGGAATGCCGGATACTTCGGCTGTATCTTCCAGGTTAAAGAACTTCTACCCAAGTCCGAAAGCAAGAAGGGTGAGATCCTCAATGGCCTAATCTCCGGAGGAATTGGTGGTACTGTCGGTACGATAATCAACACTCCAATGGACGTCGTCAAGTCTCGTATCCAAAACAGCCCCAAGGTTGCCGGACAGACCCCGAAGTATAACTGGGCTTGGGGTGCTTGCGCTACTGTCATGAAGGAGGAGGGTTTTGGTGCCCTATACAAGGGTTTCCTACCCAAAGTTCTAAGACTCGGACCAGGAGGAGGTATCCTTCTAGTTGTTTTCACTAGCGTTATGGTAAGTCTCGTCGTGTTATTCCCTAATCAACTTGTTTTAATCGGTTACTAATACAAGTTAATAGGATTTCTTCCGTTCCATGAAATAAATATAGAACCCTGGAATAGTCTCGATGTTCTATTAGGAATAGCTAGGCATCGACACCTCCCTGTTTGATTAGCGACTTGTACGTTGACAGCTATACATGTGTCTATAGATAGCAGACAAGATACCTAGCACACGTCTTCCCCAGAATTTAGATCATGACCATCCTTTTCTACGTCATAAGCAGTTGACATATCCGCGCGAGTTTATGACTGCCCTTGCCTAAATAGCTTCTCAGCCACTGCTTTAAAGCCCAATTAAGAGGTAGAAGCTACCTACCTCGCAGGTACGCACGAGGCATATATGGAAGGCATTCAGATCACAGAAATGCAGTCCCCAACTTAATACAAACAATATTAGAGCTCGTTTTTCATATTCTCCTCGACTAGCAAACTTACATTGGCAATTACCTCTTGCTACATTATACTACACATGTTGCAGTTTCCTGCCTCCTCCTGTCCTCCCCCCCCGGTGGCCTACCTTCTAATCCATCTTGAACTTTACAATTCAAAGTTCGATCTCCATATTCTTTCTAGTTAGGTAATTAAATTGTTCTTCTTCAAGTTGACTTCTACCCTTTTTCTTTTCAACTCGGATAACCTTACCTTCCCGCAGATCTAGTTATCAGGTGCGTTCTTTCTATAATACATATTAAACAGCATCATTTATTCCATATACCCCCGTTTCTTCGTTTCTTACATCCACAATTAGCCTTTCAACCTAAGTATACATCTTTCGAATTTTCTTCCTCATAAACTTCGAATACTCCCTCATCCCATATACACACATAATTCACCTGCTTCTTCTCTTCTGCCAAGCCATATCCGTTGCCTTGACTCGATATCTAAGCGTCAAGTCTTTATTTCTCCGATCTTACATCTACATCGACCCTTGTGCCACTCATCTACTCGGAATTGAATACGTTCCTAACCCGGGCATTAGGTTATTTACACTATCTTCACATCTTCACAAGTGGTAAGAGGCAACATCTAGCCTAATCCAGCATCGTTCTTGACCAACTTGGCAAGTTACTCGCTTTGAACTTCCCTTTTCATCCTCTATTTCTATACACATACCTTCATCTTACGCATTTACCTCATCCCATCACCAAGCATACTTACCCAATTCTACGAGCCATAGCCAGCTACGTAACATCTTAAACACCCCCAAACCCCTTCCTTCCACACATCGGTGTTAATAGGTTCTTTCCCTTGAAAGTGCCAGTTCACCTATTCGCACGTTTGACACATCCAAGGCTACTCGTCTAATCGTTCTAATCCCAAAATCTATTGCTCATCATCTTCTTCATACAATAGTGACTTAAGTATTGAAACCCTTTACGTCCGTAAGATAATATTCCCCATCGTGATTCCTATTTCATACCTAAATTTTTCGTTGATCTCACCCAGCACCTCGTGAAATTCCAGCGTCTTCTCTCGTGATAATCGAACTGATGTGAAGGGCCTACTACTAACTATCAACTAGACCTAGGGTTCTTAGATTCTAGGAAGGTGAAGTATATTTACAAGTGTCCTTGCATTCCCGTGATACTTCATCCAACTCTACTGAAATATTGACCATTTTACTCCACATAACTCATATTCTTTCAAGTGACATACATCAATGTCTTCCGCACGAGGCGATAGCGCCGAGAACGATGACCATGAACGTGAATTGGAGGAAGAACTCGAAGATTCTATCAGTGAACGTGCGTCCTCAGATGCTACTGAAGAGCAAATGAGAGGTGACGATGGTAAGAGCTCGTCCCATTACTTGAAGGAGCGTGAAGCTAATTTTTATAGACGGTGATATATCGGTCGATTCAAGCATTCTTGATGACTTAAGTGAACTAGATTTTGACGAAATCCGTCATGGTCGTAACTATGATATACTAAAAGATGCATATAATCGTCAGCAGAGATGCATCGAAATGCTGGTCGATAATATCCGTGGAAAGAAAAGAGAAATCAGAAAGAAAAACCAGAAAATAAAAGCGCTGGAAGATCGTATTTCTGGGATTAGTGAGCCTCCTGTGGTGGGTACTTTCGTTTGATCTCTTCTTCATAAAGGGTCATACTCACACTCATATATAGCCATGGAGCCAGCTACTAAGAGCATACTTTGGGGGCGAAGGAGATTATAGCACGGTCTATAAGGAATGTTGCAAACAGGAAAATATGTCGCAGAAACTAAGCATATTCCATCCTGACTTCTCACTTCAGCAGATGACGATTTCAAGAGAAAGGCGCGCGCGGCTTCTAGCACTGGAACAAGCACATGACGGAAGCGATGTGGCTGAGCCGGAGACTCCTCCCATATCTTACTTCCCATTTCATGAACTTCCTTTAGAAATTCAGGTGAAGATATTTAGGCAACTATTTGTCAAGGGTACTCTTATCCACTGCCTCTCTCGATTGGATCCTTCAAACCCACCCGTTAGCTTCCCCGACGAGGATGTCGAAGGCGAAAGCCAACTACCAACCAGATTCCATTTTGGCAGGTCGCCGTGTCAAATTATTCTAGCTCACAAACCAAATGACGTACTCAAACCTTTACTAGTCTGCAGACGCTGGTACTTTATCGGCGTTCATGCTTTCTACGGAGCGAATACCTTTGCGTTTAGCTCGCTCGGTGAATGGCATCGATTTTGCAATGGTATCGGCCCTGCGCGTGTTCAACGGTTGGTGAACGTCGAACTAATGTGGCATGGAGCTTTGATGCCTAGACACGAGACTCGAATCTCGCAACGTACACTCGGTCTCAAGTGGTTCACCAAAACGAGGCGCCTTCGCACACTTGTTGTTCACATAGCAGAATGTGAAAAAAGTCGGACAAGACGGAAGTATGAGATACAGAAGAATCGTCAGCAAGTCGGCAACGGTAGAGGTCGACTTATCGAGGACCAATCCGATGGATATCAATCAGATGGGGACGAGTCTGACGGCAGCCAATCTGATGGGAGTCAAGATTCGGACAAAGAATTTGATCCTTTCGAAACTATGGTTCGTCGTACTCTTAGACACCCGAATTACCGGAAGTTTCGATCAATGCGGACAGTTCAAGGGATCGATTATCTCTACCAACTACGAGCTATGGATTGGATCCGCTTCAAAGAGAGTAACGGCCTTGATCACCGCCAATCGATTCGGGATTGGTCGTTTCTAAAAGACCTAAACACTGTTGTAACTTTGCCGAAGCAAGATGACCTTGCCCTCAAGAGCCACCTAGAGAATCTAACACCGCTAACGTGTTTAGAAGATTTTATCCCGTCAGAAGAAGATATGCTTATTGTTAAGACGTTTTACGACGAGACTCACATCTTAGGTCCGGTAGGTGGTTCCGAAACGACCGGATCAGACAACGGCGCATTTAGCGATACTGCTTCATGGGATGGCACCAGTATCAGCGACTCGGATGATAATGATGATTCTCAAGACAGGCATGCCCCTAATCTCCGAAACACCCCTAACTCTCCAGTTCCAAGAATCATAGATTTGGATTCTAATCCTAATAGCGATACTGAACCTGATAGCGACAATGACGATGATGACGCCGGTGGCTCTGGTGTACCGGACGTATCACAAAATGCCACCACTATCTCATTAGTTGGGGCTTCCCAACAGCACAATAACCAGATACAAGGCGACGAGAATAGGAATGAAGGAGACAGAATAAATATTGATGATGATGACCGCAGTTCCAGCGCCCTATTTGTCCCCTCCGGCTCAGGCTCGGGTAGTCCTCCACCCGACCCAATGGACATTGACGATCCTCCCGAGCAGGTAAATCATGAGGTGATAGACTTGACTGGAGACCAGACTGATGAAGAGTCACTTTTTGTTCGTTCCGAGCCAGATGATAAGTCCATAAAAGCAGAGCCCGACGATGTCGACTTTGATAACTTATATCCTCGTGAAGAAACCCCTCCGGGTAGCGACGACGAGTCTGATATCTACCCATATCCCGTCCTTAGAGGTGCTTCTAACGTCAATTCTTCATCCAGACAATCGAGCGAACGCGAAGCCAACTCCAATAACGAGGGACAAGCGGCAAAACGTCGTAGATTGGAGTGAGCAATACCAACATGGCGGATACTCCTTTGCATTTACCAATCATACCTGGCATGAGCCCCTTGGAAGTGAAGCAGTTACTTCGCTCTTAAGATAAGACATATTCGGACTCTTCTCTTTGCATCTTCATATTATCTACAATCTAAGCAACAATTATGAAGCTATGATTCAGACTTAATCCAGTTTCCCTATCTTCCTCTACTTTCTACCACAAATATTTTCTTCGCTTCAGTTTCCCGGTCCAAAATTCTATTAGGACGTTCAGGGCTATCGAATATTTTCCCATTCGGCTTTCCAGCTTCACCAGAATCAGACTAAGCAACTAGGCGCCTTACTGCCCAAGGTCAACAGCCATCTACAACCCATTTCTTGATATTTTCAAGATTATCCCAGCATAGTAGCCGGAACTTAGTCTTAAATCTACTTGAGTTTTCATGCTTCATCTCCACCTACCTACCTTTTATATCTAGTTTCAGATACTCATAATTCGCAGAACTTGCCTAGAAATCTACTGCATACATTCAGAGTAGTACGAGTACATATAATCGATGATTTCTCACAATGAATTTTGATTCTCTTAATAGTTTTCGTAGCCTGATAATATGGTATCTATTGAAGAACTTAATCGAACACAACCTTGCGCCCTTGAAATGCAATCTTTTGGCCTTCCTCCTTGGCCTTCTTAGCCGCGGCCCAACTTGGGTGTAAGAGGCCTGTATCATCTCTCTTAGGTATTGCTTTTGGTTTCGGGTTGTCCTCCACAAAGCTTCTCCCGCTAGCTTGTTCGCGGCCACCGTGAAGCTGCTGCTGGCGCTCGGGATGTATGTGCTTATTATCGAAGGGGTTCCGGATGCCCTTCTTCCAGGGCTTATTGGACCCCTCTTCGTCCCCTACAGCACCTCGTCTCATGTCCCACCCCTGGTCTCTGCCCGTCTTGCCTTCCTGCTGCTTCTGGACGTGCTTCGCTTTCTCCTTGTACTTCTTCTCCCATATGGCTTGACGCGCCCGTTGGCCCCGCCGGTTCTTGCGCGCGGGGGCGAGATCGAGGTCGGAGGCTTCTGATTCGGAGCCTGATATGTAGCCACCCATTAATGAAGGCAGGAATGCTGAGTTGCCAGGTATTATCGCAGCCGTCTTTGCGGCTTTAGCCCTTTTGGGAGGTGGGGATGCAGATGCAGAAATTTGGCTTTCTGCATCTTCCAGATCTTCTTCTTCCTCTTCTTGATCCGATTCGGACGATCCGACTGATGATATAGAAATGTCGTCGGCCGTCGCTTTTCGGAGCGATTTCGTTCTGCTGTCTGCAACGAGTTCATCGTCCCCACTTCCGTCGTCTCCTGATTCATCCTCGTCGCTAGATGAGCCTGCCACGAAGTCATCATACCGCGACCAGGCTCGTTCCTCGGCATCGCTGTCAGAGAAATTTTCGAATGGTTGGTCATCTTCAGCTTCATCGTCATCTTCGCTACCGAGTTCCTCCTTATCATCCTCGGCCTTATCCTGCTTCCTCTTTAAAAGCACTAGCCCTGGCCCGTTCTCTTCAGTATCGGACTTCTCTTCGTCTTCGTCTTCGTCGTCTTTTTCTTTATGCGTATTTTTAATCGCTGCCGACCTCGTAGTATCTCTACCACCATCCTGCTCCTCTTTATTTGAATCTTTCTTCTCCTTCTTACCCTTCCCTTTCTTCAATTTCTCCGGCATAGGTACCCTCAGCGCAATGCACGTACCCATGATAGCCTCCTCAATGACGTCGCGGATCTGCTTGCGATTGCAGAGCGCACTCGTCACATTATGTAGCGCAGCCTTCTCTTCATCGGACAGCCCCTCAGGCTTCGGAATAGGCTTGATGATATCAGCGGGTATCTTTGGGGACTCGGCCACACCCTTGACTTTGAGAAGCGACGAGCATAGGTGCGCGTGCGCGGCTTGTTGGAGATCGAGACTCTGATAATGAGTTATATGTCAATACAAGGTCGTTTCTAATAGCAAAAAATTGGGGTTTTTTTTCGTCCGTACCTTTAATACGGCAATCTCTCTCTCAAACCTCGCCGTCTTTTCCGGATCGCTCTGAGCTTCGCGAATGCGCTTGCTTAATCGTTGGCGCTCGAAACCTTTGGCGGTCTTCATGCCGCGCGCTAATTCCTTGTGCCATTGTGATAGCTTCTCTTCGAGGCTGGGCTCGTGATTTCGTTTCCGCTTTGGCATGTCGGGCGATATGTGGATATTGCGCTTGGTACAGAATGTTTGAGAAACTGAACCTCGAATTTTTTTCAAGATTTACTACCCGTTATGTAGATACCACGTTATATTCAGATTATCTTTCTAATGAGTTTTATATATATATCTTTATCGGGGCCTTAACTTTCGCACTAAAATTCCATCGTCATTATCTTGACGATGTCTTAGAAATCTTAGCTAGTTCATACCTCCTAATCACCAATTTTAGTCAGAATGTATAGATAAAGCTTATTACGCCATCTCAATGTAACATTCACAAGAGTCGGATTTTACCCTAAGTTTTAAAGGGCAGCTCCATAGGCATTTTAGCTCTGTAAGCATCTTACCATATACAACTATTCTAGTACTTAGGCATATCGCGACGCTGGGCTCCACTAAGAGGTGGAGAAGCTATAATCATCAATGAGATAGCGGGGCAATACCAGAAGAGGATGGCTTTTTAAAGTATAGCTTTGTCTACCTAAGGTTATTGTCTTGCATATAGTCAAGTCCGGTTGGAGTAATTGTTTCTGTATATAACCCCTAAGACATCAAGCCGTATGAGTCAAGTGTGCATTCCGCAACTAGAAAGCCCATCTACAGAATATAAAGATTAAATATTCTTCACCTTAAACCACTACCTACATTCTTGACAGTATATCTTAGAATCGATAGAAATGACAACTTCACAGTCAACTCCTGCTGCACTTAGCGCAGAAAGCTTGTTCAATGCTAAGGGTATCGTCGCGGTTGTTACAGGTGGTGGTACAGGTAGGTGACAAGACCTAGATTAAGATTATATTAGTTACCTACATATGAGCCTTTTACTAACAAACCTACAGGAATTGGGCTTATGATAACTAAAGCTCTGGCCACTAATGGCGCATCTAAAGTATACATCATAGGACGACGTCTGCAAGTCCTGCAGCAAGCCGCAGAACAGATCGGCACCGGTAATGTAATTCCGGTTACCTGCGATGTGACGTCTAAAGAGTCTTTGCAGTCGGCGGCAACTCAAATCCAGCAGGACTCCGGATTTATTAACCTGCTAGTCTGCAACTCGGGCATCGGTGGGCCGTATGGGAACCGGCCCAGGCCCGAGACCACCTTGGATGAGTTCATCGAGGCCAATTTGACCATACCCATCCAGGATTACACTAATACATTCGCCGTCAACACTAGCGCTGTGTGGTATACTACCATATCATTTCTGAAGCTCTTGGACGCCGGTAACCTAAAGGGTAACGTGGAGCAGAAGAGTCAGGTTATCGCCATAAGCAGCATCGGCGGCCTCAACAAGATAAACACGGGAGGCTTCGCTTATGGACAGAGCAAAGCCGCCTGCATACACCTTATTAAGCAGTTAAGTGTGGCACTACCACAGTGGAATATCAGAGCCAACGTCATATGCCCTGGCCGTAAGTGATTCAAGCTATTCAACCTCGGCTTTTCCTCCCTACAGAGGACAAACAAGTTCCGAGATGAAGAAAAGTAGAATAGGTCGCTTTTATCATTCTAACCGGTACATAGTCTACCCGAGCGAGATGTCGGCCCCTATTATAGAAAAAGGAGGAATCGGAAAAGATATGGTGCCTCTCGAGCGTGCCGGAGATGAGAAGGATATGGCGGGCGCTGTCCTCTATCTCGCCTCCAGGGCTGGTGCCTACTGCAATGGCACCGTACTTGTGACTGATGGAGGAAGGTTGACTACGTTCCCCTCGACCTTCTAGGCCTAAGCGAAAATCGCAGCCGAGAATGATAGCCAAGTATCATAAGCAGGGGCTTGTTTACCGCATAGTCAAGCCCCACGCCTTACTGGCTATCAAGCACATTCTCATCAGGGTCATGCTAAATTAGCTGAAGGGAAAACACATGTGTGCCGCCCCTTTTTGAACGGTGTGGAGGTAGATATTAGATAGGGGCGGAAAGTCCCGGTAATTGTCGTCGCGTTGGCCCGGTCATCCGAGCCGAAGACCGGGTTTTTATAAAACAATACCCGAGGTCAGTCACCTCAGGCTAGTTATCGACAATAGGTAACCAACCAATTGCAGCCTTTCAAAGAATATGGAATCATCGGTAGTCTATTGCTTGGCCCCGTGAGCTCTCTTCCTGCCTGGTTCACTGAAGCCGGTTCACATATCACAGTAGATGAATAAGATTTATGTCAGGACCGCTGTTAACACGATCCCTGTGATGAAGGTCGTAACGCAACAGTATATTAATGAAAGTGGCTAGGAATAGCTGTCGACGTACCTAAGTAGGTAGTTATCCATCATAATAGCAACTGTTTAGAAATCCTTAATAATCCAATATAAAAGATAGGCGGAGTGTGTCTAAGCAAATGAGTTGATGATGGATCTATCCCAGCGGTTATTTATCACTACGGGGCATTATTAGACCCTATCGGATAATTCAAGGACGTGCTACCGGTACGGTAGGATAGACGGGAAGAACCCTGACTTCTTTGACCTCGCGGCTTTGGGCCAATAATAGATATCCCATATAGAGAAATAGGCGACGTTATGGTCAGTATTGTTTTAGCGAAACGCGTGCGGACGGCCATAAAAGAATTCCCTAGGTACCTAATATATTAGGTGCTTTTCACCTGACCGTCGGTTGTCTAAGTGCTTGTATTCTCTGGGTACGGTTGATTGATATCCGTGTAATATATTATATACCATTGTAGAACACGTTGACTTCGATTCCTTTCTAATAAAAATAATACTAGGCAAGCCATTTTCTCATAGCCGGGTTAAGCACCCGTATTTAGGTAGCTGCCGGCTACATTCGTGAGACACCAAACAAGGCAAGCCAGGTAGCTACCTCTATATTGGAGATACCTACGGATGAAACCATGGAGCAATTGGAGCCGAGACTGTTATTCCGTCCCGTGATCGCATATGTACCTATTAGACTTACACATGTCCTTTGCTATGAGAGGAGCTCACATAAGCTTGGCTTCCAGCGGGAGTAACGATGCGAAACGAAGTTGGAGTTCTAGATTGGAGGACGAAGATGCAGCTGTCCTTTTTAGGAGAAGACCTGCCCTGTCCTTGCTTGCATGTTTGTACCTATCAGATTTTACTAATTTTTAAGGCGATGGAAACCCCAGCAACTTGACGTCACTTGTGTAATGTCTTTATCATAGCTATTCCCTTCCGGTATTCCACTAAAATACATATTTCTCTTCGGATAACCACTTTTAATAATTTGCAGACTTAAATTAACTTGTTAATACTAATTTTCTTCAGCTTATACAACATTTCCTAATTGTTTTAAAGGATATTAAAGGTATTAAAAGCTTGTTAAATTTCAAGTAAAATATTAGCACGTGCTTATCGATAGATAGCTGTCTACGTGGACCCACACGCTAAAATACCTAGCACTTGGTACGGTGCATGTGCATAGGGACTTTACCCCGCAATCCGCCAACTCTCGGGACAAGGGACGAGGATATCACGGCACTCGAGAAGGACAAAGGTTCAGATGTCAGAATCGAGAAAGGATGACGATTTTTACTTTCATACCTCTAGGTAGTTCGTGACCTCTCTAAAGATTTATTGAACCCTACAAGCACTTAGAGTCAAGATTGAACTTTGTCCAACCACCCAAGACCTTTTTATCTTTTTCCACACGGACTTCCGCAACTTTGACATCAGTCCCAGCCTACAAGAATTCCGGTTGAATGGGAACGATATAGCGTAGATCTCAACCATGCAATGCCGAGATCCATACAAAGTCCAAGCTTACGTATGTAGGGTACCACTTTTGACGTTTACCTAAGAGGTAGAGTACCTAATTATAGGCCTTGATTAGGTATGGACCAACGACGAGAATACTTCGTAAGAATGACATTGCTTCTACCGTTGCTTGTAGCTTATATTACAATAAAAGGAGTATCCATGAACTCCCGAATGGCTCCAGGTATTTATTGCGTCGACCTAGCCGGAATATAGTATTCGTAAAGTGAGAGGTTTGTATTTATTTAAATAAATAATCTACCCGATGCCGCGTCAGGTAGGAAAATCCGTAATGTACCATGTAAATGGTATATAAGATACATAGGTGATAGGTTAAGTGATAGGTAAAGAGAAGAGTACTTGATATCAGAAGCACCAGAACTACAACTGTAACGGGAACGGGAACAATTGTACAGCATGACCTTGTTCCCAATTTGATGTTGGCATGATGAATTGTATGCGTCAACTCCGCATTCTTTCCCCCTCGGTAGTGCCCCTAACCACCATAAAACTATACGCGGTAGGTATAGAGGGGATTTGATCATAGTCACCAATAAGGACTCGAGATAATCGATTCGCACTCGACTCGGAATTCTTTTTGTTGTTCCTTTCTCTTTTTACATAAGTTTAAAAGCTCTAGTCCCACTTCTCTTCCCCTTTCCTTCCTTCATCTTACATAGTAGAGTTTACACTTGCATGTATACTAGAGGAAGTTCACACCCCCTCAGACCCCCTAAAATATTCTTCCTAGTAGCGACGACCATACCCGAGGTCACCCTCCTTAATAAATATTCATTCAAGGACTGGCTTCCTTTTTATACCAAGTACACTAACACAAGGCACTACATGTACCTACCTTACATATAACCTGCACATGTGCCTCTCCAACTCTTAAGCTTTTCTTTTTCTTCTCCAAACCTTCGGAAGCCAAGCCCTCCTCTATCTAATTAATACTTTATATCATCAGCTCTTTGCATTACTTAAATCCTTGTTCCTAGCTACACACGCTTTTGCTCGTGTATTTTACCTAGCTTTGTAAACTTGGTGGTTGTTATTCTGTTGATTCTCCCCACCAAATCCGATAGCTACCCTTCGATTTCGCGACGGAATATTCCTTCTGCTGACATCATCTGGCTACATACACACCGGCGTCCAATCCCCGTATCGACATACAGCTCTCTCTCGCCTGTTGAGCTCAACCTATGATCCCGCCGGTCTCGGTGGCTTTTTCAATTTCCTCAATCTAGGGCTGATAGTTACAATTCAGCTTTCTAGTTGGGGTGGAATAGAAACCCATCTCCGGGTCATCTATTAATTTTCTACTAAGACATTGTTGCACAAGTTGGTGCCCCCCTCCCCCCATTTCGTTCGTTCGTTTGTTTGTCCCATTATGGAACGCCATCCTCAACCGTTTACCTACTATCCGCTATTATCAACTTAATACCCTATTGGCGCAACCTCGCAGATATGGCCTTGGATAACAGAACGGTATCCGAGATGAAACTACAACGTCTTTGGCCGCTGCCCGGGGTCTAATAAGTACACACACCCCCACTTCCTATCTTTCCCGACCGGTCCACATCTGTATCTATCACAACAGATACCCGCTAAATGGGGCCGAATTACAACATCGGCTATTAGCTGTACACCTCGGTCATGACTATGGCTATGCTTTCAAGCGGATGTTGAGCGCCTCGTCCAATGGCGCTTCTCCGGACCTTCTCAGGAGTTCCCTACGTAGTCCGGCGTTTCTTATAAGCTTAAAGCCGTCTCACCAAAAATGACATTTACGGACACGCTGCTAACTGTGTGCTGTTAATACTAGCTTTCTACTCTTTCTATAGTCATTCCCAGAGCTTAAACGGGTCTTGGCCTTGAATCAGTATACGATTTCTTCGCCTCCTTGCTATCTTGCTTCACTATTGGAATTATGAGCTCCAACACCTTTAAGCAAGCCGCGGAAGCAGCACGAACCAAGACGTCCGCTATGGGCAAGCAGGGCTCAGAGGCAGTTTCTGCCGTAGGAAATGATTTCCTACACACGCCCATTATGCGGGCAGCCCTTCCCTTCCTTAACGGCGGCATCTCTGGCATGGTTGCGACCACTGTCATCCAACCTGTAGACATGATCAAGGTCAGATTGCAACTCGCAGGCGAAGGCATTGCTACCGGCCCCAAACCTACTCCGTTATCCGTCACACGAGATATCCTTGCGCAAGGCAAGGCTCTTGACTTATACACCGGTCTCTCAGCGGGTCTTCTCCGCCAGGCGGTATATACTACAGCGAGATTGGGCTTCTTCGACACATTTCTGAAAAACCTATCAACACGTGCCAAGGAGAAGGGTAGACAGGTTAGCTTTGTTGAGCGAGCGAGTGCTGGACTTGCAGCCGGTGGGATAGCAGCCTTTATCGGGAACCCTGCAGATCTAGCTCTCATTCGGATGCAATCAGATGGTCTCAAACCTATCGCTGAGCGCAAGAACTACAAATCTGTTATCGATGCATTATCGACGATCGTCAAATCTGAAGGCGTTACTGCGTTATGGGCCGGTGCGACACCAACAGTAGTACGAGCTATGTCGCTTAACTTGGGTCAACTGGCATTCTTTTCGGAAGCTAAAGCACAACTTAAGACGCGTACCCAATGGTCTCCTCAATCGCAAACCCTAACAGCTAGCGCTATTGCTGGATTTTTCGCTTCCTTCCTCAGTTTACCCTTTGACTTCGTGAAGACGAGATTGCAAAAGCAGCAACGCGGTCCTGATGGCAGACTTCCGTACAAGAGTATGACAGACTGCTTCGTCCAAGTCGCTAGACAGGAAGGTCTCACGCGCTTCTACCGTGGATTCGGTACCTACTACGTGCGTATTGCGCCGCACGCGTAAGTTCATCCCGCCCGAAATTCGGAACTGGTCGGAATAATGTTTGCTAACGTCACATTATAGCATGGTGACCTTAATTGTTGTGGATTATCTTGGTTGGTTGACGAAATAATTTGTCAGCCCCGGCTGTTGATTACCCATCTTTTGTTATCTTTTAGTTCGCTTAACTGTCTATGTAGAAAGCGACCGGGGCGTCTAGCGGTTATCATGGGAAGCATTGCCAACGTCATTTACGGGGGATTAAGGAAAATACCATTCGTATATATTATCGCTTTCATATATTTTGTACTTTGCAGAATGCAACTAAATGACTTTTTTTGTACAAGGGGACAAGAACTATAAGTGACTATATGCTAGTTATATGATATGATACCTATGTTTTACACCGACATACCCCCTACCCTACGGCCCGAATATTTTCGGTCCTTATGAGGTAGCTTTCTTAGTGCAAATGATCCAGTGTAAATATCCGCAGGGCCAAAGAAACTGCTCCTTTCCGCTCTTAACCTCCCAGTTGTCGCTGTTCGTACCACAGGTGCGTAATAGGGCCTCAACCTCGTCGGCAGTACGGGTGCGTAGGCACGAAATAAGACCGTCGAAGACAAGCACAAAGGGGACGACAGGGATAACGTAAACCCAGAACAAGCGCATGGGTGACCACCAATATAGCAGCGGAGCGATTAGAAAGATGAAGAAGCCGAAGGCGAAGCACGTCAGCAAACCGGTGGGGGTCCGGTCTTGTAGCTCGAAGATGCTAAGAGGGAAAACTTTGTCAGCGTCATCTGAAGAAGATAAATATAGAAAAAAAAAAATTTTAGTTTAGGACTCTACTCACCCGAACCCATCGCTGGTCTCGATCGTATTCTTTAGAATGGAGCGAGCTAACTTGTCATCGAAGTGGTGAAATGCTAGGTTGAACAGCCGGAAAATTCCCTTCCCGCCGTTCTTCTCCGTATACCGCCGCAGTAGTTCGGTTGGCGCGCTGGCGGCGTCGACGGGGCGTGCGACGTACGACAGTCGGTCGCTCTTCTTACTAGCGGCTTCCCAGGACTCGACGTGCGGATGCAAATCCGTCAGCACGAAGTCCACCTGGCTGTCCTCTTCCTGGACGGTAGCAGACTGAGCCTTGGGGTTGGCGACGGCGGCATAGCTAGGCGTGTTATCTGCCGCAGCGCGGTTCTCGCCGTCCACCATGCCGGATTGCGCCGTCGCGGGGACCCGGTGCGTGGCAGCGCGCGCGAGCTGGCTGTTTAAAGCTCGCTCGATAAAAGGCGTGGGGCCTCCGGCTCCGGCGCAGAAGTCGATGTAAGTGTGCCGCGAGGCGGAGCTGCCGAGCACATGTCGCAGGGTCTCGGCTACGATGGTCGCGGGGCTGCTGGGCTGCAGAAACGGGATGTGGACGGTCCAGGCGTGCGTTAGGCCGGCTTGGACGTACGCGCGGAGGAAGGAGGGGAACCTGGAGGATGGTGGTTGGTTAGTTAGTTAGTCAGGTGAGGACATTTTGACGCGGGATGATGCTCTTGTTGCCGTGTAGGGAGAAGGTAGGTAGGTAGGTTAGACAGCCAAGAGAACCGGGATAGACCTGCAGTAAGCCACGGTGGCACACGGCGGGTGAAGATCTGTTGGATGGGATTATCGATCGATCAATCTGTTGACCCAACGTGCCATGCCGGATGATAACAACCAATTGATGCTAATCAGGGGAGGCTGGAATCCGGAGCTCCGGTGCTCTAGTGCTTATGATTCTAGGCTGTCTTCTTTGCATTGCATGTAGGTATGTGTGTATGTGTGTACTTACCATGTCTGATCGTCAATCTCCCAGAGATGCAATCGAGGGATCAAAGGGGCCTGGGATGCCATTGTGACGGATTGGATATCTATTGGTTCGCAATACACCGTATATTCCAGTAAACTGAATAATAGTCAGATCAGAGACGGATAAACAGCTTCGTGAGTATGTCTGCGAACCGGCACAGTTGACAATCAAAGCTATCTTGGGTAAATATGAATTTCTGACGACCTTAAGAAAAGGAGCGGGGAGTGGTATAGAAGTTTTCTAGCTCCCCTTGCTACTGTCATCATGACAGCTTCATGATTTGGCAATTTCGTCGAGTTTCGAGTTGAGCTTTGACGCGATTGATGGTTACAAGCGTTACAAGGGGGAAGATGGGAGATTAGAGCCAATCACATGTGTTGAATAGTAAATAGGTACGTACCTATCTATGTAATAGACTACCTACCTAACCTAGGGGAGAAACAACGGGGGCTAGGGAATATCCACATGTTCCGTTGCGTCACTGACGTAAGGCTGAAACGTCGACATGTGATGGAAAGATACAAAAGATACAACTCTACAACATACAAAGCCAATGAGAAGCTTTATGATTATATACATACATGCATAATGGCTTCACGATTCTTCATTTAAAAGATCGTGCTATGAGCTTCAAAATACCCGTATATAATTTTGCATCTCAATTGAAATCTATCATCCTCAAATGATAAAATTCAGTCCCTTTACGAATGTAGCTAGCCCCTTTTATTAGACCAAGATCACATGAAGCCATCATTACATACATAGCATATACGCCGAGGCTTTTCTTTTAACAATCTACGGTAATTAATATGGCTCTCCTTGAAGGGTACGGGCTAGTTTGCCTTGGGCTTCTCGGGTTACTCTTTTGCTATCAATTCACTTTGCGAACCCCGACTATTCAACGGAATGGGGTTCCCTTGAGGTAAGGCATGTCTCAATATTATTCCATAAGGCTACTACTGTCCAGAGTTTAACCTCGCAATAGAAAGCCACCAAATACCCTACCCATCGTAGGCAATGGAATCCTCTTTCTTCGGCCACGCCAGAAGCTATTTTCTTGGTTCGTCAAGTGCGAAAGGCGATTTGGTAATGAGACGTTCCAAATTAGCGTGCCCACATTGCCTCCAGGCGTGGTCATAAATGATCCCAAGAACCTAGATTATGTCTTCAAGAACGAGGGTATCTTCTCCAAAGGCGACTTCTTCAAGAAGCTCTCTTGGGACCTATTTGGAAATGGGATCATCAATGTTGATGGTGAACTATGGAAAGCCCAGAGGAAAGCCGGCCTAGCTTTTCTCAACACTTCCAATCTCCGAGTCCTAACAGACATTGCGCTACCGCGGTATCTCGGCCGCGCTGTAGAATATCTACAAGTGCAGGCTCGTGCTAGGAAAGTCGTAGACCTGCAATCCGTATTCCACGAGATTACGAGTCAGCTTATGGGAAAGATGGCTTATGATATGGAGATGCATGCTGATGATGATTTCACTGTTGCATTCGATTACGCTTCAGGCGCGACCACTGAACGCTTCCAGAACCCTTTGTGGTTCATTAAGGAGCACTTCACCGGTTCTAAGTTCAGAGAAGCACTCCATATAATCCGCACTTTTGGTTACAAGATTGTAGACAGTGCTGCGAACTCAAATACCAAGAAACAGGGTGACCACGCACCGGAACTGACACCTGATAGGCTAGATGAAGTTTCCGGCAGCTTGATACAGTCGTTATTGGAAGTTTTTGGCGATAACAGGGAAATTGTATCTGACTCTGCCTTGAACTATTTATCTGCCGGTAGAGATACAGTTGCCCAAGCACTGACGTGGTGCGTATATCTCCTTATGCAACACGACTTCGTCATCGACGACATTCGGAACGAAGTACGGGCCTTGCTCGACAATACCCAGGAGCCATTGCTATCATCTGATAGTAAGGGAAGTATCAACTCGAGCATTCTCACACCCTCATCACTACCATACACCATGGCAACTTTTTACGAAACACTCCGACTTTACCCGCCAATCCCTTTCGAAATCAAGCAGTGCGAAAAACCAACCACATTACCCGACGGTACTTTTCTCCCGGAAAAGTCCATAGTATTTTGGTGCACTTGGGCCATGAATAGGTCAAAGATTAGCTGGGGAGACGACGCAGACTCCTTCCGGCCCGAAAGATGGCTTACGGAAGATGGAAAACTGATCACAAAAAGCGCCGCCGAGTTTCCAGTTTTCAACGGCGGTCCGCGATTGTGTCTCGGAAAGCGAATGGCGGAACTATTAGCTGCCCAGGTCATTCCAACGATGGTGTTGATGTTCGACTTCACGCCAGCCTATGGGGGCGAGAGAGTTAGCAAGAGTAGTCTTACATTACCGATGAAAGGTGGATTGCCATGTCTTGTAAAGTCCAAGGTACTTGATTAGAAGTAAACAGTTATATCACAGACAATTATATATCTACCAGGTAGCTAGCTCTCCAGTATTAACTTGCAATTTTCAGAGACTTTTATCGGTCAAATATTCCCATTCAATGCATACAAGAGTAGCGACAGGCACCAGCAAGCTCGAGTATACGCCCCTAGTATATGAAAGAGAATACTTTAGCTTTTTACTATCTATAATATAGGGTTATCTCCATCCCTACCTCCTTTCTCGTTGGAATATGTCCAATATTTGTCACCACCTCACTATAATACATGATCCTCCGATATCGTAAACACTTAGATCCCTACTATTTGTTGGGCCTGGTTATTCCATCTATGCAATGGTTGAAAAAGTATTCGTAGGTCAATTCTTTAGATATCTATTGTCTTCCCTAAGCATAGCGCCTTTAGTTTCCAAGTATAATTTAGTTAACCTTTAAACCTTCGTTGAGAATGATAGAACTTAATTCTCTATAGTTAATAACTTTATATCAATGTTTGCCCATTACGATTTGAAAAAGCATAGCATAAGCATTGGGTAGATTTATTATTCATATTCAATGCTAAGTAATAAATATATAGCATACCTAGGTGCCTAAAGTCATTCTAGTAGATATATGTTCAAACGGAAGAATAAGGTTAGTGTATAGTAAATATTCGTTGCCAACCCCTTTTTAAGAATCCACTATCAACTCCTAAATTAATCAACATCCATAATTCTTCTCGCTTTTTGTCAGGGGGTTTATACCCAGGTGATTGATGTCATACACAGAGTGAATATCTAGGATGGTAGACCAAAAGGATGATATATTGAACTAGTAACGCCTGGCTTCTACTCTCTTTCGAGGGCGCAGAGCGCCCTTATATAGTAGATAGACCCCTGTAGGCCTCCGTACCCACTTATACCCTGACACTTTTACTTCATTACTTTAGGTACTCTTTTCACTCCCATTATTTCCTTACATCCATACTCCTTTAATCATTCCTAGTTACGTGTTAATCGCGCTTATCAATGCGTGCTGCGCTACAATTAAGTAGGAAGAGTTTGGCCATGATATTCTACAAGAGACTATCAATATACATGAGTGCAACTTGACATAAATATAGTCTTCATCAATATAAACACGTGGAACAGGTACCTTGGATAGTTAATTGAGCGTCTATTTAAAGAACCTACGATATAAACTAGACATCTCTCCCTTTGAACCTTGAATCGTCTCGCCGTTATACTCTTAGATACTGCCACAGTATGACTGAGCGTTGTTAGGTCCCTAGACCATTAATATATCTAGGATAAAGGGCTTCTAGTTACCTCGTATCAATAATTCAGTCCTAGTCTGCCCCAAAATTACCCGTTCCCAGTAGAGTTGTGTTCTCACTTGTCCTCACAATAACAAACGCTGCCTATACGCAACGCAACACTTTTTGTTCCAAGTGCCTCTGCCGTTTTTGGATAGACTGCCCTATCAACACGAGTGTTAGTAACGTTGTAGCAAAGTGTTGTTAATTACTTGTAGCTTAATGCCTATGTACAAGTTCCTTATGCTATTTATTCGCTCTCCGTATAGGCAGCACTCATAAAATCTCTAACTGTTATCTTTAGCCACAACTTATAGTCGGCAACTATCAGTCCACGCGTTACTCACAACTGTGTAAATCGAGATGCTCTGTAGAAGTAGATGTAACTATGACTCTAAAGCACATCGTCTTCTTCGAAGTACCTAAGGCTAGCATCCTGTAGACTCAGCCTTTTCTTGCATATCGCATAAAGACGCGACTAAAGGGGTCAGGCATAGGTACTTGACATTTGTAGCACGATCAGTCATCCCTTCTCGCCCTTTACTAAGATATGATTGCTCATGAATGACCATTATGGAAGGAACCCATTCAAGAACAGCCCCGGGCACCCGCTTATTTCGGCCTTGACAATGCAACTGCCTTGACTTCCGAGTCTCTAACCCACCTCCGGCCTCATTACTCGGCTTCCATCGACGACATGCCCATTGAAACCTGCTCACCTTCCTCGAAAGTTACTTGTAGGGCAATTTGAATTTCCTTCTGATGACTCTTCCTCCACCTCCCAATCTTTCTATTTAAATCTGCCAACACCCACCCCACGAGGCAGAATCTACCTTTCCACATTCTTCTCATCACAAGACAATATTCTTTCCCTTCTTCAATACATCGACAATTACATTAAAGTTTCATCCTCGCGAACCATTTTCCTATCTTCCTTTTCAGATTCTATCCAAGTATCCCTCTATATTCCGAAAAGATGGAGTCCAAATTTCTCGATCTCGTCACCTTCATCAAGCAGGTTATCCTGTTTGTGATCGCATTACTCGTTAGCCATGCAGTGTTCATCACCGCTGTTATGAAGAGAAAGTGGTTCTTTCGCGCCGTTCAAGCAGTTGCCCCCGAGTTCCATTTTCAATACCGCCCCGTCATCTACGGTCTGGAGTTGATCACCGTCTGGTGGTGCTGGGTTCTCGTCAAGTATATCAGTCTAGCCCTATTCGTGAATGTCTCGATGCTACTTGCGATCAAGAATGGCCTCTTCTATGAATCACTCGAAGTCTATGTCTTCGTCGTGTTGATCGCTGCTATGGGCTATCTTCTCTCCTTGATCTCAAACAGCGCGCGTATCGAGGCAATGCTGATAGCCGAGAGCAACGACGTGGCCGTAAGTAAACTGTTTTTCCTAACAAACCCCCCTTCTCCTCTTCCCCCTTTTTCGAGACCTCTCCTAATTCCGTCTCGCTAACATGCTATCTCAAACAGCACCGATACAGATGGGACCGAACTCGCCTCCACTATACCGGACACAACTGGCCCCAGAACGTCCTGCTAAAGAAGATCCTCTCCATTGCCGACTGGGTCCATCAGTGGAATAACGGAGTCCTAGATCGCGTCATGGCCCATGAACTTCAGTACCCTCGACGTTACAACCCGGATCCTGAGTCGTGGCCTCAAGAAGACCTCGCATTCCTTGATGAATCAGCGAACCACAGCCGAGAGATTTACCTTATCCCACGGGACGGATTTTAACTATTTGTCCCCAGAGACCTCCCGGTAGTTACAGAGCGACGGAATTCATCAGTATGATTCCCCTATAACCTAAGATACTACATATCATTACTAATAAGAAACTCTTAGGTTACTAGCAGATACTCAGCCTGAAAAGTGAGCACAATACTCTTGAGCACAAATTATGGGAACATAACGTAGCGAAGATGAGCAGAGGGCTTTGCGGCTATTAGTACCAGTTGCCATGTTTATTGCTTTAGCTTCCTCTGCTATCAAGTTTCATATGTCAACTTTTCCGTTACGAACGAGCCCGAGGCGAGCAATAATGCATCTGTCCAGGACCATATCTTTCCCAGCAAAGAATAAAGATATGTAGCAGTGTATGTAGCGGTGAGGAAGGGGGCGTTCCTGTTTCTTAGCACACTATGCAATTTTGTCTCCCACAGAGACACTTTCAAAATACTGATTACTTCTCTCCCTACTTAATTCCTTATGCAGTGAACGTGATTGAAAGTGTGTAGTAAATGTCTTGCAGGATAATGACTGCCCACCTCTCTCGTTCTTGAGTTCTTGAGGCTTTCCTTGGGTATTACCTATAACTTACTTTGGCCTATTCATAACAGAGGAGACATGCTACGGCTAGTTATACGGCTTGCCCCTTTTGCTCGAACTATTACTAGAAAGATATAAGCAAAATATCAAGCTACCCTAGACTCGCAAGTTCCAAGATGAAATAATCTCCTCCTAAGTCCTACCATTGCCATTTTTGACCTCACCAGCTGTGATACTTAGCCCCCCCCCCCCCCTATTATGTCAGGCGATACTCTAGCTCTGTTCCCTCAGGGAGTACTCTAGACGTCTAAAAGCGCCAAAGATGCGCGTTGTATATACCTAGGTAGCATACAGCAGACAAATAGACGTAAACGATTTCATCATCATACTTAGCCCCTTTGAACAGTTGTCGCAGATAATTAATAAGTGCTAGTCAGGTAGAATATTGTCGCACCTGAATAAGAGACAAGTTTCTATATCTTGATAAAATGATAAAATAACATAGGATTAAAAATCTTTCAGCTATGTACAGAAACTAGATACTCACCAAAACCACACAACTAGAATAGAGTAGCAAAATCAAAAGCTACTAAAAAGAACAAAAAATTCGCAAAAGAAAAGCCGACGTGGGCCTGATTCGAACAGACGCTCCCGAAGGAACAAGATTTCTAGTCTTGCGCATTAGACCACTCTGCCACCACGCCATTGGTCATTAAAAAGTAATCCATTACGCATATTTATATAGTATGGTATCTGGAGGGAAGCGCTAGCAAATTGTGAACATGTGGCACATATGATTGGTGGAAGTATCCGCAAGTGGATCCAGTAGCCATCCCTCTTGTATTTCCTTGGTTGAGATCCGGATAGTAGAAAAGGTAACACTTAGCAATGTGCCCAGTTGAAGAAATACGTGGTAATTTTGCTATTAGTAATGACTCTCTAAAGACTACACTGTAAGGTAGAATGCCAATGCGCAAAAACATCCATATAGACTAACCATCTGCCCGTTAACTGCTTTTTACCCTATAAAGTTTAAAGCCCAACCTGCCTCAAGTGAATAGGGGTAGTAATGCATGCTAATATGTTATTCTGGATATAACCCATGCTCGTAGAACATTACTACCTTAGCCTGCGTTATCAACTCCTTTTCAGGCTTTCCAGGCACTCCCTAAGCCACAAAGCGAATAACATCATAAAACTAATCTCCTACTCACCACCTAAGCATCACACCTCATCCTGACCCAAACCTCTCCCTCGCAATCCTCTTCAATACCTCCATCGTAATATCCTCCTTGCGCCTATACTCCCTAACCCTACCCTCCCTCTCCGCAGCCTTAATCCTAGCCTCCTCCTCTCTCCGGACTTCCCGCTCCGTCTTCCGCCTCTCGGCCACCGCCTTCAGACGCTTGTACTCGGCGACCGAGTCTCCACCACCCATGAGCTCTGCTTCGCCGACCTCCGCGCCACCCCCGGGCGACTTGTCCCGGAATCCGCGCATCTTCTCGTTGACCTCGCGTTTCTTCTCCAGCTGCCGCTCCCGCGTCCCGGGTTCTGCTCGCGGAACTAGTTCTTCGAGGCGCGCACGTTGCTCGGTGCGGTCGGCTTTTCGTGCCAGACGGAGGTCGGAGATATGCTGGGTACGCTCCTCTTCTGCGTTCTCGCGTCGTAGGTCTAAGTCTTGCCGATTGGGTATACCTGGGCCGTGTCGCGTAGAGCGGGTAGCATCAGAATGATCGCCGGTATAGCTTTGCGCAGGGGCTGACCCTGGTAAAGTCGGTCCATACCCATCGTCGTCTTCATCTTCATTTTCCTCCCCTCCCGAGAGTATCAAGCCACTACCCCCATCAAGCCTGTCGCGATTCTGTCCGCTCGGCCGCTCCGATGGCGACGTCACGGAGACTATCCTATCTTCCCCCAAAAATTGTGTACCAGCGCCAGCGCCAGCCTTCTTCGCTTCGGAAAGCGTCTCAGGACTATACCAACCCTCAGCCAGCTCCCCACGGTTCCACTTGCCGACAAAGCTCTTCCAGCGACCCTTAACTTCCCTCTCGTCCAGCGCCGCGATGTCCTTGCATTTCTGCACCTCGAGGTATTGCGCAAATAGAGGCTTGAAGGTCTTGAGATCGGAGCGGACTAAAGGCCTCGCGCCTAGTGGGAGCTCGCTTTGGGTATGGGTGGCAGGGGTCGAAGAGCGGTGGCGCCTATGATGGTGGTGGTGATTAGGCGTATGATGGTGGCGTCGTGCTGAAGACGTCGAAGGTGAGCGCTCGAAAGGGATAGAGTTGGTACGATGTTCTCGTCTAGAATGTCGATGGTCATCATATCGGTGCTCGTGTCTACTTCCACTCCCCCTCTCATAATCGTCGTATCTCTGCTTGACACGTTTCACGTCATCTGGCTCGTGCTCGTCTTCCCCACGCGTTCGCTTATGATTCGAATGACGTCGGTGGCCTCCCAGTCCGCGGTCTCGGTAGCCGCTAGCATCAGCCATTGATGCAACGATAGCAGCCGCACGGGTATAAATTAGGCGATCAAGTAGGATTCATATGCGTCCGAAGCCGCAGTAGAGTGACCCCTGTTGGTGCTGTTCTTCGTTAAAGGACATTGTACATTCCAATATATTGGATGTTGTATGTTGTATGTTGTATGTTGTACAAGGAGAACAGGCTAATAATAGTGGACGTTAGGTAGTAAGCCGGGGGATTGCCCACTGGCTTATTTCTAGGTTAGCAAGGTACCACCTGTCAGGCATTTGTGCCATGTGCCATGTGGAATGTTGTGGGTATTAAATACATCTATGCATCTGTATGACACTTACATAAGCAGAAATGTCCATCAAGGTTCTCACGTATTTCGTACTAAAGTATAGAATTATTTCCTGGTAAAAAACTTACATGACCTCTATGGTAACATCCAACTTACTTACCTAATGTATTAATGCCGATTCATCATAAGTAATTCAAAGCCCATATTTAATACAATTCTTATATTGTACGAAACTGTGTCGCTGCGCTATGTAGTGGAGGAGCATATGTATCTCATGACGCCTAACTGAAGTAAAAGACTTGGGAAAATCCGCAAATAAGTCGGCCAAGCTCCTACCCGTATGTATACGGCCATTTCCCATCAATTCGTATCTCCTAAATTACGTATCGAACATCTGTCACACCGCGAACCCTGTACGTAAATCTGCGCCGAGTCTTACTTGTCACGTCTTACAACGTCTTATAAAAGTCCCCAGGCACGCGGCAGGCCAGCCGGTTGAGCGCCGACTTGTACAAAACCGGCGTAGGACGTAGACAGTCTAGGCCTGGATTCTATTCGCCGAACCACAATACAGACCCCATCGTCCCGGAAGACGCCAGGATAGCCGATTGGGGGTTCGTCGACGATAGAAAACCCCCGCTAGGTGGGGGTATGCCAACATATAAACATCCGCTAATTCATCGAGTGAATATCGACCACTTGATCCTCGAAATTCAGTCGAATTCGCTATCGCAGGGTCCGCATAGTTGATGTTTATCACTATCCATAGTTCGTAACAATCCCCATAACCTCATCTCCGAACTGTCGTCCCCGTATATGAAATGTTTCATGTTTCCCGCCCGTTCCCGTAAATATATACGTCCTTGACTTCCTATATACGTTCGAATGTTCTGCTCTCGTGGGCTTCATCCATGATCCTTGGGGATATTAGTTAATCTATCGCATTATCGCTTTCGCTAAAGGCATCATACAGTTGGACGCCAGTCCATACGCTAGAGAAATAACCACGTTATCCCTTTTCCTTCAGTTCGGGGTCTTATCCTGAGACCCTCCGTGCATCTTCGCGTCCAGTGGGTCTCGGTGAATCATACAATTAACACACGCGCAGTCATCGCCACATCCGCACATCCCATGGCCGTAATCGACGAAGAGAAATTCGCTAGGCGATAGATTTAGATCATTCGTGCCCGGCGACTCCGTGTCGGCTGGGCTGTGCGTCGGTGGTGGTGATGCTTCGCCTACCGCTAGCGGCGGATCCGGTATTGAATTGCCCGTATCAATCTTTCCGTTCACGGGCTCTTCCTGAAAGGCCATGACATCGCGAATATACTGACACGTTGCTTGATTATAGGGGTGGGCAGGGCATCCAAGACAGTCGCATTCAGGGCCACAGTGGCATACGTGACTCGTATAGGAACCCGGAGCACCTCCATTTGGTTCGACTTGAGGTAAGAGGTTTGCCACTAACTGTTCCCATTGCGACTGCTGTAGCGGGAAATGGTACGTCCCAAATGGGGCCTGTTCTGAGTATAGCGCTGGTTGATGAAATTGGTCCATCGGATATATTTGTTGTTCAGCCGACACTTGCGGCGGAAAATGCGCAGTCATAGAGCTGTTACCTGTGGGGATCTGGGATATATAACCCATCATATTTGAGGATTGTTGAGGTCCAGCGTGAAGTTGGTTTTGGAATTGAATATGAGTCTGTATCTGTGGAGGTTGTTGTACTCTCTGTACCCTCTGAGAACAGCAGCTTCCGGTTTGTTCCAAGGGTAGTTCTTGCGAAGAATCTCCAGTACTCGAAGTCGGCGTGTGGTAGGGTGAGCTCGATGCACCAGATGTCATCGTTTCCGAACTAACTGTTGAATTATTCGAACGGTCTGGGATTCCGTTTCTGGAAGATTGTGTCGGCGATATATTCGACAGGCCGTTGTTTAGAGAAAGTAAAGAGGAGTCCAATGGCCTGCCTAGACGAGAAGCTATCTGCGGATATGAGGGATACTGGTGACTGCCATTTTGTAAGGGCGGGATGTAATTCGTATAATCGGCGGAAGAAGCGATAACATTCGCGGGAGATGCCGGTAAACCACTACTCGCGCCAATCAAGTTCAGACTGTTAGCGTTCATGCGCTGTAGAGCGGAAGCGGAAGCATCAGTAGACTGTTTTCGGTTTGGCTTTGCTGTCGGCTTCTGAATTCGAAATGATGCTTGTTTCGTAGGCGATAGCGGCGGATTATCTGATGGCTCTGCCTTGACGATGGCCGGCGTGCCGTTAGTCTTGCTAGGCGGACTTCCACCGCATCGACATGAGCCTCCTTTAGGGAGCGCAGCCGTTACATTCCGACATTGGCACGACTTGCCTGGCGGATGAGGACAGGTGCTCAGCGGTCGACCCGGCTTTCGCACAGGTAACAGCATACGATCCCCCAAATGCGCGCATTTTGTTGATCGATGCCCTCGTATACATGGCTCACTAAAGATAGGAGAAATAGTCAGTGGGTGAAAACAGCCAAGACTCTGCGGGAACCATTCGTTACACAAACCCCCAGTATCAAATAAAGATTGTTTGCTAGGAGAGGTGCCTCAAACTTAGCGTAACAACATGCAACCTTCCGAGACTCCCCATGGGACACTGCGCAGAGACAAACAGCAAAATATGACATTTGACTCACCAGGCCATCTTTTGTCCGTTAATGATAGGCATCTTCCGTAGCGTCGCGCGGCGGTACCGGCGCAACAGAGGCTCGAAAGTATGCTAGACAAGGAAGGTAATAGATCATGTAAGAATTATCGACAGTCCCAGAGACGACTCGTCCCAACTTTACTTTAGAGATTGATATCCAACGTGTTAGTCGGAAGCGAGGCACATTGGGACTTGTCTCATCGAGGTTGTCGCGCGGCAGGTAGTGGTTCTTCTAAGTCGTACTTGCGAAGGCAGGTTAACCACTGTAGCATGAGGTGAAAGTGGCTGGCGTCGTGGAACTCGAGGCTTCGAGAAAATCGAGATGAACTAGAGCGAACGACGCCTAAGGTCTCACAGGGGCCTTTAACAGATAAACTCGAGACCTAGATCGTTATAGGGATGGAGGTGTGGTATAGTAGATATATCAATAAGAGATAGGGTCTTAGAAGCTGCGAGGGTAAACGAATGAAGTGTAATATGTCCGGTAGAGTGTCGTCGACCAATATGGCTGGTATGAATTTGAATACCGAGGCAGAGTAATACAGGTTGGGAATATGACGGCAGTCACTCAACAATAGAAGCCTGGGGTCGGCACCTCGGGGTTCCGTCACAGGTTATGAATATCGGACGGGGGATGAAGGGTCCACGGTGAGACGATCCGGTGTAAGTAACGACTAATACTCTAAGAAGAGACTCCGGAAGGGCAGAGTCAATTTGGAATCTTATGACCGATAAGGAAGAATAATTGTCCAGGGATGGGGAGGGGAAGAGGTTGTTTCTTGTCTGATTCCCACATGTAACGTCTCCAGCCAACAACGTTAGTGGAGGTACCCAAGTAGGTAAGACTGTTAGGTACTTCGAGTCGAGGCTGATGACAAGACAGACCGAATACAAGAAGTCTGTACCGCCGGGGAAAGTCTCAGTCCTGTAGTTTAGATGGCGGTAAGAAAGGGGGATTTATGACCGGGATCCAGGTTTTTAGATGTCAATGTTTTCCAAGAGTCATCAGGACGGTTATAATTGTGTGAAATCCGGGAAAAGCTTCTCTTTTTGTTTTTTGTTTTTCAATGATGGTTGTGTTGGTAGTAGGCGGTTTAATGTTGCTCTCTATATAATACCGGTAAACTGTATGTGAACTATATGTAAACCTGTTAGAGATATTGTACCTCTTGGAGCTTAACGGGTTCGGTTTCGTCTTGTAGGCTTCAGCGGAACCACCAAGTTTGACCAAACCGTTTCCCAGTGAAGCATACCTAAAGGTCCCACCACAAGGAAATAGTCGGTTTAGACCATAATAAGACCACAAAATATCTACCTAAGTATGGTCTGAACTCTCTAGGAAATAATCAAAGGGTCAAAGGATATTAGCAAAAGTGAAAGATGATTGGGATGGTGACTGTCGTGTTGTCTGTGGGGGTATCCCAAAAACGAGCAAGTTTTGATTGGCTGCTTGGCCCAAATGGTGCTGACTTCGAGTTAGATCCTTCACTTTCCCTTTCCTCTTGGACAGGGATTATGCTATGTACATAATATAAGTACATAAAGTATATGTATGTGTTAGGTACTATATGTACTATGTACTGCAGAACGCGCTAATCGGGGGAGACGGGAGCATTAAAAGGGTCCTGCAGAAGATGCGTATCATCTACATCCAATGGCACTGTTAATGAATGACCATAGAGTCAACTTTATGGAGGGGCTGAAAGGGAGGGGCTCGCAACCAAAAAAAAAACATGAAGTTGAATGGTCTTGGGGAACGTGGGGCTAAAAATCTAAAGCACGTAGGTACCTTGTAGACCTTAGGTAACTTCCTGCCCTTAGAATTTTTACAGTATAAAAAAAAAAGGATACGTCATCTGGTCACATATCGGGTTTTTTTCTTCAAGCTTGCTTACAAGGCGTTTTCGGCACTTGCTAGCTATTGATATTCAGGCAGGTACAGTACGGGCTTATGATAGCACGAACGATAAAATGCTATAATAAGAGTCAACCTCTTTCCTATTCGGGTATGTCCCCAGTGTCAAAAAGCCTCAACCTTATTAAGTGCCTAAAATGCAATGCAGAACTTTAGAGGATTCCTGACGACAAGTACATAACCTTACGTATATTACTCGCTTACAAGTATAAGTACATAATCAAAGATGCGGCTCTTCGAGAAGAAAATACGTGTATCTATCTATCTATCTTAAATCTACCTAATTCGATTTTAATTACTTCAATTCCGATTACCTTCAGAAGAAACAAAGAGTTCAGCAGATTTATAGCACGAAAACTAATAATTAGTAATGACTGAAAAAGACCAATAGATATTGTCAACTACCCACTCGTAACTGTTATACAAAACCTGAACCTCGTGAGGCACATATACATTACCAACTCTTTCTACTATCTCATACATACCTATCTACATAATACATCTTATTACTTAGTTACTAGTAACTATATAAATCTTACATATCAGTTACCCATGCTGAAGTCATCGAGCCCTGCATAATCCGATATATAGGTACTCACATATCGCGGCGTAAGCTCTATCGAAACGAGTTATAACAAGCTGTTTGTATTCACGCTCGGACTAGTTACATGGTATAAGCCAGCATACGAGGTAAAACACCAAACTAAATATACGCTGTAAGGGGGACTCAAACATATACGTGAGTGATTCTGACGAATAATATCATTGTTGATATAATCATTGTTAGATATTATTGCATGTACAACATGCGCCTCTAGTTCTGCAGATCTAATATGAAAACTAAAAACTCGGATATCAAATCATAGTCCCGCAGCACTAAGTGACATCTGACCTCGATCAGATTCGAGATTCGATACCGCCGGAATGGATAACCGAAACCTAATTTTATCGAGCTCCGGGATGATTCCAATTGGCCCATCTTATATGGCATCTCGCGTGCTTCCACCTCCGGGATTTGTAATTACCCTAGACCTATTTGAGAAAATCATCATAGCTACCTTACTGGCTAGCCATTGGCGATGTCGCTATTTCTCAAGTATCAAGGTAGATATCATGCTCGAATTTTACGTTTGCTAGCAAACTAAAATCTGTCGAGTTTCTTGCTTCCCTCGCACAACGTCTCGTCCCAATCCGCCGGTAGAATCTACCCCTAACCCCAGGGCCGCTCTTAGAGAGATGATATTAATCACTTTAGATCAATGCATGTATCATCAATGTAGTACCAAATACAAACGTACTGTCTCACGATGTTACCCCTGATACCTTGTTCACTATCTGGCTGGTTAATAACGCTCATACCCCATGCCTTCATGTCTTGTAGATACGAAGCATCTGTTACAGAAGGGGCGTATCCCCGTGACTGTTTAAACCATTATGTGTGTAGTTGGCGAATCGTAGAGGGTCTGCTAAGAATTTCTAGTGACCTGAATAAGTATACCGAGTAGATAAGCGTCATCGTCATGGCACATAGCCATTAGTATTTTTAGTGAGCTTCAAGTACGATATAAAGCCATTAACAGATCCTACTTATCAGTCACTCTATGATTGATAAAGGCGACTGCATTCCAATGTAAAGCACGGTCCAGGCCTGACTCTCCTAACGTGGGACCTATATGTGCACAGGTAGGCCTCGATTTTGTTGATAGCCCCAGTTAGTTGTCGATGGTGTACGAATAGGATTGACTCCGTCCCTTACGCTGCCACATCATTTTCCATTGTCGGAGTTATCAGAGTCTGCAAACATATCGACGGCTCTCATACGCCTCCTGGACTGGGTCCCAGCTGATTGCTCCTTAGACAAGCTACTTGAACCGGCATTTCCAATATCTTCGGCATATTTTCCTTCACCACTTTGACTACCCTTGTCCGCCGTTTTACCAGCGGGGTTATCTCGTTCCGCATCTTTCGTTTCACTTTCGTCCATGGGTTCTCCATCTTCACTGTCATCCATTGGGACGCCATCGATATCGGTATCCAGGTCCGCCTCGTCCATTGACATATGCTCATCCATCGCCTCACCATCCACATCGTCAATATCCATCTTAGCGGCCTCGTTGTCATACCGCACTTCCCCAGCTGCAGGCAGAGGCACGAACCCTTTCCCTTCGATTTGCGTAGTAGCCAAGCTACCGGCTTCCACAGTTTTCCATTTGCCTTTCCTAGTGGTCTCATCAACCTGTTCCTCCTTCTTCGCACTTGGGGGGTTTTCAAATGTCTCATTGAAGAGCTGTTGGCTCTCGTGCGGAAACGCGCACCATCCTTCCCACAACCCCAATACTAACTTAACACTTCGTTTCCATTTATCTGCTCTCAGACGACCCCAATTGAGGCGTTCTGCTGTAAGGCCTAAAATCTCGAAAACGTCGTTATTTTTAAAAGATACCTCGAAGAGCTGGCGGTACCTCCAAGCATGCCGAACCCCGCTGGTGGCGGATGACGAGAGAATATCGCTCACGACATACAAACCAATAAGACTTGCAGCACTCGTATCCTGAGTTTCGCTTAGCTTTGCGTTTGCGTCGTCGGGAAAAGGTGTCGAGTTGAGCGACTCTCCGTGGTCCTCTCCATTTTTACTAGGTTTCCCATGCTCTGGGTTTGCCAAAGTTAACGCAAATGGCTTGATGATGTTGGCTACGATCATGTTTACAATTTCATCTGCGCCTCTGCTCGCATGGGTAATAGCGAAAGTTGTTACCCTAGCAATATCGCCCTTCCGAATCTTTGATAATGTCGTCGGGAGACGAGCTAGCAAGTGTGTCAATCTTGTTTTGTCGAGCGGATTCAAGTAAGTATTCTCGTTATCGCTACCATCTATCGGCTTGTGCCCTTCATCCTCATAGTCTTCTTCGTCAGAAGAGTTGTACTCCGAGTCTGATACGAATTCGTCGATAGCAGTAGCATATTCGTACGGCAAATCCTTTTCAGGTACCCTCCAAGCATGGCTACCTTCGAATAGTGGTATGTATTTCCCCTGTCGGCCAACCTTGGCTTGGCCGCCTGTGATCACCTCCCAGAGTCGCCACCGATACCAGACACCACCTTCACTACGTGCATCCCAGAGCCAGGCCCATTTCTCTTCTTTTTGTACATCGGGCCGCGACATCAAAAGGGCTTCGAACTCTGGGCCATGAGCTAATACAGATTCAACGACTTTATGGATTAGTTGAAGTTGTTTGATATCTCTCGGCGCTTGTACCGGGACATGAAAGATAGTTCGACTTATTGGTCCTCCCCCTGTACTATAAGACGTTGGCGGAGCAAACCCACGGTGAAATCCACCCGGATGATGAGAATTACTGTCATTTGCTTGCGGAACTGGTTTTGCGCCGAAAGCATGAGAGGTAGACGAAGACGTGAGACTCGGCGTAGCCATGGTAGATACTACAGCAGACGACAGATGCCTATGTAGCGACAGATAGAAACCGTAACCGAGATATCGATTCTGTAGAGAACTGACCGTCGCGTCGATATCCGTAGCGGGGGTCTCCTTAGACAACGTAACAATGGCGGCTATAGATTTCCTCTCTGTGCTTCCTGCAGTGGGAGGTAAGATCTTCACATTCTCTACAGTCAAGCTCGGTGGCATAAGAGCTTTTATGACTGCAAGAGATGTTCCCGGTGGAAGATTCGCTAGGCGGAGCGTAGGCTTCGCTATAGCCTTTTGCTCGGCCAAGTCCCTCGATCTTGTGTCGCCTTCGTCATCGCTTGCATTAAAAACTTTGGAAATAACTTTAGGTCGTAGGACATGGCCACCATCGCTATCATCATCATCGTGGAATCCAAGCCGACCCCGCGTATTATCTGCGGCTTTCCTATTGAATCCCTGTTGATGGGTGTCAAGTCTCCTCTTGCTACCAAAGGACGTTGGAGGAGGACCCAAAGATCCAGGGCCACTCTTCAAACCTGGCCCACCGCCAAAATGTCGCTTTGGCGGTATTGGTCTACCACCTTCGCGACCGGGAGGACCGCCCTGAGGTCGAGCACCAAACGCGAGTGGCGGACGGGAAGTAGGGCCCGTATTGTCATCCTCATCATCGTCGTGATCGAAACTCTTAACAAAACTCTCGTATACTGCGGCGGTTTCAGCAGCTTCTCTCTTACGCTTAGCCTCAGCATCAGCTTTCTGCTTCTCGAACGCGGATTGCTTCGACGGCTTCTGGAGCTTCGCCTCGACGTCAGGAAAGTCGGTAAGTTTCTTGGAAGACATTGTCGGTAAATTGATTAGATTAGGATTACGTAGGATTTCGCATTTTGTGAATAATTTGGTCTTGCATTAGTTAGTTGGTAGATGAATGGTATGTGGTTGGCGTTGGAGATTCAATTAAAGAAACATTTAAAGGTTGATGAGAATTGAAGCTAATTGGGATGGGTACCTCATTAACACAAGTATTCTGTACATTCTCACATGCCCATGTACCTAGGCACTTACATAATACTTGCATATATGCGCGCCGGTACCTAGGTACATAGCATACGGTGGATCATCTCCACGATCCAATCCAATCGTAAGGTCAACAAAATTATCTTACACTTACATCTAACAGTATCTGGTCAAATTAAGGGCGCTATTCAAGATATACCCTAGCCTAACAACATTCGAGTGTGGGATATCTCCACCTGGTTTCCACATCGGCGCCGATGCGGGGAGTATGTATAAGAAGTTCAAATAGTTACTAACTATATATAATTCATAGTTCAGATCTTAGTCGAATATTATCATATTATCAAATTATCATTGTTAATATCTTCGTAACTCTCATACCTTTTTCTTAAGAAGTAATTATTATGCCACTAGCAACGCAAGTATCGCCGGAAGGTTTGTCTATGACTCAGGTTCTATCATGTCCAACCCCAGTCCTCCAAGATATCATTCTCGATCCAGATATGGACCCCAAGCATGACCCCCCTACTAGCATCTTGATCATAGGTGCCGGGGTATTCGGACTCAGCACAGCCCTCGCGTTGACCAAGCGCCCGGAGTTCGCATCTACCTCTATAACTGTCCTGGACCGGTCCCCAGAGGCTGGGGTATTCCCATCCCGTGATGCTTCCTCTATCGACTCGTCGAGGATCATCCGGGCCGATTATGCAGACCCGGACTACGCGGCGTTAGCATCGGAGGCACAAGCCCATTGGCGGCAGACCGATCCGGCCTCTCTCGGTGGTGAGGGCCGGTATACTGAGTCTGGATTCATACTAGGAGCCGACTCCGGGCCGCTGGTGCGTGATAACGGGTCGTCAACCGGTCTTGCCTATGCTAAGAAAAGCTGGGTGAATGCAATGGCGCTCGCGCATAAGGAAGGACGACCTTTAAGCTCAATTCGCGTTTTAAAGAACCCGTGGTCTGTCGGCAGTATGTAACGTTGAGACCCCTTTTCCCCCTCTCGCCTAAAACTAGAGCCGACGTTTCTCTATCAGGCTAATCTAGGAGATTTTATTCTTTTACATAAACCCCTTTAAACTCCTTACCAGAATGAGAATAAATATTAACTCTCTGATACAGTGGTATCTGGCACGGGAGGCGAGTTCGCTTACTGGGGATACCTAAATACTGCGAGTGGTTGGGCAGACGCTGAAGCGAGCATGAAGTGGTACTACGAGCGTGTCACTGCCACGGGTCGCGTAACCTTCGTCAACGGGACGGTTGAAAGCCTCGAGACAGACGAATCGTTAAGGAGGGTTATCGGGGCGCGACTTAAGGACGGTAGCACGTTATCAGCCGATCTCGTAGTCGTCGCTGCGGGTGCCTGGACACCTACGCTGGTAGATCTCTCAACACAGGCCGTGGCCACCGGCCAGATTCTAGGTTATATGGACATCACCGAAGAGGAGCAGAAGAGGTTAGAAAAGGTTCCAGTGATGCTAAACATATCAACAGGTCTCTTCGTGATACCTCCGCGCAATCGTGTGCTCAAGATTGCAAGGCACGCATATGGATATCTAAATCCCAAGCCGGTATCAAAACCGCCTCTAGGAGTTCCCGGTTCGACAACGCCGGAGCTAATATCACAGCCGTATACGCATCTCGATGATGCAGGTCTCTCAATTCCAGCTGATGCAGAGAAAGTACTACGGGATGGTTTGCAGAAAATAATACCTTGGCCGGAATTACAAAACCGACCTTTCTCCCGAACTCGACTCTGTTGGTATACAGATACCGAGACGGGGGATTGGATAATAGATTACCATCCATACTGGCAAGGTTTGTTTGTTGCTACAGGAGGGAGTGGACACGCATTCAAATTCTTGCCAGTTATTGGTGATAAAGTAGTAGATACCATTACGGGAAAATGCTCTGAAGAACTTCGGAGAAAATGGACATGGAGGTCCTCAAATACTACTAAGATCATAGCAACAGAGGATGGGAGTCGGGGTGGACAGCCCGGACTAACACTAGAAGACGCGATGAAAAAATAAACCTACATATCTAATTTAACTAGGCAAATCACAAAGATCATAAGTCAAAATACGAGAATGCCAATTATGAATCAATGGGTGAATAGATGCATATTTTACCTGAGGAAGAACCTCAAGCAACAATAATCCATATGAAGTCCAAACGGTGTTCCGTAACGGATCGTGAGGAATACGCAGGATGTTACTAAGATGTCCAGACGGATCATGACGCATACAACCAATATCACCCCTGTCCTCAAACTCTGCGGAGTGTATCCGCCAAGATGGCTCGCATCCACCTCATTACCATCCTCGTAATGCAACCACCGATACTGACAAGTAATTCGGGGTATCACAACCTCCACCGACGCCGTACTATCAATTGTACAGCCCTACTCCTTTGCGCGAATTAATACGGCACCATCGACCTGCGCGAATGCCGCCGGAAAGTATCACGGTGCAATCTAAGCCGCTAATCCGGATCTGAAGAGGGTTTTCTTTTTTTTTTCCTTGTGATATAAAATCATCCTTATTCCTTCCAGTGTAATAGGTCCTTCCTATGTTAAACGCCGATGCAATGCTATGTGGGAAAACGACAATGATACAATAATTGACGAAAGTCCATGGGCTTGGTCTACCCAGAACGACGTCGTGACTCGTAAGGCGAAGATCATAAAATCATAAAGAGTCGGTTAATTTACAAATCCCGAATGGGCACCGAAGGGAAGAGTCTAGTGACAAGGGCGGCTCGAAGAACACGTGTCAACCATGACGTTAATATGTTAAAAGACTCTAGACCTTGCGGAAATCTAGACTATGTTAGTAACAGAACATAAGTATAGGGCACAAGCTTGGTAACACTCACCTTGCAGAACGGGGTAAATCATTTCGAAGGCCTGATAAATTTCTTCTCTGACTTTCGCTCCGGTCAAAACAATCTTACCGCTCACAAAGATCAGGAGAACAATCTTAGGCTTAATCATGCGGTAGATTAGACCAGGGAACAACTCAGGTTCGTAAGAACTGAAGTTGTGATGGCGCGAAGCAAGACCCTCAAGTCTAATGGGAAACTTGATATCGCAGCTGCCAACGATATTCTGGATCTTGAAATCGCTGAACTTGGCATTGAAACCGAGCTTCTGGATGATACGAGCATATTTACGCGACGCGAGCTTCGAATCATCTTCCGACTTAGCGCCCGTGACAACCATCTTGCCTGAGGCAAAGATCAACGCCGTAGTCTTTGGCTCGCGAATGCGCATAATAACGGCAGCAAAACGCTGGTGTTTGTCAGCAGAGCTCTTTCAAAAATAAAGGATTAGATTCACAGTACCTTCGGGTTGTACTCGGCATTGCGGGCATGCAGGGCAATCGTCTTCAAATCCAACCGGCACTCAAGGTTGACAGTTGCGACGATATTCCTTTATCATGCGCGGTGAGTTTAATGTCTATAAAAATGCGACATAGGTTATACATACTGCAAGGTAGGAGTCAGCCCACTTCCTCCTTGGACAGCCGCAGGCGTAGCAGCGGGTGTGGCGGGAGTCACCCCGGTACCGTTTGCAGCCTGCTGAGGAGCGCCGTTTACGGGTCTCTGGCCGTTCGCCTTCTCGGCATCGAACGAGGGCGGAGTGAGATCACCAGCACCACCAGGGAAGGATAGAGAACCAGGCGCGGTAAAGGCCTTAGCCTGTGCGGCAGTAGACGGGTGGGTATGAATGGTTTCCATCTTGCAAATGCACGCTCAGGCTTTTTAAAGTTGAGCGGATCAGAAGTACAGACCTAAAAGATCTAAGCGGTTAGAAAATAGTTTCCAAACAATCAATGCCCACTGGAATCAAAAAAGCGCGCGACCAGCGGAAGATTGAATAGGGATGATAGAAAAAGATAAGACAGTTATTAAATGCAAGGTTGATGCTCGGTTTAAATAGAAAATAAAAATTTTCTTCCTGATTGGTGAATCAGGTGTCAATGAATCAGGTGTAGAGGGGCAACGGGGCGACAGTGAGGCAGGTGAAAGTGGGGGGTTGCTAGGTACTGAAGGATTGATATTGGAAAGTGGGAAAATAAGGCAGTTAAGATACCCAATCAGGGCTGATTTCTACAGGTATGTTTGGTCTCCATTGTATCGAAGAAACTGACTTCGTACTAGGGCAAATAAATGATAAGAAACAGGCAGCCTTACCAATTAATGTGCTAGAGATAAACAAGTAAATGTCTCCCCAACACAGTAGAGGCTAGTACGACGATACGGTCGATGGATCTTTCGATCTGTTGACCTGAAAGCACACACACGAGATGTAGATATCAGATGTCAAAAGTCACTTCCCGACCAAATCGGAGAGGTTCGTGAGCTTTACTTCCACTGATTCGAAGCGCAAGATATACGAGTGACTGTCGAGGTCGAGGGATCTAAGGTAGGATTCGACGACAACGACGGACGGTGGAAACTCGGTCTCTCGCAACGACGGTATTGAGGGAAAGGCAAATCCTCAGCCTTGCGTTTTTCTTCAAAACTCGTCTTCTATTGTTGATCTATCTTCTTCTTGGCTACACAGCACCGTGATCCGTGCGTGTAAAATATGCTCGAGATCAGGTGAGACGGATTTACTCTTCCTGATGCAGATGCTCGAATCCTGAAATAGGCGAGCAACTGGTATACACAAAGGACCAACCTAAAGGATGGTTATCTTCGATTTTACTTGTGTCGCCTGTTTGCTTAATTTAGCGAACAAGTACGATAACACAATGACAACTTCGATTTGGCCCCAAAGCAGACGATGTAGCTAACAATAGTCCGCGGTGTGACGTTGAAGTGATGAAGTGAGATGAGAAGAACGCGGGACGCGGGGTAAAAATGTAGGGATAAGGTATTGTAAGGTACGTACTCTCTCAATCACTGTTAGAAGGAAGGTGGGGTCCCAACAATGGTGACGCGGTTATGAGAGAGTGAATAAAAAAAATATATTACGAGGGTCAAACTCAATTGACAGGCAATTGCTGACAAAAGGTCTGGTTTGTGGCTGATGCACTTTTTGTTGTGGCTGAGGAGAATTATGAAGAGGGGACCTTCGGGTCGGGGAATCCGCGCGCAAGAATTTTCGAAACATTGAATTTGAGGGGGAGCTGGCCAATTTATAATTTTTGGAAGCAAGCACTCTCGTGCAAGTGCGCATTGACTTTTTAGGTAGGTACGCCCCAGTGTGGCGGAAACCTACTACCCACTGCTCCCTGCTTCCCTTCCTTAGCGGCCACGCTAGCATTAATGCGTCCAATCATGTCTCCTCCCTCGTCCCTTATTTTATCTTCCTTAATCTTTTTCTTTCCTTGCTCGTCACTCTAAGTTCTTACCAAGTCTTTCTCATGTTCCTCGTCATCACACTATTTCTTCTACGCAACCTTCCACCCCGTGCACATTCGCGTCCGTATCAAACACGGCTTCTCATTCTACATCCTACACGATCTAAAGAAGTTTTCTTATGTTCATTTGCACCTTGCTCTCCTATATTATAATATTTACTAATATTTAGGTCAATATTATCATTATCGACGAAACTCCCGTCCTGCTTTCGTGGCTGCAGAAACCCATGACTCGGTCCATTCAATACATCCACAACCTACGCAGAAGCATCGTCAGTCCGTATTACGGCTAGCAGTTCGCACTGGGCTCGGAGCTATTGGATAGCCACCAGTCCAGGCTCCTAAAATCTTGACGGGTGGGTGTGAGCAGGACGGAGTTTTAGACCCCAACCATACCACACCCTGCGAGCCTGGTTTACCTGCCACCCCTAGCCCTCTTCTTTCTCCCTGAAACGCACACAATGCCTCCTCTTTTACCCCTATTATCATGCTTTTTGTGTTTTGATTGACGCTTGGCCAGTATCTCAGATTTTGCTCAGCCTCCACAAGAATGCATATCTGTTCACATTCTATTGTGAATGGAAAACCCCAAACAATGGTTCAGGAGAAGATTACGTGGATTAACAAGCTCTTTTTTTTTCTGCTCCGCGAGTAAACGAGACGGCAAATTGTTAGGTTGTGCTGCTGTCGCACTCGAGCATCCTACAAATTTTATTTTATCCCTCTTTTCTTTGTTTGGCTGTGATGATCCCTTTTTCGTGGATCAATTGCAGGTCTCATTTCGGTGGTTTCGGAGGTACCAGCCGCAATCGCAATCAGAGAACGCCACCCTTGACCAACACATTTTTTTTTGTCATTTTTCCTTTTGTTTTTTTTTTTCTTAACGCTTTTTCCATTTTAGGAATGGAAAACGTATTGAATCAACCACAAAACAAAATCTTGCTCATCGAACAACTTTGCGTTTTCCGAAGCTGAGTTTGCTAGAATAACCTGTTCGAAAAGCTAGAGATTATTATCTTCGCACTTATCCTTTGGGGATATGCGCTACCGTTTTGGTTGAGAACTAAAGCGACACGATACTTGATCTCACTCTTGTGTTCGCCCCCCCTTGTTTTGGTATCCATTTTTGTAGTTTCGTATTCTATCGGTCTGTCGGTGCACAAGGCAAGACCTTGTTCTAGTACACAGTACTAGGTAGCCTTCAGGCAAATCCCTGCCAGTGGCCACACGCATTATTTTCTACCTAAAGGAAAAAATTGAAAAAAATTGAAAATGAAAAATTTTCAAGGAAATCCTCCCTCGGCTACCAGCCTCATTCAGCTGTACGCTACATACCAACCAGACAAACCAAAGAAAAATTCCTTGTTATGCATCATTTCTTGGCAACCCTTATGACTCATTGATAACCCTTTTTCTTACAGAGTTCAATGCAGCGGTCGGTGTATTTGTCCAGTGCATATACATACTACAACTTAAACTTTTCTTTTTCTTAATGTCGATATGAATTTGAATTATATGGGGTGGTCTTAGATGATATCTCTAAATCCTGTTCTATCGGACTTCAAGTTCGTAACTTCGTATTGCTAAGTTGTGATTGGAATCGTCCGCCGCTGCTGCCTGAGCGCTAATTTTCGCGCTGGTAAGAACGCGATATCCCTGTAAGACTAGGAGGCTTGGCGCTCTCGGTTGGTATGAGATTTGTATGCAAGCGCTCGGTACTCTTAAATCACCTGATGTAACGATAACGGTCTGGCAATGCAAGCTGCACAAATTTGCGGCTTGAACATGCAAGTAGCCTCTAGTAACCAGTATGTATGCACTGTGTTCTTTATTTATTGGTTTCTTGCTTTTTATCGATATAATCACGAGTCTAATATCAATTTATCCCTCTGCACAAGCAGTTGGGATATAACTTCTCAAAGCTCTAACCTAATTGAATTATCAATAATACATAACTGCAGTCTTTTATAGAGTTCTTATCGAGTTGCTGCCGACCTTTACATATTCTTTGCTTTTAAAAGCGCCATGCTTATATACGTACATATAAGTAGTTGTTTTAACTAGTTAACTAGTAGTAAACCTTCAAAGTTATAATGTCGCGGGTACTAAAAGTCTGAAAGTCAATATTAAATCTTACAAGCGCCATAAGTAAGAACACCGCCATACTTTGAAATTTCAATGTAATGTTTGCCCGAGTCTAGGTTAGTTAACTACCTAATAAAAAAAATTGTTCATTATGATGCTACGTAATATTAGTCTATTCTCTTAAGGATATAAAAGCTGGGTAAGTTATATAGGTACATAGTAAAAAGCTAGGCAATATCAACTAAAACATCCGATTTGAGAGTTGATAACATGAGCTATAGCTTTACTGGCTTGCTTAAAATAAATGTTATTTTCTAAAAGTGTACGCCCAGTGAATGGGGCCTGCTGAGTAACAACTGTTATATTATAAAAGTTAAAGTTAAAAAAAAAAAAAAAAAGAAGCGTCAATGATTGGAACAACTATGCTTAACGTAATAGTAGATTCTTGAAAATGATATCATAGTATTATTATACAATTACTTGACGAAGGCGAGACCTAAGAAGCTTATATATATGGCGATTGGGTATATATAATTAAAAAACTGTCGTGGGCACACACATCAACCATCGAAGTATTTTCTATTTCCTCTTCTATCATGGTTGGTGAAGCTATCGCAAAGGTAATGTTTTCATCGTTGAATTAACTTTATACCTCCACTATATCGGACAATTCAACATCTAATTAATTTTGTATAAAGACTTATGCTCACTACCTAAGTAGTCAGTAGAAGTAAATGGTGATGAGTTGTTTATCTTGCATATAGGTAACATTATTGCTATAACACCTAAGCGTCCGTATAATATCATATCATTGTTTTTACTCACATAGTATCATGGCTTCTTAAGTCGTGTTAACCTAATCTATGTGTTATTTTCACTCCGGATAGATCCTTCACCTATTTTAGCGGCATGTATGTTGTTATTTCACTACGATTATTCGTGGGATACTTTCGTAGCCCCCGGTTATTTCTTCAAGCCCCGACAACTATAACAACCTAAATGTTAAGTTTTAAGCAAGACTGTACCTAGCGACACGCCCTAGGAGCCAGCACAGATAAGACCGAACAATATCAAAAGATATTATATCTTTCGTAGGGATATGTGATGCTTTCTAGTTACGGTGTAGCCGTTAGTCTCGTGTGTCGTGGCACATTCCCCACGCCCGATCCACGATTCGTGCACGAGGCCCCTTACTTAAGTCGTATTCCCCTAATACATCTTATATACGGGTATAAGCAGTTTTTTGGAAGTCGTGCAAAGGAAAGAAGCGAGATTAAGATATATCGTGCTTAGTTGTCAATACTTTCCTTCCCCTGTTTTTTACGATTGCATTGACGAATTCTAAATCCTGTATGCCGTGTAGTTTTACAAGTTGTTAATCTGCGCATGTAGCTTCAAGAAAGACTAGTGATAATGAAGGAATGATAACACGTGTTCGTGATGGATGGCGGAGATATTGTATTAGATCGGTTTAACGAAGACAAGTCCGACCGGTCGAAGTCACCGACGCCAAACCCCGATCGTCGTCGGTATGCGGCGGGTCTGCAGACGGAGGTGGGGGTGAAAGAGAACCTGCAAGCCCTTGTACCGTTGAAAAAAACAAAGTGATGATGTGATTAAGTGGGGGGTTTCCACCCAGACGGCTCTGGGGCTTCTAGGCTTTATCAGTTTTCGGAACTAGACCATCTAGACTTCACTATCTATTGGTATAATCGTGTCCATTCACCGTTCGCTTGGAAAACTACCCCTGGCCATCCCTGCCCGTGGCTTTTTATACTCGCTAACGAGCCGCCCACGTCTGCCACACACCCTATTGTTAAAGGCCAGCAGGTTTGAGGCGAATTAGAGATACCTATACATCCCGAGTTAGGATAGACTCCTCAGCCGATCTATTACGGTCTATTACGTATCGGGCAAGATGTCTCGTAACCGAGACGCCTGTTATACGTACGCAGGCGCTTACGGTAGGCGATGATGAAAAGTTGGCAATCTGGGACTGGTCAGAATAGTCGAGACATGTCGGTGTGAATGTGAATTTATTATATTTCGGATCATCCATCCCCATCGGTTTGCTGGCCATATTCTCTGCTAGGTACCTAAGTTACCTGTTATTGTAAACGTGTACTGTACCTAAGAAAAGCCAGCGAATCCCCGTCACCGCTAGTTATATGTATGTATGTATGTACCTTATTGCTTTCTTTCGGCTTCCATTAAGCTTCTGACGATACACGGATAGCCCTGCAAAGCTCCGTTTACGGCGCCGGTCCAAGGTATTAGCTGCGATAAGCGTTACAATACATGCAAACTTCCACTCCACATCTCCTGAGATACATACCCTTTTTGACCTTTTTCTGCTTCACCAAGCGACCTCTAGAGTATATTCCCGGGCCGTCTTTGCGTTCCACTAGACCCCGTATCTACGGAATTGGAACTTTTGCCTTTTACTAATACTTGATCCGGTCGTCTTTATCAAAATCAAGTGGTCACGTGCTTATGCTCTGAGGGTCTGAGGGTGTGCTGTATAGTTTACACGACCGGATTCCTCATCCCTTATTCGATTTTGGGGTATTAGGGTTCGACTTGGATAGCTAAGATCGGGAAGATGACTGTCATCGATACCAGCAAAGATCTATCTGCGTTATTTCTTCAGCAGGTCAAGGCTACCCCAGATGCCGTTGCCCTGGAAGATGGACCCACGACGTTAACTTACGCCGAGCTCGATCGCAAGGTCGATGCACTCTCTACCCGTCTTCGTCACGACGGAGTTGGTAGAGATTCTCTTGTTGGCGTCTTGCTTGGACGGAGTGCAGATTATGTTATTTCCTGTCTTGCTGCGCTCCGTGCGGGCGGAGCATTCTTAGTCCTTGAACTTGCATACCCTCCGAGTCTCCTGGCCGCTGTTATCGAAGATGCAAGACCTACCGTGATAATAACACACATGGCGCATTTTGGCAAGATCAACTATAAGACCCCCCTCATAGTTCTTGATGATAAAAGTTCGTATGAAGATGGAGATGCTCTATCAAATGGAACATCGAAGACGCTACCCCCATTGCCCGCGGAAGATGACTTAGAGAAACTTGCCTTTGTGTCCTACTCATCTGGAACTACTGGAAAACCTAAAGGGATTGCGAATCCACACAGGGCAGCTGTTTTATCGTATGACTTAAGATTTGGAGTCAATGATCTCAAACCAGGCGACCGTGTAGCCTGCAATGTATTCTTCGTCTGGGAGATACTGCGTCCGTTACTGCGAGGAGCCACTGTAGTGACTGTTCCTGATGAGACCAGTTACGATCCTGTTGCTTTGGTTGAATTACTTCGCTCAAAGGCTATCACGGAAACTCTCATGACACCCACTCTGCTTGCAACAGTCCTCGCTCGGCATTCACAGCTTGGAGCCCGTCTCCCAGATCTGCGTACAGTATGGCTCAACGGTGAAGTTGTGACTACTGACCTTGCGCGACGTGGTCTCAAAGCGCTCCCGAAAGCACGCCTATTAAATTGTTATAGTGCTAGCGAAACCCACGAAATTGCTTGTGGAGATATAAGGGATATGGTTAATGACGAAGCTCGCGTCGTCCCAGTTGGTCCTCCCCTGGACCCGGAGCATACATACATTCTTGACGAGGATGGCAAAAAGGTTGAGACGGGTGTTAGCGGCGAGTTGTTCGTTGGAGGAAAACTCCTCGCACGAGGATATCTGAACCTACCGGAAGCGACCGCGAAAGCTTTCACCGACGACCCCTTTAACCAGACATCTGGCGCACGAATGTACAGAACTGGAGATACGGCGCGGTTACTTCCCTCAGGGCTTCTTGAAATTACTGGTCGTGTGGGAGCGATGATCAAGATCAGGGGTTATAGCGTACAACCTCCGGCTGTCGAGAATGCGATAATAAAGCACCTCGCAGTCCGTAACTGTGTCGTGATCGCTCATGGGGACGGCCTCGATCGCCAACTTCTCGCTTATATAGTCCCAGACGAGGATGAGCCTGGCGATCGAACAGTCGTGAAAATTGACGAGGCCGGATTCAGTCCGGTTGCGCGGCGTGCTCTATCGGACCACCTCGCACATTACATGATTCCGGCTCTTTGGGTTGAACTGGATAGCTTACCTACTCACGAAGTGTCAGGGAAAGTCGATCTCAAACGTCTCCCCCCGCCAACTAAGTCGCGAAGTCCTGCGTCGTCGCTGGCACCCCAGCATCGAAACCAGAAAATTACTGTCGAGGACATTGCAAAGATGTGGGCTGCATCTCTTAATATCCCTTATAAATCCATAATGCAACAGGAGCATGACTTTTTCGATCTTGGTGGTCATTCATTAGCGCTCGTCGACCTCGTTACAAGATTTACTGGCACCTATGGCTTCCCCGTGGCTCTGAGCCGCCTTGCTGGTAACCCGACACTAAAGGGACACCTAGAAGTTGTCTGCGATGCGCGTGATGGGCATACTGCATCCGTGCAGGCTGATTTACCTGCCGTTCTACGCGCAGACTCCGTTCTTCCACCTGAGATCAAGCCTTCAGGAGCCAAGATGCAGCGAATTAGTGACGCAGATACGATCTTGCTCACCGGTACAACTGGATTTCTGGGAGCATTCCTGCTTAGCACCATCTTAGAAACTACTTCGGCACAGGTCGTATGTCTTGTTCGCTTTGCGGATCTTTCAAGAGATAACTACTCCGCCGGAGTAGCGCGAATTCGTAAGAACCTCCTCGATTTGGGTCTCTGGAATGACTCAATTCTGGACCGCATAGAGGTTATCCCGTCCAACTTGGCTCGGAAGCGCTTCGGCCTTTCACCTGAAGGCTTTGAAGATTTGGCTTCTCGCGTGCAGGTTATTATCCACTCGGCTGCTACGGTCAACCTTGTATATCCTTATGCTGCTATGCAGGGAGCTAATATTTTTGGTACGAGAGAAATTCTGCGACTTGCGTGCCGAGGAGGTGCGACTGTTCACCACATCTCCACTAATGGCGTGTTGCCGCCATCCGTTGAAGGCTGGTCTGAAGACGCCATGTTGGACGTAGACGAAGTACCCGAGAAATTAATTGACGGATATGGCCAGACGAAGTGGGTGGCAGAGCAGCTTGTCCTCGAGGCCGCGAAACGGGGCTTACCGGCGAGAATATATCGCCCAGGAACTATCAGTGGCCATAGTGTCTCTGGATCATCGAATACATACGATCTCCTTAACGCCCTGATCGTAGAATCGCTTCAGCTAGGACATGCTCCGGACATCGAAGGCTGGTATGCTGAAATGACTCCAGTCGATTTCGTCAGTAAGGCTATTACGTCCCTAGCCGATCTTGTGGACACGGACCAGCGCATATTCCATCTAGGTGACCCATCTCCAGTTCCAACTAAGGATATCTTTGGAATCCTTGGCGAACTTGGATACCCCACAGAACCTCTTGGATGGGACGAATGGGTTGGCATGTGGGAGGAGAAGAGGGGATCTAGCAAGGGAGACAACATTTTTACAGTTGACATTCTTCGTCGTGGTATGCCTACGGTTGATTTCTTGAAATGGGTCACCGTCCTCAAAGATCCGGCAACGGAGCCTGCTCTCGCTAAGACTGGCCTCCAGCGTCCTAAGATTGATAACAAATTGTTCGAGACCTATACTCGGCACTTTTGCGCTCGGGGTTGGCTGCCACGTGCTCCACGACGGACCCAAACCAACGGAGTTGCCAAACACTCGAAACGAGGCCCGCTAGCTGGGCGTGTCGCAGTCGTCACGGGTGCATCGTCAGGCATTGGTGCCGCCGTTGCTACCGCTTTAGCTAGAGAAGGCGCTCATGTGGCTATCGCCGCCCGACGTACCGAGGCTCTCGAGGATCTTAAGAATAAGCTTTCTAGCTCTGGAAGCAGAGTGCTGGTACAGAAGACAGACGTCACAGACCGAAAACAAGTCGAGTCGCTCATGCAGACCGCAACAGAAAAGCTTGGCCCTGTCGATATTCTCGTCTCCTGCGCTGGTGTCATGTACTACACGATGATGGCAAACGTGCACATGGAGGAATGGGAACGCACCGTCGACGTCAACTGCAAGGGCCTTTTGCACTGCCTCTCGTCCACAGTTCCGTCAATGTTGTCCCGTGGTGGAGGTCACATCGTCGCCATCTCGTCGGATGCCGGGCGCAAGGTGTTCCCAGGACTAGGCGTGTACTCGGCGAGCAAGTTCTTCGTAGAGGCCACACTACAGAGCCTACGACTCGAAACTGCTGGGTCCGGCTTGCGTGTGACCTCTGTACAGCCCGGTAACACGGCCACCGACCTTCTTAGTATGTCTACTGATGCCGAGGCTATTAAGAAGTACGGCGAACCGACCGGCGCCAAGGTCCTACACCCCGAGGAGGTTGCTAGCGCCATTATTTATGCCCTGCGTCAGCCCGCACACGTTGCTGTTAACGAGGTCTTGATCGAGCCCAGGGATGAGCCTATCTAAGAGTACGGATATCAGTGACTGCGTTTAGTACGACCCAGGAAAGAAGTCATGCTAAACTGAGAATGGGTTAGGGGGGGAAACTTGTACCACGATCTGGACTGTCAAAAGCTTCTCTGGGGATTTCTTGTTACTTCTTATCTTGTGGGACCTAACTGGTGGCTTTGGTGTAATATTCTTTGCATATTAGCGGCTTCATGACGGTCATGATGATTGGGTTCCTGACTAAGTGTATGATGTACAAGGGGCTCGAGAGGGTAAAAGGGCGGTTATAGAAAAGGTTTGGTGAGAAGTTGAAGAGTGTTATGGCAATAGTAATAAGGTGGATTGTTGTATGATGTACACGAAGATAGGAAGATGAGAACCTAATAACAAAGTAACGTTTACCTCAAGGCCGAGTGTCGAGACTTCATACCTGCTAGAAAGATAGCCTACCAAGGAAAGACACTTGCTCTTAACTTGGGCAAAACAGTAGCTGGCAGAACATATTCACGAATGGTACTGGAACTGGCTCGAAAGCCGGACAAAAATTGGTTCCCACATCCACAACTTTCTATTGGTGTTCTTGTTGCTAACTTCTTTCAAAAGGCGCGGATCGAAAACCCCAAAATCAACCTCTGACACAAAAACGTCAGATTCCTGCGGTGATAATAGTAATACACCTGATCAACATGTCTAGACTTGCTAGAAGATCCTCGGCCGTTGCATCCGTCATTAGCCGTAACAATCCCGGAAAAAAATCCTGATAAACCCCATCTATGACCTAAATTTACAAGATACCCTTAGTTATTTATTCTCTTTAAAAGTTGGAAGCTCTTAGTTAGCTCCTAGCTTTCCTAAGAGACCTTGTAAAAGGCCACCTAGACCGCCCTGTTGTCCAGCAGCACCACCGGCAGCATCGCCGGCAGCGTCACCGCCAAGGAGACCTGCGAGAGGGTTCGCACCAGCAGCGTCACCACCTGCTGCGCCGCTGAGAAGATCCGCGAGAGGGTTTGCGCCGTCAGCACCGCCGCCTAGAAGGCTTCCGAGTAAGTCGGTGAGCTTGTTACCGCCCTGTTGGTCTGCGCCAGCATCCGCACCCGCACCAGCATCTGCACCAGCGTCTGCACCAGCACCGGCATCCGCATTGGCACCGTCTTGTGCATCTTGGGCGTTGTCATTGTCTTTACCCTTGCCCTTCTTGCCGTCCTGCTGGTCAGCGTTGTCGTCTCCTTGGTTGGCATCGCCTGCAGCATTGCCAGTTCCGTTGTTGACGGCGCCGGCCTCGATGGCGGCAGCAGTTCCGTTGTTGGCAGCACCCACGTTGGCGCCGTCCTTGTTATGCTTCTTCTTGGGGAATCTGACATCCAGAGCTGCATATACAATTAGTATTGTTGTGTGGCTAAGATGACTGGAACGGTACATACCGAATTCTCGAGGGGCTCGGACTTGGAGAGCTCCCTGGGGTTGTTGAGTTGGTAAGGCAGCACCGAAAGAGGCGGCTGTGGCCAAAGCCATCAAAATAGCACCGAAGTTCTTCATGTTGAAAAGAGTGTATATCCAGACACTTAACAGAAAGTAAAGAAGGTTGAAATAAAGTTGTCAAGTGACGAAATAATACAGCGTAAAGAAGGTATGAGCACAGCTTCATTCAGTTAGTTTGGACTTGACCATGTTGGATATTCAATTTAACTCACCTCTTAAGAACAAGAAACGACCTAGAAAGGAAAGGTTGACGGTTGAGGCTGATGTGGATGTGTGAAGAAACAAAAATAAGACCAGATTGAACAGCACGGGGAGGCGAGCATTTTATGGACAATTGAAGTTCGAACCTTGGATGAGCTCAACTATCCCATCCCTGATTAACGTGGCATGACAAGGTCTGTGATAGACGGTTACATTCTAACAAACTGGCAGCTAACCCCATAGTCACAAATGATGCTTGTAAACATGACATAGCTTAATAGCTATCTCCATGTACGTTAAGACGGTTATAATATCAATATCAAAAAGGCCTTAAGAAATACAGGGAATAAGGCATGTAAACGAAGCTCCGATTGGGTTGACGAGATTGTAGACCCACCGAGGCCAAACACTTCAAGAAGGCATTCCGTCCCACTCAAAACATGGGGCGAAGTAGAATAAGATGACCGTTTGAGTCCCTATTGCAGATCATACGAGCGATGTTAAAAGAGTTGCAGATCTGGGCCTCCAGATTTGGAGCGGCACCGGGGAGATCAATTAGGAGATCCTTGGGAATCATTAGAGTTGAAACTTGAGATGCCAAGAATGCGTGGGGATATCTTGGTCGCTTTGAGGTTATCGACTTTTCTCGGCATCAGGAGCACCCAAACGTCGCACGGGGCAGATCAAACGAGCCTCAGACAGGCACACACCAGGGAAGCACAGGGGTATTTGACTAGGGTTGCCAAAATGCCAGGAAGCGCACATAGAATCTTGATTTGCTGATAGTAAGTCGGTGTATTTTGTATGGTTGTAAATGTCAAATGTCCCAAGCGTCATGCAGGGTTGACAGCTCACCATCTAAGGAAATAAGACTTCCGGTTGCAGCCAGGAGTCTCTCGAAAGCATTACTAGTCTAGAAACGACCCAGAACAGCAATTAAGTCGTGATTTAGATTTTAGAACCTAGAAAGAATAGTGGCTGTGTCTTTCAAACCTCAAAGTACGGACATATGCGAAACGTATCAGAAGCTTGAATAGCTTCGGTGTAGGCGCTTATAGCCTTTTTTCATTAATGATGCTTTTGAGAATAACTTGGAAACTAACCTTGTTGCCTCATAAAAGTGCTTAATGTTGATACATATCGGTATGGTCTAAGTAATATCGTGGTCTAATATTACTGCCGATCACTAGGACCATGTGCTCTCCGGCAGTCCGCATGTGCATACGGGTGTAAACGTAGATCTTCATTTAGCCCTTCTCATGCGAGAATAGCTTCGCAGAAAGATCAAGCCAAGGTAAATCATGATGTGAAGATAGTCGGCTTGACATGCTGCTGGAACGGCCAAACTAATAAGATTCCCGGGCCTCGAGAACGATCATGGAGATCTATGGTGAGGATGTACATATTAATGCCTTGTCTTATTTTGACTGGTGAATGGCAACTGTACGCGCTTGCGTTCTCGAACATTTGCAACACTACTGAAATTTGTTTATTGCGAATAGTATATGAAGTAAACATACGACGATCTCTCGAGTTTATAACCGACAAGATGTTATTTGACCTCGGGAGTTATGGACGAGTGGAAATATGTAAGAGTTAGTTATTCTGGTCAGTAGAAAGAGCCTTGTACCTTGGTAAAGGAAGTATATGCATGTACTTCGTACCTCTAGCTGTTAAGCCTCACCCCGCATGACTTTCAAGCCACTCTCGCCACAAAATAGTCGTAGGTAGGTACGAAGTATATGTAGAAGCTTCCTAATCACGAGCAGATGATAGGCTTACATGACTCTCCGAACGCGGCCTAGAGCGGCTTATAGCGGGCTTCATCAAAAGTTTTGCGCATCTTTAATCATCTTGTCCAATGAATGACCAGCGCAAACCTCGGCAGCTCGGTCAACCTCCGCAAAAGCTGTAGGTTACAGTTTTAATGGGAACTTTCTTTATACATGTGGCTTTGATGTCATCATAGCTATTAGGTATTACTTTTCTAAGTCAGAACATTTAGAAAACATTTAACCTTTAAATCGAACTACCTATTAATAAGTCCGTAATTATTAACACCCATAACCCCAATGGCGTCCCAAACTCGGTAGCAAGTAAAAAAACCTTTACCTGACGACGAGAAGGCCCGTTTGTCTTCTAAACGAAACCGATAGACAGGGACGGAGGGATGTTGCAGCAAAGAAGTTTTACCATGTCTGCTTCGTTGCCCCTCCACGTTCTTACACGGCGGGGTGCCGCGTCAATTCGGTCGAAAGCTCCCAGAAGAGTGCCCAGGGCTTCATATTCCTCCATAATTACACCTCAATTACGATATACTGCTACGACATATTCCCCCATTGCTCGATCGATCCCTCGCGCATTTAGCACTACTCGTCCGAGATACCTCGCAAGCGCCGAGGATGACTTCGACCCTAAAACCATCGAGCGGGAGAGTGACGAGGTGGATGTCTGTATTGTTGGTGGAGGCCCTGCTGGTTTAAGTGCTGCAATACGTCTAAAACAACTTGCCAATGAGAATGGAAATGAAGACTTTAGGGTATTATTGCTAGAAAAGGCTGGTGAAATTGGTGCGCATATCTTGTCCGGAGCTGTTATAAACCCAGTTGCGGTTAAGGAACTATTTCCCGACTGGCTCGATGAGGCGAATGAAAATCGATTCGAGCATGCGACGCCCGCGGCAGGAGACAAGATGAGATTCCTGACTAAGACCAGCGCAATTCCTTTACCGGCCCCGCCGCAGATGCACAACCATGGCAATTACATCGTCAGTTTAAATCAATTTACAAAATGGCTTGGAGACAGGGCAGAGGAAATTGGCGTCGAGGTTTACCCCGGGTTCGCTGCATCCGAGGTGCTTTATAAGCCCGATGGGTCGGTTCTTGGTGTTGCGACAAACGACTTAGGCATAGGCCGGGATGGAAAACCAAAAGATAGCTTCGAAAGAGGCATGGAGTTCCATGCCCGGGTTACTCTGTTTGCAGAGGGATGTCATGGAAGTTTAACTAAGCAAGTTATCAAAAAGTTCGATCTGAGGAGGGATAGCCAACACCAAACTTATGGTTTAGGAGTAAAGGAGGTCTGGGAGATACAACCAGAGAAGTTCCACAAAGGCGAGATTACCCATTCTATGGGTTATCCCCTCTCCTTGGATACGTACGGCGGCGGGTGGATGTATCATTTTGGGGATAACCTGGTTAGCATCGGACTTGTTGTCGCCTTAGATTATAAGAATCCCTGGCTATCACCGTATGGTGAATTCCAAAAGATGAAGCAGCACCCTCTATATAAGTCTGTCTTAGAGGGTGGAAAGTGCATATCCTACGGTGCGAGAGCCCTTAGTGAGGGTGGATTTCAATCAATTCCTAAGGTCGCATTCCCCGGAGGTGCCTTGATTGGCGACTCTGCTGGCTTCGTCAATGTACCTCAAGTTAAAGGCACCCACAACGCTATGAGAACTGGTATGTTAGCTGCAGATGCAGCTTGGAATGCATTGGCAGAAGGAAGCGAGGAATCTGTTTTCTTGTACCACTACGAAGATTCTCTCCGGAAATCCAGTGTCTGGAAGGAGTTGAAAGAAGTTCGAAATATGCGACCCTCGTTTCAAACCCCCTTGGGCACCGTCGGTGGTGTTATGTACTCTGGCATAGAGGCTTTCGTTCTTAAGGGTCGCGTTCCTTGGACCCTGAAGCATCGGCATACCGATTACGGCGCCACTAAGGATGCGGATTCGTATCCGAAGATCGAATATCCTAAGCCGGATGGAAAGATTTCATTTGATATACTGACGAGTGTCTCACGGACAGGGACAAATCACGAGGAAGACCAACCTGTTCATCTCCAAGTTAAGGACTGGGATGCACATACCCAGGAGACGTGGCCTACATATAAAGGCTTGGAGAATCGCTTCTGTCCTGCTGGCGTCTACGAATATGTTGAAGATGACTCGAAGCCACTGGGTGTGAGGTTCCAGATTAACGCCCAGAAGTAAGTACCCTGAGCTGCCCTTATTTCTTGCTTATACTTTACTAAGAAGGTTCTTATACTAACGTTTGTCGTAGTTGTATTCACTGCAAGACGTGCGATATCAAGGCGCCTCACCAGGACATTAACTGGGCCGTGCCCCAAGGTGGCGAAGGGCCGAAGTACTATATGACATAAGAAAAAAGGGAATGGCGTGAAGCCTCAACAATTTAAGAAAAAAAATGGTAAAAGCTGCTCGGTGTCTTGATAAAGTCCAACATACCTTCTATGTAGACTTCGGATAACCGGGACGTATGATTCACAGATTATGGTGGTATACGAACTCAACTTCTAGTGTATCAACATTACCTCGCTAGCGGTGGACTGGAACATGTAGGTCGTATCGAACGGAAATTTCGCTGTATTAAGACCTACTTGGATATATTCAACTGTATATTTAACTGGCGTGGTGGTTGAGGGGACTCGCTTCAACATGAATCTTGTCAATACAGAGTAAAAAGTCAACTTATGCGATTTTATCTGCCCCTCTCTCATGAGCATTTGATGACTACCCCTATGTATCGACCAATAAAGCAGTGTACAATACTTTAATGCCAATTTTTATTTATATTTCCGGTAAATCAGTTCCCCTTTTCCCCCTTAGAATCCTTGTTGCGCATGCCACTTCTCCTTCCACCCAGGAAACCAGGGGCTATCATCAAGCGTCTTAGGCTCCCAGTCCTTCTCAATAATACCTTTTTCGATCTGCTCTTTCTCGAATTCTTCCAGGGTCGGAATCACCACGTGCTCGGTGTGCCAGGTATTCTTGTATTTCATGAGATTCTCCTTGCCCTCCTTCAACACCTTTAATACGAGGCTCGGCACATACGGTTCGTCTCGTAGTTCTTCCAGGGGCGTGAATAGCGCTTTGAAGTTGAACACGACTCCGGCTGATAGCGGGAGCCGGCGTAACGTCTGCCAGTCTACGCGCAGGTGGATACGGGATCGTGGTACGTTCGGGTCTTGGGTGTCTCGGTAGCCCTCATGCGGATCTCCGGGTGGCATGTAGAGTGGCTGGTCTACCTCGAGACCCCAGGATCCGCGCTGGATGGGCTTGCTGGCGGGCATCTTGGAGAAATAGCTGTGACGAAGTTAGCATTGTGACGAAAACTAGAAAATCCGTAGGGTAGGCTACTAACCGATCCATACTAAACTGCATCTTCTCCTTGTAATCTGGGATTGGCTGGTGTATCTCATGGAGTTTGAGCCCCATCTTGGTCCCCAAATTCCACCCTAAGGATGAACATGTCATACCAGCGCGGAGGTGGTAGTAGCCAGTTTCCGGGTCCCGCAGCATGATGTTGAAGTCTTCAGGAACATTATCTAATAGGATAAGTAAAGGATGCTTCTCCTTGATGATAGACACCGTGCCGAGGATCTTGTTCTCCAGCTGCGACTTGTCCGGCGATAACACAAAGTACTGCGGATACCGCGCGCATATAAATTGCAATACCATCTCCATCAGCTCCTTGCACGCAAGTTCCGAGCCGGGGAGCCAATTTAGCACGCCCTTGCCGTGTGTCGCATAGAGTTCTTTGCGCTGTGCAATCCGGGCCTTGTATGTTGATTCCAGCTCGATCCACCAGTCAGTCTCGAGCTTGGTCAAGGCTACCATCAATTATTAGCCCCTATTTCCCAAACTTAATAATGCTAGTTACAAGTAGGTACTCACACATGGTTTGATGGTATGCCCATCTGAATGGCCGATATGGCCGTGGTTTGGCGCGGTCGATATCAAATTCCAAGTATGGCTGGGGCATAGGGACCTCCGAGATCACTGAGTAGTCGGGAAAGTCTCCTAGTGCCTTGAGCTCACGTACAGAGAAGCCGCTGAAGCAATACTTCGAGTCATCCGCAGTCCGGTAGTCTTCTTCAAATCCTAGTAGCGAGTGTGCGATTGTGTCCATGTCGAACGAAAGATTGCCTAGCGCTTCCTTTTGATCTGGGGACATAGTTTCTGCTATGATACTAAGTTGGCCCCTTTGAGATGGAGGTAAAGCTGAATGAAGATCTAAAGTTGATGATGAGAGCGGCTTTGAGAGCGGCTGCTTCTCAAGTAACGGTGTGCTCGGGCGGGATGCATTGCGCCTTGAGAGACCTAATCTCCTAAGAACTACATCCTTCTGAGATTTGTTCAGAGCGAGAAAGGTAAGTAGGGATACGACAACACCAGATGCCAGCCAAAGGGCGACATATAGTGCCATCTTGAATAGCGATCAAGTATAAGATTAAATGCCACAGGTACTAAATGGGATCAATGCATTTAAGAAGAGATCCCGATACGTCTTCATAATTCCATTATTATATCTATTACTTCTGGCGGGGATCCCCCTTTATTAATATAATCATTCATCATCAAGACAAGGCAAAAGGTAGTAAAGCAAACATATGAAAGGTATGTATCTTTAGCAATATAGACCGACAGCGGAGTCCCTATCTCGGATGTGATGATAAGCATGTCTGATCATATGAACATACATCGTAGCTGGACAAGATTGGAGCTCGTAGCGCTAGCGCCCGGATGATAACACTGATGATGTGAGTGGTTGCTGATAATACTAGCGTATAGAATATCGATCTTCATGCATATAAAATAACTAGGCATTGCTTGTCATGCCTGTCAAGCCTGTGTACCACATTTTTCATAAACGCGGGTCACCCCGCATACTACTTGTTTTAGATATTACTGAATATTCCGAAGTTATTATAGGCTTGTTTCTTTTTGCCGTGTGGATAGATCTGCGTGTAACATGCGATATTGCATCAGATATAATTATTCACAACCTCTTGATATCTGACTAACAGTGATCCAAAAGGAAATATAACAGTTAATAATGATCGAAAGAAGTTGAAATTCGCCAATAAGAAGTATATAAGGTGTGTTTATACAATCTAATACAGTTCACGATCCGCTACGGAAGAGGACCTGGTAACGCATCCCGTACTACGTAGGTAGACAAGAATCTCACTCACTCTACGTACAAGGCTTAAAAATGGTATCACAGCGAGTTCAATAGTAAGATTAGCTTGGATGCCACGTACTCTGTGGCGTATCATAATATCTACTAGAGGAACTCGGCCAAAGTTAATCGGAAGCTATTCGCGATCTATTGAGTATTCTGTTTCAAAGCCCTAAATTTAATCACAATAATTTCAACGAATGGCAGAATATTAACTTCGTACACCATAGCTGGATGATCGCCCGATGCTTCTCATTTTTTTTTTTTCAATAAGGCTCTTATAGAACCCTATGAAACGTATCACTTGACCTTAATATTAAGATGTAGTGCTCATAAAAACTAGAGTACTTTATTACTAGTAATCATGTATAACTGTTTTTAACTGAAGCCCAGTTGCTTAACGAGAGTATACAGAGCCATCCGCTAAAAATAATGCTGGTACGTAGATTAGTATCAACTTATACATAGTTAAGTATTATAAGCTTCACAGTTTAAAGATCCTAATATATTATACTCAAGTCCTTAACCCCTAGAAAAAGTGTAATATTTATAAAACTTAACCCCTCTCGTTGTTATCAATCTCTTTAACTACTATTTTTGTCTTTTAAACTTATATGTGAAAAGAACGTACGATTTTATTTTATCTATACGCGCCGGAGAACATTCGGAGTTTACTTAGGATGGCTATCAACGTGAATCCCCGAGAAGTCACCGTTATTGGTTGACTACATGCAGGAAGGTGAACGCCTGCCAAGACCCTAGTATGCGGTTCCCGTCGTTGGGCACGGCGTTATCGCAGTATGAACATATTAAGCATTGAGAAGACTTGACCTATTGAAAACATGCTAATCATATATCTGGGCTTATAATCGAAACGTTTTTGATTGCATAGCTACCTACCTACCTACCTACCTAGGTAGATCATGATTTAATTTAGGAATAAGCTAAGAAATTGACTTAGGTTCAAGGGTTAATTTAACGTTGTGCAGACTATACACAATGATTGACTCGAAAATTATAGAGCAGGGTGATCTTTTAGCAAATATGCCCTCTAACTATAAATTTAATCCGTGTTTTTATAGCTGGCTACCTACTAATATGTCACTATTTAGAGTTGACATTGTGATGAAGAACATTCTTATCTTGCTTTCAGTAGACTAAGCTGTTTCCATGGTCTTCTCAACGATATGATTTAAGTCTAGATAAGTTGCAGGGTCTTGTCTATCCTCTGCATCTAGCATTATAGTTCCCGTTAACGATTCATTCTCCCAGGTCTGGCACGTCTTTTCTGGATTCATAGACCTCCAATTACTTTCCTCATAGATCGGTGGCAATAACCCTTGGGTAGGCTCCTCTTCATTCTCCGCAATGACAGAGGGTAGCCTAGCACCACCCACGAGCGTCTTCCATGCAACTTCCTCGATTACTTTGGTGATGTGTTCTCCTAAAGAAGAGACAACCCCTTTCCCATCACCTATACGCATAAGCCACCGGCCAGAGTCTAGTTCAACAATAGGAAAAGCTCGGCTTGTGCGGGAGTGAAATTCCGCAAGTATAAGAGCGTCACGCAAAGTACTGCTCTGAGTGTATCTCGTACCGCCAAGGGCGAATAGCCTGGCAGGCGGTGAGCAGGCTTCGGGGTGGTCAGCAAGTTTCTGTAGAATAGACGTCATCGAAATCCATGGCGTGGCTGATCCCAACGCACACTTTACCACATATTTGCAGTGAATAAAGAGTGTTTGTAGGTTTGGTAGTTTAATGGGCGTCGGCGAGTTATTCGGGTTTGCCGAAAAACTACTCAGCACATCAGGGCATATGGAGGGAAGTTTGAGGTGAACATGACGCATGCGAGGTAATATATAGCGTAGTTTGTCGCAAATATGCACGGGATTGGCACGCCTTTGCCTTGGAAAATGCCGGTAGTATGCCATAAGATCAAGTTCTAGGTTGACACAACTGCGAGGGAGTGCATCGATTAAGCTGAAAAGAGCTTGCCAGATGCGGTAGACAGAAAAACTCATCGGCGGGGGGATACAGAACGAGAAAGTAGACAGATTGTATAGTTTTGTTAAAACACTTGAGAACAATATTAAGTCTTCATCTATGCAGTAGACTCCGTCCCTAGGTAGTCTGGTAGCTCGCACTGTCAACGAGCGGACTCGGGCGGCTTCACGTAGATTGAAGGTTTCCCTAAAACGGGTTATACTTCTACAATCTAAAACCACATGTCGGTATAACTTCGAAATTCCTACGTCGTGCCATCTTCTGCAGACTCTTAGGCAGCAGAGCAGATCCGAGACTCCAACGGATAATTTTACTGTAACTAGTATCATGGCCAGTAGCTCCAATGGGAGCGACTCCATAGTAGATACCATAGTAAAGGATGCTTGGGCGATAATATATCTCGTGTATGACCGAATGTGAATGCGAATGTGTATATGTGTGGTTGTATATGTGTGGTTGAGAATCTAATATCTGGGGCGGTGGGGAGTTCAACGCCGCATTTTGAATAAGCGGAAAAGGGATGGCCTGATCCTAGCAACATGACGAGCCCAGTGGACTAAAAACCTGTGCAGTTTCCCTAGATAATAGCAGGTCCTTTCCAATATAAACTCGTGACTTAGTTATATAGGAAAGTATAATAACCAGAAACCTGCGCAATTTCCTTAGATAATACAAATAAACCAAGCGACACCCTACGTACCTACCGTATAACCTACCGTATAACTTACCGTATAACTTACCGTATAACCTTATCACGCCAAAGTCCCTTTTAAATATACCGCAACGTATTCGACAGGAATAAAAACCAAGGAAATAACCATGCCACATCAAACGCATTAAAGTTATAGGCCTTCTGTGTGACGCATCACGACCTGATACCCAGACGAAGCTACGTCATCATCGTCCGTATCAGCGGCGTTAGGCGACACGCTTTTATCATCCTTGTCGACAAATAGAAGTCGATTGCCCATAAGATAATATCTACGAAGACCTTTATAGGCTGTCTTGTCGTCTTCGTTGTCCTTGTCGCGGTCGAGAAATATGATTCGATTGTCCATAATATAATACCTACGAAGTCCTTTATAGGCTGTCTCGTCGTTTTCGTCGTCCTCGCTGTCCTCGCTGTCCTCGCTGTCCTCGCTGTCCTCACTGTCCTCGTTGTCCTCGCTGCGCTCGAGATGTATCATTCGATCGCCGATGAAATGATACCCAAGGGAATTGTTGTGAGTTCGAGATAGAGACCGCTTTTTAGAAGGTGGGCCTGAGTCTGGTAGGTTGGGATTAGAAGATGAACGCGGAGGAATCTTGCCTGCAAATATAATATCTTCCACATAGCTTTCGGCACCGCTTATAGTTTCCGTAGAGAGCAGCAATTTGTAGGGACCTGGCTTGGCTGTGTGAAGTATAACAGTATTTCCATTGAAGATAGACCATGCAAAACGGGCGAATAAAAATTCCCGACGAATACCGTATAATTCCTGGCATTCAATATCATGGTATCGCTCTTCTATTTCCATGTGGCTCATAGCGCATGTCTTAAATGCATGGCTCACCAAATGATATTTATCCTCGTGCTTCTGGGGGAATAGAATAATTTCCATTTTTTTATCCCATAAATGATGTACGTCCTTGCGGAGCGTTATCGAGTTTGATGGAGAATCGATATGAGCGCCGCCATAAAACTTCATACGATTTGCCCTAAACCAATCGCTTTCAGAGCGGGGGATTATATGAGCGCGTTCTAAAGGGGTGAAGGAGTTGGTTATTCGACAGGTTCCGTCGCGGTTTATTGTTGCTTCTCGAGAATCGATATCTTGTCCTGCGTTAGCAGGTGCAGGGGAGACAGATATTCCGTTCCAAGGAGGAGGTATGTCTTTGTGAGGGAATATCCAATGCTCGAAATTTGGCGTAATGGGGTAATGCACTAAATATTTGATTAATATCTAGAAAAAAGAGATAAAAAGATAATAATTTACCGTTTCCGTTAATGTTATGCAGGAAGTAGGATTCTTCGGTAAGTTTACTATCGGTAGGGCAGGTAACGGCTTTATCTTTGTCAGGGTTTGGACAGAGTGACAAGTAAACGTAGTTGAGATTCTTCTTATCCTCCTGAGAAGTGCCTCTGTCATCATTTTTCATTTCAATAGGCCAAGCATTGCCAGCTACAATACAACAGGCATAAATAACCAAATTGTAATCAACGCCACTGCCGTAATGGGTGAACTGTAATAGCGACTCAT